GAGATTCTCCAGAAAATCGGAGAATAGTCAGGTTTCTGCTCTTGGGTCTTCTCCATCCAAACACTGGTCCTTTCTACTCCTTTGAAACAAGAAACCAGGATATGAATCACGTCCAGTAACCATCTTTCCAAAGAAAGGTCATTGGGGAAAGACCACCTTGCTTAACTTCTTAGTAGATTTCTCTTAGAAGTGTTGAGGGCGAAAAAGATCCATTCCATCTTCAGATTTATATAAATCTTTTATTCCAACCAACAAGCAGCGATCACCTTGACATTATTGTTTCCCAACACTATTATATTGAAAGGCGTCCAAGCGATGTCCTGTTTTGATTCTTTTTTTAAATATTTATTTGTTTGTACATATTTATTGATTCCAAATAAATCTATATTTATATATTTTTGAGAACATTCATGCAACAAAAATGAAGAGAATACATATAGATTTTTTTATAATTGAGTGCACGTTTTGTTATTTGCCCATATCGTAGTTTCCCTTGATAAATCCTCAGTATTCTCACTGCATATTGCGTATTTATGATTCTTAGGATTGATCTCTGGCATCTTTGCTCTGCCCCCTCCCCCACCGACCCTTTTTTCTATCGCGGTACTTCAGGTTAGTTCCTAGTATCCTCTTTATAGCATTCTTCCTTTGTATCGTTCTTCATGTTTAACGTTTTTATCCTCTTTCCTCATCTCAAATTTCTTTATTTGTACAACCACCAACGAGTTTTCAAAAGAAATTTTTTATTTAACACTCTATAATACAAATTTTTGTCGTATTATTCAGCAGTATTGCTTTCCGTATGTTTTCATTCTTTCATTCCGTGTGTTTTCATTCTTTGAAAATCAGTAAGAAAATTAGCTGAGAACATTGTTCGTTTCGTTTCTTCGATGCACTATATTATATTTCATTGTTCCAATTGGCATTTACAAATTTTTTAATTTCTTTTTCCACTTTCTTTTTGAAATTCTTTTTGATAACATTTTTCTTTTTATACTTTTCAAATTGTAAAAAAGAAAATCAGAAATTATATAAACTAATTTCAGTAGAAAATATTCAATTAGTATGGAGGAGGAGGTTCTCTATTAGTATTTTCCTCGCAAAATAGCGAGGAAAAATGATAGAAAATTTTAATATTATTTATAATTAATTCTACAGCGAATTGGTTGTATTAATAGTAATGATACGGTATAATTGGAATAAAATAAAAGGCACTAAAAAACCGTTTGAATACTAAAAGAGAAATGCGCCTCTTCATTTGAATTTCTAATTAGTTCTCAGGATCACTTTTCCCTAATTTTGTAAGTATTTCTCAATTTAAATAGTAAAATTAAATTGTAATAAGTCTAATAAGTTTTGTCAGTAACATAAGATAAAAAGAATTCAATTCTGCAAAATTCCTTTAACCCATAATCTGAAATTCATTTGCCTTCTCCCAAATAAAGCATCCTAGAGTGAGCCAATTAAATTAAAAAGGATTTCAACTGGAGATACGATTTACAATCTCAGAGGCACCCAGAAAATGTTTTTCAGGTCGAAAGCCTAGCCTCAATTCTTTTCCCCATTCATTTGACTCAAATAAAAACCTAAAACTTTCCAGCAAGTATCCAGTTATTCAGCCAGTTGTTACCAATAAATATTAATTGTTGCGTCGTAATCCAATAAAAAGTAATATCTTTTCTGCACGTTATCTTCCATTATCATCCGCATCTTAGCTCAACCATAATGGTCCGATCTTTGGAGATTGCCGGTTTCGGGTTCATGATATGAATGTTATGTAGAAGAATTTTGTGATGATTGACCAAAATATTTAGGGTCTGATACATTTGCTAAGAAAAAGAAGTGATTTACTTCTGTTTATTTTAAAGTATAGCATTAACCTTCATATGGAGCGACTCAGAAATATCTTACCATTGCAGCCAGCAGTGCCAACTTAATCACCAATGGTGCAAGAAGAGGAATAAGATTTATGTTTTAAAATGGTTACAAATAATTTTAAGAACTGTTTATTTGTGTGTTTAACTCTCGTACTAATGCCATATTAAACTTGTAATTCTTTCTTGATGAACTTTGTGTGATTATCATTTTCGAATGAGCAATTCTGCGTGTGATAATGCATGTGACAATTATTCTTAACTATTTTTTAAGTGGTCTAAGTATAATTTTAATCTAAAAAAAAGGAACGAATGGTGCTATTATATTGAAAATATCATTTTTTATTTTATGTTTATTTTATCAACAAAAGTGATAAGCGTGGAAAATCAGATCAGATAGAATGATAGAGGAATGATAATATATGATGAGTTTTTTTTAAAGATTTTTCGAAAAAATTGATTAACAGCGATTTTTTATTCTTCATTTATATTTTGATAAATTCACGATTTTCCATTTTTTCGGATTTTTACTTGCAGTTTTCCTTTTAAAATTTTCTAAAACGATTACTAACTCCTTTTTTTCCAGCAAAAATATTTTTTTTAATGAAAGAATTATTATTAAATTGGGTGTGACGAGTGCATTCGCAAATTTTATAATTTCTAAACATTTTTTAAATGTCTTTTTTTTATTTGGCAATTTTATTTCAAAGAAACTATCGTTTAGAATCGAATCTTAACTGATAATGGTGATATCTTAGGCATTCGATATATATGTATATACTCACCCTCTGTGGGTGAAAAGAAAACTGCATCCTCAACCTCCAGTCCTCTATTAGAGACCTCGAGACTTGAGGGTTCTGCAAGCATCTTAACTGTTTCTAGTAATGCGCTCTTTTGAATAGAGATCTCTGATATTGTTTCCAGAATCTATTGAAGCTATTTTTCCACTTTAGAGTCGCAGCTTATATCACAACTTTCGCATTCACTTCCACATCTTTTCTCTAATCGTTTCAACTCCTGGTATTCTTCTAACTTTTTGTATTCCTTCTTCCTGATATTGCTGTCACTTAGTATTGTTATATCTGTCTGATTTCTTGCTTACTTGTCTATCTCGATGGATGAGTCTTATAGAATCTTGGCCTTCTTATTTTTTACGATTTTCTGAGGAATCTCCCATCTGGTCTTAGGAGGACCTAAGCCATAAAATAGACAATGCCATCTATTATGCCTTTCATTTTTGCTGTTTCTGCCTGCATCTTATATCTTGCCATTGTATTGGATAATATGTATACAAAATTGCTCAAAGATATTTGGGCCTAGATGATGGAAAAAATCATAGTCTCAGTTATTTTCAGAATAGTATCGGATTGGAAGATTTAGAAACGTCTTACTCTTAGTCGCCCATGGAAGAAGTCAAGCCAGCAGTTGTTAGCAAAAGAAGATTATTTATTTATTTTTGTGTCGAATGGAAGAATTTTATTGCTTTTTGCAGTTTTTTCAAATTTTTGCAGTGTAATTATTTGACTTACAATTTTCGTGAAAGATAGATACGCAGAATTTCTTATTTTTTCAATTCACATTTTTTATTTTTATATTTATTGATCTGAATTTTTATTTTTTCAAAGTTGCAAATGGTTATTTTGGTCTATTCATTAATTATTAATTATTCGTTATATTTATAGAATAATAATATTTCCGATAATTTTACTCCACGTAGGTCATCGAGAAGAATTCTTCGTCTTTTGTATAGTACAGTGAGAGCATTGCTCTTAATGTTGACTAAATGTTGACTTCGCAATATCTAATAGGACGATTATAATATTTATTAGTTTCTCGCAAGGGCAGAGGAGAATTGTTATTTCCATTTGATTCAGATAAAATATAAAATAAAATTTCTGGATGGTTTTATGAAAGATAAATTATTTGTCATTCGACGAGGTTTTTTTTGCGCATTAATTTGAAATCGCATTTCTTCTGTATCGCTTTCTCGTTGATAAGACTCCTATTATACGAACTCAGATGTTATTGGTGATAATCATTAATGATAATGTGAAAATCTGGTTTTAAGGAAGATTTAATATATGTGGTAAAATTCTTATATTTGAAAATCTTCTATTGTACTTACTTTTAAAAATTCTTACTTTTCATTCGCACCATTAATTATTATTGAATGAATTATCAAATGAAACCTTCTAAAATTAATAAAAAATGGTTAAAATTAAATTTTTACGAGATTGGTCTTTGAATGATACCTATCCACCTGTATTCCTCTCTCTATTTAATCCTCTGTTGAAGTTGCATCATTCTTATCACTAATGGAATCAGGTAAATGAAAAATGAAATTGAATATATTTAGAAGTAAAATTGAAGGGAATTAGTAAAAGATTCTTAATAAAAAATTCTTTGTTAATCCACTCCTTATTGATTCGTTATCATTTTATATTTTCTTTTTTTGTATTTCCATATCTAATCTATTGGTATTGATATATGATAAAAGAATATATATTATTACTCTATTTGCTTATCAGCTAAATGAGAAATTGATTTCAGATGCTTTTTTTTATTGTTATATTGCAAATTTGAATATCCTTTATTGTACTTACTTTAATAAAATATGCCAAATCTCTTAAATTGCCAATTTTAATGTTTCGTACTGCTTTCTTCATTCGTTTAATATGCAAACATCGGTTTTTCATATTTCTTTTTATTTTTGCCATAATTTTAATTATCGAAGAATCGAATTTTGCAAAAATTAGGAATTTTTATCGAAATTATTATGTGAAAACAATTATTCGACGTATTTCTCGAACATATAATAATGGTTTGTTTCATTATATTACGTTGTTCATTTAAAATTTATTCAAAAATCAAAAACTATTTAAAAATGATTATTTATACTAAAATTTTTCATGACTCAGTGGGTTGTTGCACTCATTTCGAAGCACCGATGTTAGGGTACTCGGCAAGGGTAAACTTAAAAATCCAGCGTGATCCACCTATATTTCTATCGCCAAATGATTCCCTGGCAAAAAATTTATACACGCTCCAGCTAAACGAGTGGAGCAAATCAAGTTAAATTTAATGTAATCATAATCATCGTAAATAGAATAATGGTGACTTACAGTCGTGCCGCATTCTAATATTGTAATTTTAACTGTACTCAAAGACCTGGAAAATGTTGAAGAATATCGACTTGCGCAAAATACCTTTGAATGTTATGCAAGATTTCATCAATATAAATGGAAAGTTATAAATTTTTCATCGAATAAAACTTTGCAAAAAATCTGTCCACATTCAGATGTTAGTGAATTTTTACGGAAATTTTATTTTTTCAAATTTTTTTCCTCTTAAATCCATTTAAATTTAATCTGATTAAACTTTGATTTATTGAAACATTTATTAAAAGATTTTTTCCTAAGCGTCCACCATTTCTCATTTGTATAATTTCATTGTCTACCATTGGGTGAAGGCTGATCACCATCAACATTATATTTAATATTGACAAGCTTTATTGTCCTCAAGAAACAGGATTGGGGACTGAACCATAATCTCGGCCTGGTTATCTAATGGTGATTATTGGCTGTACTCTCTATCGTCTCTTTAGTTTATTCCTTATGTAATTTATTTTTTTTCAAACAATGGATGAGAAATTAAGCTGATTACAGTTTATGTTCGCTCGACATTGTGTTACCGCGCAAATAATGGAAGAGAGTGATGAAGAATGGTTTTTGTTTATCGATGCTGATATGGGAGTGATAAATCCGAATCATTTCATTGAAGAATGGATTGATAATGATGTTAATTTGATTTTTTATGATCGAATTTTTAATTATGAAATCATGAGCGGAAGCTATTTAGCAAGGTTTTTTTTGAATTTTTGAAATATTTTTAAAATTCTTTTATTATCGTTCCGTCTAGTTATTTTCCATGTTTTTTAATTTTATAGGAATGTTCCTTATTCATTACAATTTTTACGTTTTTGGGCAAATTATCAGTTCAAACTGCCAAACTCTTTCCATGGAACGGATAATGGTGCGATACATGTAAGTGTTTAAGTATTTTCATTTTAGTACTCAAATGGAGAAGATTCCTTCGCAAATTTTTAGGAGATATTTTAACCCTAGATAACTTCATATTTTTCAACATTGATTTCTTTGTTTAAATTTATTATAAAAAAAGAGTAGTCAACTCTCAACATTTCTGATTGGCTCTACTGGCTCTTAGGAAATAAGGAATTCTTATCAAGGACTTACCTGACGATAGAAATATATATGAGTCGTTAGCACTACCTAATTTCGTAATGATTCGCTTATTATTGTCGAAGGGAAAGTTCGAACCTTCATGCTCGAGATAATAATGTAAGCTTTACTTCGCTATCATATTTTGGACAGCTAGTGATTATTTAAATCTTTTTATAAAAAATTATAAAGAATTAGAGATAAATTAAATTCCAGAACGTTTTTATGGAACTGATAACGCCAGAGATGGTTAAGGCTCGAAGAATTTGCGAAAAACTTTGGAATCGATCAAGGTTACAATATTTTAAGACTTTGGAGACTTATATTGCGTGAATATACCGATTTATTCGACTTTTGGCTTTGCTAAAATATTAAATATTAAGAAATAGGTGCTCACCTATAATTATTTCCCCTACAATTGTGCATTTCAGAGGGGAATGACTTTAAGACGATTGCATATGAAATATCACAAAAGCTTTTATTTTTATTTGGTATTGTAAAACCATTATTAATTATTTATTCGAATTTCTTATTGATATTTTTTATCAAAGAGGGAAATTGAATAGTGAATTCTCGGAATGTTAATTCTTTTTAAGCTAAGTCAGAGCAATCTGTTGTTTATTTAGTATCACTTGACTTGACTCAACTTAGCAGTTTTCTTGAAAAGTTTTCTTCTTCTGACATGGCTCGCAATAAATTATTGCGTTTAGAACATATGACGATTTATATGTTTATGAGGCTTGTGCGCGATCGGTGCTCGGTGATTCGTCAAAATGGTTCGAAAAAGTTCGAATCCTTAGAAAAGGCACATCATGGGCTCGTGATATATGGCTTACAAACTCAATGTGGGGCATGCGTGATTTCGTGTTACATGGCTGGCAGAAACGGTATTTTCATTCATTAATTTAGTTTAAATAAAAGAATTCAATTATAAATTCGAAATAAAATATACGACAACGAAGAATCACATAGCAAAATATTCTGAATATGATGTTTGGATATGATGAAAGCTAAATGGTAATTTCGGAAAATAGGTAGGGTAGCCGAACTTGACCAGTTCTTCGCATCTAAAAAGCATCTCTTATCGTATTTTCATGACAGCCTCCTGAAGATTTCTGAGAATTTAATTTTTTATTTTTATTAGATTTTCAAAAAAATCTAAATAATTTGAAATTTGATTAAATTATAAAAATTTAGGAAAATGGATGCGGTTGTTTTCGCATCTTGGCCATCTCCATTCTCTTCACACTATTTCAATATGTCGCTATGTGAAACTGAAGATGCTGCAATAAACTGGAAATATAAGGATAGCTTTATAAGGGATAACGCTGAAATAGATCAATATTTAAATAGTTTCATCGAAAACTCAAGCAAAAATCTCATTCGTACTTTAGCAGAGATCTCGGAGTTTATAAATCTAGACGAGGCCTAGAATAACATTTCCATTCGGCAATATTACGATGCCTGCGGTTCAGCGCCATATAGATTTTATTTTCAATGAGGTTTGATAGCCGTCAAAAAGACTAAACTCGAAGGGGAAGCGGCTTATCACTCGTATTAACGAACAAGTTTAAAAGAAAAGCATTAGAAAAGCACTTTGAGTACTTCCAAAGGGATATTTGAGTGATTGGCCTTTATGTATTATTTTTTCAAATTGAGTAAATAATAAGGATTCGGTTCCTTTACTTTGACAGTTTTAGACTTATCTCAAAGAGACTTATCTGAAAGCTAGATGGCTGCTGGAGACTTAGAAGTGGTTAGTGGACCCAATGGCAGGAAAAGAAGAGCATTCGGAAATTTGATGCTTAGAATGCTATTTTCGAAAAATTGTTTTAATATTTTTTGAAATTTGAAATTTAATATAACACAGTTTCATTACTGCATATAACATAAGTGTATGCATAATACTGCTATGTAATATTTTGCTACTAAAATAATTGTTAAAATATTGTTTATAAATTGTTTTTCACTATTTTTTACTCAGTCATTATTGTTATATATAGGAATTCGGATAATAATGATGCAAAGAAATTATAGGCATTAAATCCTTTTTGCTTATCTCTTATCTTTTTATCATTTTTCGTAATACATAGTATTATTGTTGCATAATTTGTCGGCTCAGTGATCTTTTCTCACTTTTTATTACTTTTATTCTATTATTTTGTCTTTTTAAATAACAGTATTATAAAAGCGAATAATGGTACTAAACAATTTGAATAAACTGCCTTATCAATTCTTTTACAGTGTTAATGTTCAAAAGCTTTTGTTATGGAGTATAAAAATTTTTTGATTAAAATGAATAATGGTTAAGAGGTTTGGATTGCCTCTGTTTTTAGTATAATATAGCTAGTGAAGCACGGACGGTCGGCAGTACCACTAAAATTTTTTGATAATAGCTTCTTTAGCTTCTTCAAGCTCTGAATCCTGATGAGAAGAAATGGGTTTGAATGCGTGGCAGCCAGGTTAAGAGTCTGGCGCTCTGCTGTCAGAATCCATATCTGCTTGCAAGTCATTTCACCTCATTTACTTGAAGAAAAAAATGGAAAATTTCCTTAAAATAAGAATTTTAAAGTTTTATTAAATAATTGAAAAAGTCCATAAATTTGAAAATAATTTGAAAAGCTGAAAAAATGAAGAAATAGTAAAAAATATTCGAATACAAATCAATCGTAAACAACATAACAAATTTTTTTATTAATATTAATATTTTTAAACAATTTTAGTAATTTCTGTGAAATTTAAAATATAACAAGAAAGCTTAAATAGATAAAGAGATGGGGATTGAAGGAGAAATTCGCTAGTTTTTGGATAATCCTCATAAAACTGAAAAGTTGAAATTATTTCTCTATATTGAGACCAGCCAAGTAATATATTTTACAGAGGAAATATCAAATTTCGAAAATTATAAACAGAAGATACGACTCTCGCCATTTTTATTATCTAATTTCTGTGGAGTCATATTGGTTCATACATTTATTATTGTTATTATTATTTATTATTATTATTAACATATATTCAATGATTTGCCTAGTTTTAAGATTCCATTATAGAATATGAAATGCTTTTATCTCAGTGATAATAAGGTGATAATATGATAATATTAGATAAGTGAATAATAAAGAGTGATAAATAATAAACAGCTGATGAATTCAAGTTTTATAATGAAAAATTTGGCAATAATTTTCGCACTTTTAAGTGAACATAAAAGAATGACTTAGTGCGGGTGGACCCACAAATACTTCTGAAAAACTAATAAACTAGTGGAGCGCTTTTAATCAAGAAAATTAAAAGATTATTATCACAAATTATCAAATTTGTCATCATCATTTGAAATTATTATTTTAACGATAATTTAAAAATTTGAAATTTTTGAAAATTGAAAAATTTTTAAGGAAATTAAAATGGAATTACAAGCAGTTTTAGGCGACGAAATAGAAATAAAAAAGGTCCGCAAAATTGAAATATTTCAAGTTATAATTTTTATTATTACTATAATAGCATTTTTGGATATTCATTATCGAATTTCAAATAAATCAATTGATTGTAATAAATTATTAACTAATAATTCGGAAATTCGACAACGACGTTCTATTGCTATACGTCCAATTCGTCCGAAAACAATTAATGATTCAAAAAATGATATTTGGATGGAATCTCTTTCAAAAATTGAGGTTGATTTTTATTCAAAAATTCTTCTTGTAAATTCTAAAAATTCTTCTTATATGTAAAGTTTATTAATAATGCCGACATGTGATTTTTTCATTTTATCACTGATTATCACTCATAGTTCCCAGAAATGCATTGATAAAGACCATATGCATTGAACCTTTGGTTTAGATAAATTTCTAAGTGCCTTTGCATTTCGCCAATTTCAGATGAATGAACTCCTCGATAAATGTTTGTCTATCCATCAGTACTGCACGGATGAATCAGACAGTAGAGGTCCATCAGGCCCTCTTGGTCCACCAGGACCACCTGGGTTATTTCTTGAATAAGAATTCTTAAGATAAGTTCAGTTCATAAAATCAGCTTCAATCTTGAATATTTTTTCGGGCCTGTGATAATTTTCTTTTACCATATTAATAATATTTTGCTTTAAACAATTAATGAAACTGAAGCTCCAGTTCGCTGATAAAGTTTCTGCTTTCGTAAGTGCTTCCCTATTTTCACAAGGATTCATAGCATAAATTTAAAAAAAATTTCTCAATTGTTTCAATTCGATATTATATTTAGAAATCCAGGTCAAACCGGGCCACCAGGACGTGTGGGTCCAATGGGTTTGCCAGGACCACCTGGGCCAAGAGGTGCGATTCGTTTTTCGAGATTTCGAGATATAATAATAAATATTAATTCCATTATTCATTCATATTGAATATATATTTTTGAATATATTCATTCTGTTAAAAGTAACATTGAAATATTTTAAGGTCCGCCTGGGTTTCCTGGAAAACCTGGTATATGCCCTAAGTGTCCTGTCGCTGAAGGCTATGAAGTTAAGCGAGAAGAATGTCCGAAAGTTTGTTGTCCCCGATCATTCCTTTTAAAATTATTGTACGAATAAGTCTTTGCAGTTGCTTTTATTCGTCCATATATTATTTTCTTAAAACTTTTATCGAAATATACAAAATTTAATTTCACTAAGACAATCCGACAATGCTCGGAATTAATTCGCCTAGATTTGCTGAATATGATTAGAATTCAGATAGAACCAATGAAATGTCCAGCGTCAGTTACATTGGATGGCAAGGGTGCACCTCGAGTAGTCGAACAACCACTTCCATATTTTATTGAAACGGTCGTTTCTTTCTCATTTCTCATTTCGTTAGTACTGTTTACTCCGACTTCCTCATTAGCAAATTCATCTTTGAACTAAAAGATTAAAATGAAAATGAAATATTTAATTTACAAAAGAAAAATGTTTTTGCAGATGTTACGCAATTATACAGACATAGCGATTGAGGCAGAAGAATGTTTCCGAGCATGCTTGACCAACATAACAATTTCAAAGGAGCTTCCTATTACTACAAGCACCGAGATTCCGTACATCGAAGGAGTAACTGCACGTACGTGCTCATTTAAGTTACCATAGGCAAACAATAATTTTTCTCCCTCTTCAAAGCCTTGCACCATTGCAGATTTGCATTGGCTGCTTCTCAAGTCTCTAAATTTGATGCCATGCCGAAAAATTGCTTTTTTTCATCATCTAAGCTGATATTTACTGAGTCATCCCATAAATTTTCCTAGCTGTATCAGTACCATCAGAGGCCATCACTCTTAGCGAACAGCGATATGTGCGTCATATTTATCTTGAACGATAGATGCGATCGATAGATTCGGAAGACTGTCTGCTTGATAGATACACGTACCTTAAGCGCTAACAATAAATTCGTGGCCATCCAAAGATGTAAACTTATGGAGATCTTTTGAAGTCTATGAAGGTCTCAGAAGTGTTAATGCTAAAAAGTGAATGTTGTAAACTGACGGAATAAGATAGATCGTTAGGTTGTACCAAACAAAATTGTGAACCAGCCAAGAAATTTGGATAATCACCGTGCATTTTAAATGAAGCTGCAATAAAACTCAAAAAATATAAATAGAATATATCTCATCGACACTAGCAAATTCTATGACTATGAAGCGATTAATATATCTTGAAGAAGCGATTAATACTTTTTTCTGCAGTTTCAACTGCTTTTAATCTTTTTCTACAGAAAATTTGAAATATAGAACAGAAGAAACGAGTTCTGTTAGTTTCACGCTTGGCGTCAGATCGAGTGGCTTGGAAACGCCTTAGTCTTGCAGTTAATGAAGCGAGTAATGGTGTGAGCTGTTGTTAGAAAAGGAATAATAATGAATTTCTAGATTTCTCTAGAATTTAAAATATTCTATTATGTTATTATTCTATTGTTATTTATTTGTTTTTAGATTGTTATCTATCATCTGTGGACAAACCTGTTTTTCATGCTCATTCAAATACGTATTATGGCTCATGGATGAGGGATGCTTATCCGAGAACTGGCCAGGTACTCTTCAAGATAATGTGCAAGAATTTCTCAAAAAGATACCTTATTAAAAATTCATATACTGGTTGAAATATTTCAATATTTCATGTATATTTGCATTAAACATGCGCAATTTTAGGACCTAAATATCGGTAGCGATATGATCTTAGTTTATATAATTCATTTGCCAAAAAATATGTCGTCTAATTGAAACCAAAAAATTCTTTTGATGAAAAAAAAGATAGTAATATATGATTAAATTTTCATTTTTTGGAATTTTGGACTTTTATAATTAAATTTATAGAAAAATTAGAAAGAAAACACCGCTAATTAAATAACCAGATAACTTTTTTCCAAGAGTTCTCGAAATTCCTGATTAGTCTTGACGAGATAAATTTTCGCATTCTGTGGTAAAAGTACCAAGATCACACCAAGAAATCGAACCCAGAATTGGCACTCCGAAATGAGAGCAACAACTTTAGCACTTTTACATAAAATTTTAGAAATAAGAAAAAAGTTCGTGAAAGATTATAATATAAATAAAATAAAATATTTCAATTTTGCCGCATTTTTATCAACTAGTGATAACATGATGAAATGATAATGACCATTAAAGGATATGCTGAAAAGATGGGTAACAAAACACTTTCAAGGAAATATTGTTGAAGAATATTTAGATGAAGGCGACATGCGCCGACAGCGAATTCATCGCACGTATTCTTTATCAGCTCCAATTTGTTCCAATTTTTATCAGTTCTAATTCTTTAAATTCCACTGATGAAGCGAAATGAGGAATTACCACTAAGAATTCATTCGAGCAGAATTTGTTTGTTTATTAGAAAATAAATTATTAAAAATTACAAATTAATAGAGAAATACATCAACAATTTATAGATATAAACTTCCATTTTTATACGACGGTACCAATAATGTCTTTTTTAATGGTTCATTTTATTATCATCGAGCTGGTACGCCAAAAATTGCGAAATATGAAATTTTTTCGAAGCGTTATAACGAGGTATTAATTGATGAACGAGCAGCGCATAAAGGTAACAAGGTAATGTTTCAAATTTTTGGATCTGTCACCAGTTTATTGTTCGTCGCAGAACAGCTGAATAATAGTTAATTTGGAAAATAACTAAGAGTTTTCGTTTTCTCGAACTGTTGAAAAAACTCTTCTAATAACATCCACGCTGCAGTAACGATCACTTGTGAATAAAATAAAGAATGATATTTCGAAATCAGCGGAGGTGATAATGTTTTCTGGGCAATTACTCCGTCCTATAATTTTTTCATTGAAGTACTAAAACAAATTGAGATTATTCTTACCCTATTAGTCGCTAATTTTATTAACAAAATATTTTGCACTTTGCAAACCCCAATTTAGTCCATCGTTAATATTAGTGCCACTTTTTCTTCTTTTAAGTTTTTCTATTTTAATTATTTCCACTTATTTCTGCTTGTTTTCACTTCGTTTATTATCTTCAACACCAGCGAATTGCTGTTTTTTTCCTTGTTTTATATTTTAATTCTTAAAATTTTTGAATCCCTCTAATTATTAATCGCTTCGATCAAAAACAGCAAATGAAGAAGAGAATCACTGTAATTATAAATTTCAGTATTTATTCAATTTGTCGATGAATTATTTCGATCTTTGCGTCGATGAAAACGCTCTCTGGGTGCTTTTCCACTACGAAAATGTGAATTATCTTTCGGTTGCTAAACTTGATATTAATAATTTAACAATTTATGAGACGTGGAATTTGACGCTCATTAATCATACTGAAGTGTCCAATGGATTTGTGGTTTGTGGTGTACTATACCTGGTTTCTTCTTTTTTTACTTTCTTGTATTTGCGTAATTATTCATAGATTTACAAGACTTTCGCAGTTCTGCATTGATATTTTTTGCAGGTTTCAAATTCATTTGAGCTAAAATCGGATATCTCAATAGCTTATGATTTTTATCGCGACAAATATCGTAAACCAAATATAAAATGGGTGAATTTGTACCGCAACGCTAACATGGTATCATATAATCCATATGATAAGCGCATATACGTCTATGATCATGGATATCTTTTAACTTTGCCTGCTAGAATAACATGGAGAGCCAAGTAGCCTTTTCAGACTGGGTAATCTCATAAAGAATTTTTATCAGTGGAACGATCAAATGCTTGTTTTGATTGATCTTATCAATCTCGTATACAATTAATTGTGCCGGAATTTGTGAAGAATCTCGAAATTTTTGTTTTCTAAAAAAATTTTCCAGACTTTCTCATGTATATTTATTATTGTTCTCATAGGTGATCGGTGTTCTATCTCCCGCCCTATCTCCCTATTTCAGATTTATATTATTTTAGAAATAAATGAAATGAAAGTTAAGTTTCAAAGCCGCATATGACGTTCAATTTTATACTAATGGAACGTGTTAAGTGATTGATTAAAATATTATTTAAAATCTGAAAAGGACAAAAATAGTTCGATATTTCGATAAAGCTGAAAATATGCATTGTTTTTCTTAAATTTTTCGTAAATTTTTCATAATTTTTTACAATTACAATAAATATTAAAAATACTGCAAATCAAATTTAATGGGGGTAGAATGGCTGAGTGAATTGGCGTTCTCAATTCGCTGATATCTATTCCTAGCACGAATAAGTTTTTCAAAATCCGAGGAATGCTGATAGTTGGTGAACAATTTTTCTTTGAGAAAGCACAGTTATCATTAATTGCAAATTTAGTGCATTTAAAAAAAGGAGATTATGATTACGAAGTGAAATCTTTTTGCAACCGAAAGCAAACCTTAAGTTGATGACATTTGGCCCAAGGTGATTTGTCTTCCTAGTTGCAGCCTGACTCCCTATTTATAAGTTCTTCTCGGTACCTTCCTAATCAATTTTCAATTAACGCTAGTTAAGGATGTAAATCAACTTAGAAACAAGCATCGCACACCAATTCTCTAAGAAATTCGTACAAAATTATTTCAAAAAAAAGCTGAAAAAAAGCTTCTTTTTGGCGACAATGGCGATACTGAATTCTAAATATGTTTAATCAAATTACATTGCTATGAATTATTTGCTAAGCTTCTTTTTAAATTCTATTTAAAATTAGCGAAATTATTCAAATAATTTTTTATATAAAATACCATAGGTTTATATAAAATAATATGGCCAGGAAAGCAATTTTATAGGTGCTTAACAATTCATCTGAAAAGTCGCTCGTAAAACAATAACACTGTCCCCCTTATAAAAGCCAATCTATTGTTAGATTGATAAATATTTTTTTGATATTTTTTCTTCGCTATATTTTCCTAAATTTTTTTCCAAATACTGAAAAAATGAAGGAGCAAAGTTTATTCATTCATTATCAGTAAATATAAAATCAAAATAGCAAATTTTTCAAGATCATTTTAGCTCCGATGGCTCATCTATTATTGATATGTTTAATAAATTTTTCAATTATAATTTATGCGATATGTACGAATATTAATACAAATAATATCGAAAAATTGGCTATAAAGTTGATTGAAGCGAAAATTCAGGCGAATTCAAAAATTTCTGGTACTCCTCAGGTAGTTTTTTCTTTTTTCGGCTGATAACCATTGATTTTTTGAAAAAAATTAACTCTTTAAATGCTTATTGAAGAATGCTTCTCAGAGTTATTTCTTCTAAGGGCAGTCATCAGATGGGTTAGTTTCAATAGCTTTTCGGGCCTCAGATAAATTCGGCTAAGGAGAGACACTTGACGATGCAGACTAGTCGAAAAGATAGGTTGAAAACTGGCGCAATAAAATATTTGATTAATTTATTTATTATTTGCTGTAAAGCGGTCATCATCGAAGATTATTTAAATAAATCGAATTGTCAAATTGAATTATTTCGAAATTATGCAAAACTGGAATTTTCAAAAATTCCCCGCAATATATCTATTTATTACATTCGACATCTATCACAGATTTATCATCTAATACTCGGTTATACTCGAACTGTGCTTATTAAATTTATTATAAGCTTTAGCTTAAATCTAAGTAATATTCGAATTGCATTTGCTCAAATAAAAAATTAAATATTCCGCCTGATATTGCAGCCTGGTGTGCCTCAGAGTAAAATAATTAGGGTTTGTGCATGATTATCGGTGTAATAAGCGAAATAGAGAAAAAAGCCAAGTGTCGCCTCTAGAAACGAGAGAAATCTGAAGCAAATTAAAAAATTTTGTGGAGGAACAGTCTAATTTAAGAATAGAAACTTTACATTATATTTATAAATCATTAAATCGCTTATTCATTTGTCGAATCTTTTTGACTCGATTCATTCATCAAAAATTATTTTAAAAAAGTTATAATTATTTATTTAAAACGTTGAATTAAGCATAGCCATTCCAGAAAAAGCAACTAACTTAAAGCAGCGTCAAGAAGATAGATAATTTGCGAGTGGCAAAAGTTATTCGACGTGTAATAGTATAAAATCTCTTTTACATCACTCTATTGTCGCTTTTCATCGTTCCATTTCATTATTCACAGCTTAAACTTTACAACTTAAGCAGTAAAGTATGGAGTGGACTACGTTTAAAACATCCTATAATTGAGTGAGTATGTGCAATAATTCACACGGCGAAAAAGTCCCCCCCCCCCCCCCACTCCCACTTAGTAATTAAATTACTAAGTAATGAAATAATTGCGCGAGTAGACTTCGATAATTTTGATTCTTGTTTTGTTCCTTTTGATCCTTTTTGTTCGAATTCCATAAAGTCCTATAAAGTAGAATAAAATCATTTATTGCAACCAAAGCTGACCAAAGCTTGTAATGTAACTGAAAATTATTCTCTATAAAATCTATAAAATATTACGCAAATTGGAAGAATATTGTTCTTGGAATTGGAAGAATTTAGTAAGATTGATAGTAAGATTATCTCGAGTTCAGCCTCCAGCATTTGCTTCAAATTTGATAATAGAGCGTTCGTAAGCCATTTAGCTGTCTTGTAATAGAGGCAGATTGTCCGATCTACCATGCTAGTAATCGACATCACTAGATTATGCATTTTTTGCTTTTAATATAACTTAATAAATCCTTTCCAGAAAGGTTCTGAAAGCCGCTTTCTGAATGAATGGGTCGTTGAAATAATCGGTGGCAAAAAACGTGCGCAGAAAATCGCGCAATTAAATGGATTTTACTTTGCTGGCCAAGTTTATCAAATATCTCTATTATCAAATATCTCTTTAAATTTTCAGCAGCAAAATAGAAAAATGAGAAGATAAGTTCGTATAGCTTAAGCGAACTGCGGGTTAACTGCGTTTTATGCAAATTTCAGTTTAATCTAATTCTATGATTTCTATAGGTGCGAGGCTTTAACAATACATATCTGTTGAAACGAAGAGCCAATCGGCAGAAACGAAAAACGTTTCATAAATCAAGGAAGTTTAAAAAATATGTAAATATTTATGGACTTCTATATGTCATAAAATAAAAATAATAATTTCTAAAATATAAAATTAAGTAAATTAAATTAAAGCTGGTGAAGATGAAAGGTAAAAATGAAGATTAAAGGTAAAATGGATGGAGCGGCAAATTCTCTTGGAACGCCACAAACGTGATTTCACCGACAAAACTTCATTTGATGACCCCTTATGGCCTAAACAATGGATTTTGGTTTCGATTTTTTAAGTTTTCATCGAGAAAAAAATATAAATAATTCTTAGAAAATACAGCTTACAACTTATCAATTCTTATGAAATACATTTTATAAAAACAAATTTATTTTTCCTGCAAACTGTGATAAAAAATTGCGATAATAGATAAAAATTAAAGAATTTAGCACGATGATAAAACGAAAAATCAAATGGAATTGATTATGAACATTACTGGCGCATGGAATCTTGGTTACACTGGAAGTGGAATCGTCATTTCAATAATTGTTAGTTAATTAGCCAAGGGTAATTAATAGTTACCGAAACTGCATTGCAGCAATTTTTTGAATTTGGAAAAAGGTTATCGTTCAAAAGTTACAAATGATGATAAAATGAAAAAAATTGTACACATTTTTTATAATAAACATTACGCCTTAACGATCAATGACCATAGCCAAGTAACCTTTGAACATACATTATTAGGTTTTTAGGTTGTTGGTTTTTAAGTTTTTTTTAGGTTATAGGTTATTAATCTTGCTTTAGCATTTATAAATTTCAGGATGATGGATTAGAATACAACCATAGCGATCTTGCAGCTAATTATGTTAGCTAAATTATTGATACTAAAATAAATCTCAAATGAATTTGTTTCCTTATGATAATTTAGCTGGATAATTTTTTACCTTTTAAGCCTAATAAAAAACAATAAAATTTCCATCAAAGAGAAGTACAAAAGCTATAAAATGTAAAGCGTAATGGTGAGCATGATATAAATTGCAGGATAGCAAAGCCTCATATGATCTTATCAATAACAACAATGATCCAATGCCAATTAAAAATGGGTTGAACAAGTCAGTAATATTAATGTTGTTGCTAAAAAGAGATATTAAATACATAGTAATAAAAAAGAAAAATAGCTCCACGTGTTGCTGCCTGCATTTTAGAGCCGATGTTGGCTGGCATCTGTACTTTTGCACTTCTACTCTCAAGAGAGACTCGCTGGTAAAATTTATTTGTCTTCACAAGCCTGTGGAATGAGCCTAACCAGAAATGGTGAATGCTCTTCAAAAAACAATAAATAAAAATAAAAGAAAATAATGTTTTACGCACGGTTCTCAAGAATTTCAAATATTATTGAAGTTTTACAACAAATTGAATTGTTTTTTAAAGATTCAGGACAAAATTCAGGACAAAAATTTAAATTTAATGAGCCTAGCTGAAGCCTTTACCGTTCTTATTAAAAACCTTTGATCATTAGTTTATATCGAAAAAAATTTGCGTTTTAATTGATAAAAATTTTCTAGTCATGGAACCAGATGTGCTGGTGAAATAGCGATGGTAGCAAATAATTCCATATGCGGTGTTGGCATTGCTTATCGTGCTTCGATCGGAGGTACCTTTTAAAACATTTTTTTATTTTATTTCATTTTATTTATTTCAAAATCAAAAAGTTGGAAAAAAATTCATGGAAATGAATTTTCTATATTGGACGAGACATTTTAAAAGAAATAACTGCGACTTGAAATTTTTGAATATTAAAGTGGAATATGTATAATATATTACAAAATAATTGCATAATTTACATTTTTTTAATATGAAATTTTTTATGCTTTTCATCATATTAACCAGTAAAAGAGCGAACGAACAAAATTTTGCCTCATAACTGCGATTGTTAGACAAAGTAAAAGGTTTGAATAAGGTTTGAAGTATGAAGGTAATAATAAGCTTGGTTTGAATAAATTTAGTGGAAACGGATTGAAAACAATATTAGTAATAGATTTTGGCAAAAAATATAGCGGGATTCCGGAAATTTTTAGGAGATTTTCCGAAGAATTTGATAATTGTAAATCTCGATTTCGTAGATAATACTGGCTTTTAGAATGGACTTTTACAAAAAAGCATAGTGACGACCGGATTTTGATTGTATTAAGAGAAAAGAGCACACACGCTTTCCGACTTTCAGAGAGTGTTAAAGCTTATAATGGTTTGACGGAAGGCTGTAAGTGATTTTAAAGCAGAGCAGGATTACGACGACAGTCTGGGGAATCACTGAAATCTACTGATAATAATGCTTTCTCCACCCCATTTTTTCCCCTTCCGACATTAGTCTATAACGACTTATGGAAAGCTCGAAGGTTTAAAAATTTAAGATTATATTACATTATTATATTAGAGAAGATTTATTATATTAACGAATTTGTAGCAATGCTACTAACGGCTTATAAGACGAATTGCATTAGAACGACCTAACCTGAGGAATGTTGACATAATAAGTTTAGAAGATAGCATTGAAGAGGCTGTTTGAAAAATTTTGAAGGACTAATCTAGTCGAAAAGACGCATTGGAAGAAAATGGTACTTTTTGCTCAACGTGGACGTCAGAGCAATTTGAGGGTAGAAGGAGTTGTTGAAGAGAAACAACAGGTTTAAGGGACAGAGGGCTTTACCTAATTGGGAAATAGATGAGGGAAATACAAATAAATAGACAATAGTTTTTCAGATTTGCATACTAATATATCTTTAGCATTAATTGCTCAACTGAAGACCGCGGTTGCCGCTAATGTTAAATAAAGTTGGTATGGCGATTTTGCTTGAATTCCTCAATATAGAAGTCATTTTTACTATTCTATTGAAACGAGAACGAGTTATAGAACAAAAAAATAGGTGAACAATTTCAGGCATAAGAATATTAGGAAGGAAAGTCACAGATCGTCTCGAAGCTGAAGCACTTTTGTTCAACAATAACCACATTGACATTTATTCAGCTAGTTGGGGTCCAAACGACGATGGAAGAACAGTTGATGGGCCTAGAAGATTGTCACAGATTGCTTTAATGAATGGGATAAAATTTGTTAGCAGCTTTTTTTTCGTTTCGTCTTTGTAAATTATAAATTTTTCGTTAACTATTTAACTATTATACGGACAGGGACGTCAAGGAAAGGGTTCAATCTTTGTTTGGGCATCAGGAAATGGTGGCCTAAACAATGATGATTGTAGCTGTGACGGTTATTCAAGTAGCATTTATACATTTTCGGTTGCAAGTGCTACAGAAAACGGCAATCTACCATGGTATGGAGAAAAGTGTGCTTCTATTCTCGCGACAACATTTTCTACTGGAAGCAGTGCGGAAAGAATGATAGTACGTTTTTCCAGATCTAATAAAAACCTTTATATAGATTCTATGATGATAGTATCTGTCTACCTTTTATCTGTCTACCTACAGATTTTAGGTAACCACTGATACGGGCAATAAATGTACGATGGATCATTCAGGAACATCGGCCTCAGCTCCAGTAGCAGCAGCTGTAATTGCTCTTGGCCTCGAGGCAAAGTGAGTTAATTCACTGAATTGCTTATATTTGCTGAATGAAACTTAACCTATCGTTATTTTTTTCATAGATTATTTTTGATATCATTTAGTCCTTTACTTACTTGGCGTGACGCACAACACATTGCTATTTGGACGGCACAACCGCATTATTTAATTTCAAATTATGGATGGAGAAAAAATGGAATTGGATTGTATTTTAATCCAAGATTTGGTTTCGGTTAGTTGTATACCACCTTTTCCATAGCCAAGTTTTTTCATAACCAGGCATGCATACTTGGCCACTCTTAGCGTACATTTCCTAGCTTAGAATAGTTAGTATATAAAGGTTTCATTAGATCTGGAAAAACGTACTATCATCTTTTCCGCACTGCTTCCAGTAGAAAATGTTGTCGCGAGAATAGAATGTTACATTTTTCTCCATACCATGGTAGATTGCCATTTTCCGTAGCATTTGCAACCGAAAATGTATAAATGCTACTTGAATAACCGTCACGCTACAAGTATCACCATTTCTTCTTCTTCTAAAAGCACTCTCAGCACTGCTGGTTAGGTTTGCTCCGTCAGCCCAGATAAATTTTAGCTAAGGAGCTACTTGGCCATCGAAATACAGGTGAGTCGTCTACTCCTATCGGGCGTAAAACTTATCATCGGAGCAATGAACTGAGTAACAATCTATTGAGCCATTCTGTGATTTTGCCGTTTGGCCATACTGCAGCCTGGCGAAGTACCTTGGCAATGGTTACTTAACGAAAATTTAATAAGTCGATAATTCAAAACAGCTTTCAAACAGCTTTTTTTCACAAAAAAGAGTTGTAACGATGTCATTTTATGCCAAAACTTATGAAAAAATTAATTTCTAGGAATGATGAACGCTTTCCATTTTGCTAATGTATCGAAATACTGGAAAAATGTACCAGAACAGCAAACCTGTACAACAAATTTTCCATCGTTTGCGAAAAGGTTTAATAATATAATAAACGTTAGAGGTAGTTTACTCAGTGGGTCATTTCGGAGACGCGATCTATTCCCGTATATGCAAATCGTGGATTGCATTTTGGAAGTCCCGATGAGTGCTGCTTCCATTGCCGAGTGATTCCTTCGCGAAATCTGTCCAGCTCGAGCCAGCAGATCGAGCAATCATGGGCAATTATAAAGTTCAAAAAAATTTTCTTAAAAAAAATTTCAAATAAGTTGAGCAATTTTACAAACTTTTCTTTGAAATTTTACCTTATTTGAGAAAAGTGATGTTTATTACTGAAACGATCATTAATTTTGAAACAGACGCATGCCAAGGACGAGAAAATGAGATTAATATCATGGAACATGTAAATCTAATTCTCGACATGGATTATCCAATTCGTGGTCATCTTGCAATATATTTAATTTCTCCTCAAAGTACTTTGCCATTTCAACATGTGGTCTGTAAAAGTTATAATATGCTAATTATTGTGAAGTTTAATTTTTTCCATTTAGAAACTCGAAGTCAGCTTTTATCATTGAGACGCCAAGACTATTCGTCAAAGGGATTTCGTGAATGGCCTTTCATGTCAGTGCATTTTTGGGGAGAAAATCCACGAGGAATATGGCAGTTAGAAATTGCTGACCAAGTGATATTTGACATTTATGACGTCTAATATTCTGACAGAATTATCAGAATTCCGTACTGCCATAATTCCGACAAAATAAACCAATTCGTATTACCTAAAATCAAATTGACAAATTGACAATTTTCTTATTTTCTATGAATTTTCAGAGTATGTTAACGATTGGTTTACATGGTTTTGTTAATAATATATCACTTATAATATATGGGACGAAATATCAACCAGAATATCAAAAATATCCTAAAAATTATGTAAATCTATTCGACAAAAAAATCTTTGACCTAGAAAAGCAAATGAGGACGGTAAGTAATGACGACATTTCTCGCTGAAACAAATCAAACATCAATAGAATAATTTCATAGCCGAGTGCATAACGATTCAGATTGTCATGTTGCCGCAAGCGTTCGGCTCCTCTCATGGAGTCTTGAAAAATTAAAAAATCTTAAAAATTCTACTGGCGGAACTTCTAGTGCTTTTGTCGCCAAGTGGTTACGTCTGACGGCATTGATAGCCAATGTTGTTGGCTATATTGGCTCTGCCAAAAATGGTAAATGATAAACACTCATGCCTAATAGTGAATATTTTTAATGAATATATAGATATATACGCATATTATAGGCCAATTCATCAAAATTACTACAATCAATTCTTCAAATTGCCAAGAATAAAACTCTGCTGTCAAGCAAATCTTATGGCGAACTATCGGTACTAACGAAAATTTTAGATGAAATAAATCAAGAAATTATTTATGAAAGAAAATTAGCAAAATCTTTACACATTTCCCATAATTCATTTGAATATATTTCTCGATAAATTCTGTAATTCTTTAAATCTTGTTAATATTGTTAAATATTTCATTTATCATCATGTTGTAGTGTTAATAGAATAATCAAAACTAAAAATGGTATGCGTTTAGAACAGTGCTTGTTAAAATGACTTTCTAAGGGTCCCCTGGAGATTATGGCGACTTCAGAGAGTGAAAAGGTGCCTAACTTGAATTACATTTTCTTGTCCTATGTGAGTGGTAACAAATCATTATTAGGCAGTTCATACTTTTTCTTCGAAATTATCAGTTTTTGCATTACTTAAGACCCATTTTCTTATTTTCTATGTACGTTAAAAACTGGTTCACATGGTTTTCTTTTTCTTTTGTCTTATATAATATTTTGAAAAAATTTAATGAATATTTTAAAATCTTAAACTTTTGGAAATGTTCCACTGGGAATCTGTGAAAGGCACCACTTAAAGGAACTGCAGAAAAAATTTAAGCCAGTGATTTAGAAGAAAATAAGAATGAAATCAATTTATTAATTTATTAAATCAATTTATTATTAATTTAATAGTTTTTCAATGAGGATTGTTTTCTTCACGTAACCTGAATTTCACCCGAAGCAAAGAACCCAGGCAAAATGTAAATGTGGATCTAATTAAGGTCAAATCTTGATGTGTGATTGCTTCTTATTAATGAAAAATTTATTTGTCGGATGTCGTTATAGCAACCTGCATGATAATATTTGCGAAATTCTTTATTGCCTTAGGCGGTATTTTCCTAAAACTTTTGTTAAAATATTTGTTTAAGATAATTTTTTCTTTCTCTGGATTTGCAGTAGAATTTATTTAATAAAATCTATATTTTGCATTAATCGTATATTTTTTTCATCAATTATTAGATTTATTAGAATACGATAATCGAACGATATAAGTAAATTTGACCTTAAGCGAAGAAATTTCATACTTATAAAAGAAGTGATTCCAGCTAAACGGTTACAGATAAATGCGCATGGAGAGAGAAATGTTAAGCTGATATAAGAAGGCAACAATCAACTGCCCGACTGCCCCGCGCACTAACTTAAAAGTACCTATCGGCATCAGCTCGCAGCGATTATGATAAGACATTAAAAAAAGCCTGCGATATAAATATTAGCCAAGCACGAAATAATCTTCAAACTTCAGGAGATAAGCCTAATAAAAGCCACCCACTCCCACTCGCCTCTCCTTGCAAAAATGCTATTCTTCGAGCTCAATTCTTGCTCAATGTGTTTCAACCCATTTGCTAATACCATACTGGAATACATACTGAGATATTAAGAAAATAAAGTAGTGAACAAATGGCTGAAGCAATTCTGAATAATCCTCCAATCAGACCAGCGATTTTGTGCATATTTTGATGCAAAAATGAAAAATTTTATAAAGCATAACAGGAAATTGACCTCGTTCCTTCAAACGCGATTTCTCACAGAAATAGTTAAGACGGTCGTTTTGGTAAAATTTATTGTATCAACATAAATTGCTAAAAATTCACTTTTCATTGACTAAAAAATATAATTACAGGTTTCACAAATGATTGCACTCGCAAAAGATTCCATAGACAACGATATTCGCCCAAATATTAACTCGAAGATTCGTGAAAAAATGCGAGTAAATTTAGCCAAAAAGCGCGAAAAAAAAGCAGAAAAGAAGCAATTTATTAAAGAACAATCGTCGGAAATGGAATTTGATGAAAAGGTTCTTGATGAGGAGATACAAAACTCATTAATGGTTGGTTCATTCTGATTAACTTCCGACCAAGAAATTTTCACGGAATGAAAAAATGTATTCACCACACTTAAGAAACAACCAACTGAATAGATTCATCTCAACTGAACATAATAATAAAAAATAAAATTACAGCTGGGAGAGAAATATTTATCAAAGCAGTTATCAAATGATTTCTTATCAGATGAAGCACAATTTGAATTTTTAACGAAAGTTTATGAAAAAACTGACACTAATTTATCAAAAGAGGAACCATCTGGTACCATTTTTTGCCTATTTTATAATGAAAGTATAAGTATATTTTACAAATTTTTTTATTTTTTATAGTTATTTAAAAAATTTTCATACCTTATCATTACCACTTGTTATCATGATTTAGTTGGTTGTTGCTCTGACTTCGGAGCGCCAGGGCTCTAAGGCAAGCATAAACAAAAGTTTAGGTCATGCTGCTGGTTCATACATACTTCTATTGGTAGATGACAAAATTCGTATGGCCCATAAATCTGCAGAGCTAGCTTTACCAGAAATAGTAAGCTCTCTTAAATTTTTATCGTCTTTTTTCATAGGGTGCGACTCTTGGTTAAAGACTTCCACCCTCGTAATCCGCCAAATCAAAAATGGTGAGTGCCATGAGAACGAGAAGATTTTTATCCATGGTTATAATATATTTTTCTCCTTTTCTCCTTTTAAAAGCTCGCAGCTTTATTTGTTAGGCTGCTTCCGCTGGCCAAAAGGATTAAGCGACTGCAAACTGCTCGATCCGATACATTGTTTGGAATAAACCATTTTTTTCACCATCTAAACTCAGATTTTAGGTATTATAATGCAATATTCAAGAAACATAATTTTAGACCAATTTTACTGAATACTGAAATGTGATTTTCGAATTTTTTTAATAAATAATTTAGTTCATTATACAAAAGCAAAGCTTCAATGTCGGAATGATGCAGAAAGATTCAAGACATTTTGCAAAATATATGACAAAAAAAATCTTTCTTCAGCTGAAACTGGCCAGCAGAGGTCAAATATTGTTAGTTGTCTTTACAAATATAAATGGTCCTTGGAACCATTCGATAGTTCTCTTCTTCAGCTTCTATACGAGTAAAAGAATTCAGAATTCTTTACTAAACTCATAAATTATTAGCAAGAAAAAAAGGGGGAGGAACAGTGTGAATGCACAGATTTGGAGTAAACCTTTCCCAAAAAAAATAATTCGGTGTAAAACTATCAATTTATCCAAAGTTTTTTCAGAAAAAATGGTTTTACAGAGGCTTTAGACTATTCACTATTTGTACAAAGATTCGGTGACAGCTTTTTAGACAAAGATGGCGTCATTCTCAATAGCAACCAGTTGTTCGGCAAGATGGCAATGAAAGTAACTAATTCATTTCATTGGAATAGAAGGCTGACCCTGGCTGAGAGTCCAAAATTGTGCCCCTTTTCACCAGAACTCTTTTCTCATTATTAGAATTCTCATTTTCTGATCTCGATTTTATTTATTCATATTTATTCCAGTCGAGGAACTTATTTAACGCATGAAAAGCAGCCTGTTCTTGCTGTTATATTACTATTTCCTCCAGTAGTTGCAGTCACCTCATAGAATTCAAGCATAGCCTCGAGCTTCGCTTATTTGAATTCTACTAACGAAATTCGCGAAAACCCTAAATTGAAATAATTCTGGATAATGGAAAAAAAGTTCATTAGATGGACTTTTTGGTTATCAGATAGGCTAAAGGGTAATTTATCACTGACGATCATTTTGAATTTTTTCGTGGGATTTCGTCAGTTTAAAACCTCGCCTAACTCGAAGTTCTTGTGTTTTCTCTCCAAAGTTTGCATAGAAATAAAATATTATAGGAAGAAAACTATGATGAAGATATGATATACAGCGAATATAAAAAAGGCGAAGACTGGCAATCTTCGTCTAATCGATTATCTAATGCCAATTATATTGAAATGGATATTAATTTAAATAAAATTATTTTTGATGAACATTGGTTATCCAGCCAAGAAGACAAGGTCGGAATATTTTGTTGGCCATTCGGCCTTTAACGGATATTTTATCTTTTTTATTTTATTACATATATTTTAATCAGTTTTTTTGCAAAACGTGAGTTTCACATTTTACAGTATAACAGTGAGTATAACAAAAATCTAGGCAGAAGAAGGGCTCATGTGGTTGCTGCTGTTTGCAGATATTGGGATTCTACTATTGACAGAAGCAAATCTGTCAGAAATTCAGGTGATGCTGACGACTTACCTGTATTTCTATCGCCAAGTGGCCCCTTAGCAAAAGTTTGTCTAATATGATACATTTGCCGAACAAGAAACGGTGAACATCCTAGATCATTATGAAAAAAGTGCAACAAAGAAGTATATTAAAAGATGGCGAGAGATGGCGGAATTATATAATTTTCTACAATGGCAGAAGGAACTTTGCTCTCTGGTTTAGGCAAAAAAATAAATAGAACAGATTTTATCTTTTAATCAGCAATATAAAAAAAAATTTTGCTTGTTCAAGGTCTTACTTTAATTAATTATCAATAAGATATCAATACTTATTTCAATATTAGTTGTAATATTTTTTGATATTTTTAAGCCAATTTTTTAAAACTTTCTTTAGTATTTGATTAATTTTATCAATTAATTAATAACTAATTCTAATACTAATTTTTGGAGACATTAATTTTAATTATAATATATAATATTTTTCCTTATCACAATATTTTAAAAAAATATGTAAAGAAACGATGAAGAAGCTTTTTTAGTTGTGTACAGTTATCAGAAGTCTTCACAATGCTCAAGATTTTTGGCTACAACAATCACTGATTGTTATCAAGAAGATTGATGAAATTAATAACGCAAGAAGCAATACTGAGAATCTGTAATATTTTCATAAATATTATAATACCCTTTATTTTCGAGTTATTTTTGGGCAAAATAGCCATTTGATATTGTTCTATCAGAGATTTCATCATAGGTTCAATTTCTTTCCTTTGAAGGTGGGAAACCTGCCATCGAAAGTGAAAAATAAAGTCTTGGTGACACTGAAGAATTTATAATTCCACCTCCAGAAAGCAGCACTGATTCGCCAGCATAAGTCAGATTGCAATATAAAGGACTAGTGGCCCCACTACTACCCCTGGAAGATGCAAAGCAAAGTTGTTCGTAAAAATTCAAATATTGCTGGCGATTCACTTGAATTTTTATATTTAAGTAAAATATCCCAACTGGCTAAGCAGTCAATGAAGCGAGCATCCAGAAATGGTAAGCGCTGTATCTCCAAATAACTTTGGCGAGGACACTTCATTCCGTTAAGCATTTGGTGACCAGAAATACTGAAAATAATGGGTACTGTCAAAAAATGATGGGAAAAACCTTAGAAACTAGCATACATTGGCCAAGGTTTCAGAATGAATTTCACCACTGAACTTTTAATTTCTGAATTAAAAACTGCAAAGGAAAATTATGTTCATCTCGGAAGAAGCATTGAAAAAAATTGGAATGATTTGCAACGATTGAGAATTGAGCAAGGCTATGCCTCCAGAAACCTTGCCGTGCAGAAAACTGAGCAAAGGTTGTCGCATTCGTTTTATTTTATTTTTGAATTTATTTATTTTTCATTATATTTTATTGTTAATTTCGAGTTCTTGACTAGAATAGCTCAATGAATTAAGTGAAAATTATTCTTCTCATTTAATGCTAAGGCTCTTCTCTCAGCAGAAGCTATCTTTAGAAAAATTCTGTGGTGCTGGCTACTTACTTACAATTCTATTGCCAAAAGGCAAAATTTTTCTAGCCCAACAAATCCAGCAGAGTGAACCGAAATGGGAGTGCTTTTAAGTCAAATTTAAATTTTCCTAAAACGGCTTTTTTAAATTGCAATCTTTCCAAATCTGGCAAGTTTCACTAAAGCTTTGAAAAGAAGATAACTGATTGATTGCATGATTTTCATCAAATACCTTTAGTATACCGATGTTTGGCGCATATTTGTCTTTGTTTCGCTGGCTACCATAATTGAATCTAATTCTGATCCTAAGCTGAATGGCAGATGAGATTATTCCAGTCTTTCTAACTGCTTTATTTTCATTATAAATTTCAGCGACATTTTAAATTTTTATAACCAATGGTTCGACACAGCTGATACACCTGTATATTCAATAATTGCAAGTGAAGAACCACAGATTAATAATTCAAAACCACAGCATGAAATTGAGCGTTTAAGTCTGATATCTAAATATCGCTATCAGCTAATAATTCACTTCAATAAAATAAGTGTGTGCAAGACTCCATATCGAGCGTTAAATACTGATTTCTCCTGTAATTTCGATGAAATTTACAGATTACGTGTAAGCTTTATTGCTGTTGCTTCATTACTGAACCATTATATGGAACCTTTCTTCCTTTTGCAGCATGAAACACTTTTTGATTTGGCTGAATTCAGTCGTTGGGATGAAGCATCTTCTCACTAAAAAGCCATATGATATTGAGAGAGGTCTTAGACCTCAAAAAAAAGATCATTTTAGTGAAAATAGGGAAAAATTGGCATTGTTTGTTTATTTAAATAATGGATAAATATTAATGGTGAATGTCTCACAGACGTGAAATTCTGCAAAGTTTGTATCACAAATGCTAATTATTCAGGTTCATGACATACCAAATGCTATCGATATAACAGTTGTTGAAAAATCACCGAAGTTGGATGCTAAAATTTTGGCTAATATTGGCGTACCACTTCCTGATGAAGCTTCTTTCTCAAGAGTCAATAGACCGCTTGATACCGTCGAATTTGCTTATAATTCAGGGTGAGAATTTTCTAAAATGGTATAACAAACTGATCTCTGCGTGATGTAAGCCATAGGATTATTTTGAAGAATGCCAACAAATCTCCCTCCCTCAAAAATCATAACTTAATAAACCAAATTTTTAATAATATTTATAATTTTCTATTATCTCGAACAAATTTCATGGATCAGCTGATAGCTATATATTATTTCAGATCACCAAATAATAATAACAAGATGTCAACAGTTAGAGGAAAATTATATTGTACTGCTTTATGGGCAAACTCAGTTTCTGTCAAAAAACAGAAAGACAATATTATATTCCACTTTTTCCAAGGAAAAGAGGAGAAGAAGAATAATTTTGAGCTGATTCCATCTTCATTAAAGTTATGTGATGATGATTGTATTGAGTCAGATGTGAGGTAACAGTCTTATTCCAGAAAACGATATTAAGGTGATGTGGTAATTTTAATAAATCATCTTTTTAGACTACAAAGTTTGAAATCTCGATTCTTAAATAAGCAGAATATTTTGACTATTGCACCACAGGATACAGAAACACCTATGATAGACACGAATAATTATAAATCTGTTGAAAATAGCAAATTGAGTTTATCAATTGATAAACTTAGAAATACAGGCATGAAATATGCGATTGAAATGCGGTAAGATTTTGTTAATTCTATTTTTGGAAAAAGAAACCATAATTGATAGATTATCAATGAAGTGATAAATAATAATGATAGGTTTTTGCATATATTCTTAGGTTCTTTCCAAGATCACATTAATTAATTAAACGAATTAAGCATGAATTTTTGAAATTTTAAGAGCAGAAATTCCGAAATTGCCTAATAATCTTATTTTCAACATTCATAACTTGAGAGGAGGAGGTAAGCAAGCGGTTAATAGTTTAGTTCGTTGAGAATGGTCCGGATTTTGCCAATAAACCTATCATTCAAAAATCTGTTTCTTAAACATTATTCGTTCATTCAGAATATGAAAAATGAAAGGTAGAAGAACAAAATTTTGGACGCTAACTTGCCTAATAATCTTATTTTCAGCTCAAAAATCTTAAAACGTTGTTCATACAATAAACGAATTCAAACAATCGAAGACATAATTCGTGAAGAACCTTTGCCAACCTTTTTTAATGCATTTGGAACATTCTTGTTTCGACAAAATAAAACGTCCAGAAAATTAAAACCAGTGAGGCGATCCATCGATCAACAACAGGCAAAATTGTTGCTCTATAATTGTTGCCGCGATTGTCACTGCCAAAATAAAAATTTAAAAGTCTTAATTATAGGTTAAGCCTAATGTGGAGTACCACATCATGGTGAATATTCAATCAGCTATAAATCTTGCTGAACGAATTGAAGGAGGTTTAAAACCTTTCGTGATCGCCCGCTTTCAGGTTTTTATTAACTATTTTCTAAATTCTAAATTCTGAATTACAATTCATTTACTTTTATTTTTATTCCAAACAATAATCCTTTTCCTTTAAAAAATTTTCAGTAAAAATATTTTTTACTGAAGAAAACCATTTTAGAAATCAAGTGCGCAAACTGCAACTGCGAATGGTTGCAATCCAAATTGGCATCAAACTATTAACTTTAAAATAAATCGTTCTAACCAGATTGAAAACGATTTTAAGCTAATATCTGATTATTTGGAGTTAAACATTTATGATAAGGTAAGTTATGATAAGATTACTAATAAATTAAAAAAAAAAACGGTACTAATAATAATTTGCTGGTAGTAATGGAGATGCTTCCATCCTTAAATAACCCTATTGAAAGCTCAGTCATATCTTAATTTTTGATCACTGACGCCTAATCTGAATCTGAACCGATGAGAGCTATATGAAAATAATAACTGGCTAAACGTTAGAAGCACTGGCTATGTTAACAATTAGCGGATTTGACTGATTAATTAATTATCAATTGCTATTCTACCATTTATAGGCTATTATCTTTAGATTAGAAGTCGGGTCTGAAACTAATGGAAGCGAAAAAATTTTTAGGCTCAAACTTTAGTAGCTTGAATTGATTCAATAGAATTTTACAATCAATTATGAAGACAGTTCGTAAAGTTAAAAGATAAGATTTGTTGTTTTAAGGTAGTTTCAAAACTGGACAGCGATAATCGTGAGCCAAATTCAATCCACGAACAAGTAGAATATTGTTGGATGGGGTTTGTGCGAATTCCTTTCTCAACAATATATGGAAATGGAAAAGTGGATGCCTCACTCCGAATCCAAACGCCTATCATATCCACTCTTTATAGGTACTCCTCCATCTTCATCTGAATGTATCAGATCATTAGGAGAGGGGTGGGGGGTGAATAAAAGATAACGAATGGTGTGCTGCTTCGCCTTCGGTCAAGTCGCATCCGATTCCTATCTCTTTAAAGAAGTGAAATTTATTCAAGAATTTCACTTTTACCGTATATAATTTTTAATAAATTTTTAATGTATAAAATATAATAGTTCAATATGAATAAACTGAAAAAATCTTAGATTTTCAAGCCGAGTTTCGTACATAAAGCTTTTAATATCGTTGAGTCCCCCAGTTATTCTTCCAAAAAGGCCGCAAAATTATTTATTCGAAAGTCAAGAAAGCAATAAGGTTTGTGCTTTATGCGATTTCACCGGTAATTCATAAACGTTGTAAATGAATAGGAATTAAGTTCGAATTATTCGAATAATTCCTGGAATCTGAGATTTACTTAAAAAACTGTACCAATCCTAAGGGAAGGCATGAATCGTATAAATTACGCAAATCGCATTACTCTCAAGGGGTTTTATGATTTTAGGCTCTAAAAACTATCCTTCAGATTACTACTAAATGCATACAGTGGGAGAAAATGTTAAAAGAAAGGTACCCCAATCGGAGATATATAAGTTTAGTGGTGAATAGTGAAGGAAAACGAGTTCTTGTATGCAGGTATAACGTTCAATTAGTTTTCAAATGTATAATCATTACTTTCATTTATTTCCAGTCAAAAAGATGGAAATATTACGGATTATATTATAAACTATCGACTAGATTCGGTATGATAAGATTTTACTATCATTTTTCCGTAAGAAGAAAAGATATTAGGCAATTTGTATCAGTGCACCTATCCTTTGTTCACTAAGTCATTGAGCTCGTAAATTTAATTTCCCAACAAATCCTTCGTTTTTGAACTGACAAGTCCGCTGTAATAATTGCTTTGATAGCAGTTACGGATAAAAAATACTGATCAAATGATTTTTATCGTTCATTTCATATATCTTCGTGCTATTAAACCGCCAGCTGACATATTACCAGATGATAGTATAAAATCAGTGGAAAATGCCTGCCGGATTTTATCATATATACCATTTGTGTCCGATCCGGCAATGTTTCCAGGATTTTGTGATTTATGGACAACCGTTGAACAGGTATTTCAATTAATTTTCACAAAATATTATTACTATAATATTGTATTTGACGAAAAAATGAAGTTATAAATTTTTCGTCTTGGAAGATGGGCCCTCTTATTTTTTAATTAAACTTTTAGTTTCTTATGATGGGATATGGAGATGAGGATGAACACGCTGTTCTTTTAGCTTGTTGGCTAATGTATTTGAATATTCCAACATACATAATTATTGGTTCAGCTCTTCCAGAAGGTATCGTTCATATGTTAGATATATGTAAAAAATCCCTTTCTTACCTCCTGCAAGCGACATTCCCAACCTCGTGTCCTCTACCAGAAGCCTAGAAGATTAAGGGTTCTGCGCAGTATCTTAGCTATTATGTATATATATGTATACATACATATATATATATATATATATATATAACCAAAATTTTTGCGGTATTTTCAGGTGAACGGTCAGCATTTGTTCTAATCGAATTATCGAAAGTTATGCTATTGCTGAATCCATCAGATGGTAATACATATTACGTAAATGATGCGTTTTGTCCATTGAAACAAGTCGGTTGCGCCATAAATAATTGCAATATTTATGGAAATATTCAACCATATGATCATCCAAGTCAAATGAGCTTTAATTTCAAGGTACCACATTTTCCATTAGTATTACCAAGCCAATTATAATACAATTGTTTATTCCATAAAACTATTATTACTTTTTTAATTCGGTAAATTGGTGCCAAAAAAATTGGTTCGTTGACATTTTTACGAGACGCTTTTGACATTCATGTTAATATTGTTGCTAGATTTTGCTATCATCGTTGACTTATAAGCCGTTTATCTGACATTATCTGACATTAGTGCTTTTATTAAAAATAGTTTGCACAAGCAATTACTAATTCAGAGCATTAATCACTGGAAAGCAATTTTTGAAACGGATGTAAATGATATTGAATCAGTTCAACCATCGCTAATCACTTATACTAAAACGAATGCAGAATCAGTGATGGAACTTCGATCAACTTTAGAAAGGGAAATTCGACTAAAATTTGATGAATCTCGACCCTATGGTATACCACATTGGAATGTTCTTATTTCCAGGTTAGTAGTTCTAGTTTGCTTCGTCCGATTTAACTATTTTTATTCTTATTAAAATTTCATGCGTACTAGTTTCTGTGCAAAATTATCGAGGTGCTGCTGAAAACCCATTTGCACTTTATTTTTGGCCAATAGTCAGAAGCCAGAAACATCCTATTAGAAGAAAAAATGCATAAAGCTATAGAAATTCTTCCAAGAGATTATTTCTGGTCAGGCTCGCTTCGACCTTCTCGTATCCTAGAGAGCCACGTAGCGATAGAAGCATATAGCTGCCGTCACTAGCATCATCCAGAAGAATTTCGAAATGTATGCTTATTTCTATCCCGAGTAGAACTCCAGTCGCAGCGCTCCGAAACGAGAATAATAAGCCACCGAGCCATCCAAATTGTCCGCGTTTTGTGATAGCAAAAATTTTTTTCAGAATGTTACGTGAATTACTGAATGAATTGGACTCAATGAATCCTATTAATGATATAAATTGCATAGAAAATCGGTTAAGCGAGCTAAGACGAGCCTATAAAATAAATCTGACAATATTTCGACAATCTTATACAAATGTTGATTCGATTATTGAACACGTTTTGCATACGAATTTACATATGAATAGTGATCAACGTCTACAGTTCGCTTTTGCACTTCACATAAATGCATTTGTTTGCAATATTTTATCGGTTTCTATTGCTATCGCATCTTTATCACCGTTATCATCCTAATCTTATCACAATTACATGATAAATATAAGACTTGTGAAAGACAAAACATTTCATGAGTAGCAACTAGAAACACCTGACGAAATTCTCTGCAAGAGCGCCGTGATCAGCGTCCTAGTAGCGAAAATTCTTATCTACCTGGCTATTAAACGAACTATGGAAGATATCAGGAAGTTGTCCAGTACTTGGTTATTCCTAGCTAACATTTATTCTGTGAAATCACCATTCGAACAAAATCTGGCATGATCCACCTTAACAAGCGTCGCATGACGAGACTGGCCAGACAATGTTTTTCGTTATTCACCTCAGGAACTGATGCATATTCCACGAAATCTTCTAGTGGAATCTAGTGAAAAGCGAGGAGACCTAATGACAGATTTGGACGTATATAGGCAGCCCACCTACGTATATAGGATTTAAAGGCTTAGGATGCTGGCAAATGAGGGTTCCATCTGAGGCCAAACATGCCATAATCAAGCCATAAGTCTAAGAAGCCCGTTGCAAAAGCTTAATCGCTAGTGGAGCCAACCAAGCCATGATTTAGGTTCGTCGTGCATATGAATAACTCGGTTATTAAGAACAAATATAGTGCTGTAATATTTTTAATTTCTGAATTTAAAATTTTTAAGAAATCTCAATTTTTCCAAAAAATTTTGTCGATAAAACTTCGGTAATCTTTTTTATTTTGTTTATTTATTATTTATTTATATCGTTAATAAATAATATTAATAAATTATTTATTTCGAAAATAAATAATATTTTAATAAAATTAATTTAATTTTCATATTTTTTATTAATAACCTTTATTCATATTTTTATATTTTCTTTAAAATCAATTATATAATTATAGAATTAAAATAAATTTGCTCGCTTCACTGGTTAGAAATTTGCTAGAAATTTTTGCTAAGGAGACTTGCGTCACGTTGAAACGTTAAAAACGAGTCGCCTACTCGAGTTCTTTAGAAGGCGTTCCCGTTGAGATCCTTCGCATGATCTGTGCTGCCGTCCAATCGGCTGCGCTCTCCCTAAATTTGCAAGGCTGCAAAGGGAAACGGTCTGTTGGCTGGTCGCATTTACTGTCCCTTCTTTTTTTAATAAAAATGTTTTTTAGTGATGAATCCGGATAGCGTTAATAACACTAATAATCGTACAAAATCGTCAAGTCCACGGCGCAATACGACAACGCAAAACGTTATTCGAACATTTGCAGACGCGATTACGCATTTTAAACGGAATGATCGAGTTAAAATTTTTGACATGCAGGTGAAACCAACATTTTTCGGCACTTTTTTATGATTAGACACTCTTCTTTTTTTCTAAAACCTCTTCACTTCCGGACAAGCAGGCTTGTCGTAAATTTTAGAAACGAGTTAAATTTTCTGCCGAGCAGATTTTTGGAAAGGAACAGAGCTGCAGCATCGACGCTGCGCAGCCTGTTGAGCCGCACTGTGTTGTATTCTTTGTTGTATTATAAATCAGTTTAAACTGAATAAAAGATTCCTTTTGCCTTTTTTCTTTTTTTCTGGACCAGTGCGCATCTTTCTGGCTTGATTGGTATCATTGGCTACTAAGATAAGCCCTTTGCAAGCGTCCCAGCACCTGGCAAAGTTCTGGTGCTGTGTGTTCATTCAGCTAATTCAGCTAATTTCAGTGTAAGGTGAACTTCAAAGAAAAACCAATAAATAAGACTTTCTTTAAATATTATTTATTAAAGATATTTTTCTGGTTATATTACCACTTTGTTTTTTGCCTTTGTTTTTAAAATCTATTTTAGCTAAAGAAATACTTTCTTTTAATTTATACTTTCTTTTAACCTATAATTTAAAGGTACCACGACCACTAACACTATCATGGAATTGCGAAGGAACGCGATTGGCAGCTGGCGCTGAAAAAAGCGTTGCAGTTGTCACACTCGATTCATCTTATCGAACCGTTATTTTTTATTTTTATTTTAATTTTATTAAAACCAGACTTCTCATCTTTTGTTTTTGTCTCTTAAAAAATTTACAATTCCATTGTTCAACGAATTATTTTAATGAAATTTTCATGATTTTTTAATATATTTTTTCCATTTATTGTTTATTTTAAGTTTTTTTGGAATAATTCATTCGATTTTCTTACAGAAAAGTATTTTTCACGGATATGGGCATAACGAGCAGGTGGATCAGGTTGCTTTTCATCCTTCTAATCCTTATTTGCTAGCTTCCGCCAGTGCTGATCGTACAATTCGCATTTGGGATATCAGACAAACACGAACGCATACCAGACTCACAACAAAAGGCAATATTTTTTTAAAAGGAGATTGTTTAACATTAATATTTGTCGTACAAGCAATCGTTTTTTAAATTCAATAAGGAAGTTAATATTGTTTTCGAAGTTTAATTGAATAACTCATAAGCAAAAGTTTTATATATTAATAGAATTATCTAAATTTAAGCGCAGAATTTAAATGTCGCTTGGTCACCTTGCGGAACATATTTTGTTTATGGTGACAAAGAAGACACATTAAATTTGGTTGATGGTCGATTTTTGAAAACTATGAAAGCAGAAATTTTAAAGGATGAAACAAATGAATTTGCTTTTGATCAATCGGGGAAGCATCTTTTTGTTGCTCTTGGCAGTGGCAAACTTAGTATTTACAGGTTGTTTTCAGTTTAATTTTTAATTTACAGGTTTTTAATTTTTTTATCATTTGTTGATACTATTATAGCAATCTATCTTTTCCATTTTCTAATTTCACTAATGAGTACCAGTCAGTGAATTGGGAGCATTGGGGTGCCTATCCGAATTTTATTTTTATTATTCCGATTAAGGAAATACTATTAGAGGGATGGCTACCAACTTGCTGCTATTCTTTTGTATATTTTCGATGAGTATTAGGTCCAATCGTTTTGATTAGGTAGCTTAAATGTAGCAAATATAGCAAATATATAGTTATGCTGGAAAAAAAATTGTTCCAGTTTAATTGATCTAGTAGGCATACTGTTACTTTATCTTTCCCAAAGTTTTTTTTGCTGATATCTGCTATATATTCATATTATTTATATCTTAAAAATGTCCACTGTTTTTAGAATGCCAGAGGTTCAACTATTTCGTACCATTCAAGCTCATTCACCTCAGTCAACTTGTGTTTGTGTTTCTCTATCTCCCGATGGTAATCGGTTTGCAATTGGAGCATCAGATGCAATCTGTTCTGTATGGCTGACACAAGATCTTATATGTGAATATAATATTACTAGGTTATTATTATTATAATATTACTATAAATTATATTACTATATTATTTATTATTCATTATTCGAAAAAAAAATTCTCGAGCTGCAGGCAAGCTGAAGATTTATAATGAATATTTATTTATTTAGAAGTAATAGGCTTCATGCGCTGTACATGAATATTAATTGTTTAAACTGATTGAAATTATAGATAATTTCATGGTTCCCAAGATGTATTTAATTATAGATTAGATTATCCTATTCGTTCAGTATCCTTCAGCGCAGACAATCAAATTATTGCAACAGCTAGTGAAGATCATTCAATTGATATCGCTTGGGCTGATACTGGAGAAAGGTTATTATTAGTATATGTACTTATAGGATTGTTCTTTTTCACATTCTGACTAAGGTTTTTTGAGATATTTTTATTTTTTATATTTCAGGGTGCATGAAATACGCGTAAATGCCGAAACATATACCTGTGTATGGCATCCAAATGTTCATTTATTAGCATATGCTTCAGCTCCTCCTCTTGATAGTCGTGACAGAGAAGTGACTGTAAAATTATTTGGATTCACTGCTTAGTAAATAAATTTATCTATTTAAAAAATTATACAGGGACTAAGCCATGAACATTGTGTTAAAAGAGATAACGAACAAAAAAAGAGAAAAAAACTGTAATAAAAAAGACTTAAATAAACATGAAATGTTTAATATATTTCACTTATTTAAATGGGAATCGATTATATTATTTAGTAAATAATTTATTCAATTTTTCTTCAAAACTAAATAATGCTGGAGCAAAAAATTCCTTCAGATGGTGATTTATTCCAATGATTGAAAGTAAAAGTTCTGCGATAAAGTTGATGTAATTTGATTTGATTCGGTTTGGATAATTGTATTGCATCGAGTAAGAGTAATAGTAGTAACGTTGGAGTCAAGTCTAAGGAATATGCCACATGAACCTAACGCGAATACAAATTGGTTTCTTGTGTTCACTTTGCCACATATGGGCATTGCGAATACAAATTGGTTTCTTGTGCTGACTTTGCCCATAGAATTATGCGAGTTCCTACATGGTTATTTTGCTTCGATTATTATCCTTAAACTTTGAAACTATAATTTTCGAGAATTTCGCCAGGTTTCAATAGCTCAGAATATAAAACTTTATCTCACCTCATACACCATATTGTTTTTTGCAAAAGTTGGTTTCGCCATTGGTGTTTCTGATTATTTTGGATCATTCCATGATTTTTGTTGCCTAGGATTGTCGTTATGAACTGTTGAATTTTCGTCTTATTTTATCTTATCTATTTTCGTCTTCAGTGAGTTTTCCACAGAAAAGACTCTTGTATTTAGAAAAGAGAAAAATGAAAGCATCATGTTTCAAATGCTAATCGATATTTCGGTGAGTTCATTGGCTATTTCATGATCTTTTGAATTTTTCCCATGGTCTAAAATCTCACGATTGATTGAATGGTCATAACTATAACTGTATTGAAACTGTATTTAGGTATATACATTTAAATGCAAATATGGATTGAAAATTAAGGTAATGGTTATCTCCTGCTCTCCTGCTTCTAAAAAAAAATCACTGGATCATATTAACTGGTAAATAAATATGCTTGGGTCCAAATCAAGTCTGCGAACTGGTTTTCGACGAGGTTCTCTTAAATCTGAAACAATTTTGAAGCAATTAGAATTGATTTATTCTCGATTGTCCTTATTTATTCGTTTGAGATTAGAGGTATCCAGCAAAATATATGCCATCTGTTTGATTTGATTTGTAAATGATTTGCCGCTTTTGGACTGTTTTCTCAGTTTTTACTTTGTAGATCATCCTTCCTATTCTTTTGTCAATGTCAGCAGGAATTCTTGTTTCTTATCGATTTTGAAAGTGTGGAGTATAGATTCTTGAAAAAGCGACGTTTTGCATTGTATCATATGTCGGAATGTCGTTCCATACATTTATATGATGGCGAGTTTTTTAGCGATGAATACAAACGACCCAGGTGAGTCCGGATTTTCCGCTCCAATAATGCCTCTATAATTAGGCAAAGTCGCATATGAAGTCTTCCTGTAGTATAATAAATTTTGCAAATTTTTTGGCATCGCCTGGTTATTAAAATCCAAACAAATAGACATTCGATATGTTTAAATCGAAACTGTTCGATTTTTTTATTGATTGCTCCAACAGTAGCGAAACCTTCATGGATTTTCTCCGAAAATTTAGCCAGTGGTGCGAAAGCAGAAAGTGGGAGAACCAAAGAGTTTAAGCAATTAAGAGTGCTAGTGTTTCATCGAATCCGATATCACAAGGTCGAGCTATAAGCATTATGTATTTTTCTTACATCTTTCGCGATAAGAGGTATGTTTTCGCTTGTTCATCCACTTTTATAGTGTATTTTAAAGAGAGATCTCAGCAGCGATTTGGAAATAATCGTCATTATCTTATCACTGTCTTCGAGTTGTAATGTGAACTTGAAATATTTGCAGCGATTACTGCAGTCGAAAATTCGTGAATTAACTGATGGAATGGTCGTTGATTGACTGAGCATTGTTGCATTTCTATTTTATGTATTTCGCTATAAGGCTGTGCCACGGTTCATTCAATCCCCGATTGATGCTCCTTCTTTGCGAGTTTTGATTTGGTTTAGGTCAAGGAAAAAGAAAAGAAATCTTGAGAATTACAGGACCACTCAGACAAAAGCTGCGGTAAAAATACGCGAAATGATGAATTTCCAGCACCATGTCAGTAGTTTTAAGTCGTGTTTTTAAATAGATAAGTATCGGTATTGATAAATAATACATTCGATTTTACCAACGATCAAGTTTTGTTATGTCTGTGAGTTGCAGAGTGCTTAGTACGAAATATTTTTAATGGATATTGGAGAAAATATTTTGTTGAGACAGTACTATGTAGTAGTAGCAATAAATAACAGTACAATATAGTATTGACCTGGCAGATGATACAATATAACCGCACTGTGCTGGTACAAATGACTTCCGGCTTGTCCGACACTTTTGATCGAGTTGTGGTGCAATTCGCTGGAATTAGATAAAAGTGCGAAATTTAAGGTTACTGTGGCATGCGAATGGAGTGACAAGTTAGATACAAATGAATTAGTGGATTAAAAATATTTATCACAAGCGAAAATTTTGTTGTTAATATTTTGAACTCTTTTAATTCATAAAAGTCGAAATAAATCAACAAAACCTATGAAGCTCATTTATTTTTCTATGTGAAATTTGTATTTTATTTGAATTTTTATTCATTTTTATTTTATCAAAATTTGCTTATATTTTAACTATTTTTTCTTTTTTGAATTTTTTAAAAATTTCGGAAAATTGTTGAAAATTTTTGATGTTCGAATTATTTTCCTTCTGTCCGCTCTTGTGAACTATTGAAAATTTGTAAGTTCCCATATTGTTCCCATATTGCTTTGTTATAATTTTTGAGGATATTTTCTCAAATAAACGATAAAAAACGGCAAATGTCGTCGATTACTCGCTTGTATTTGTTTTTGCTTATTTTGCATACTTTAAAATCTTTTAGGATAATTTTTTTGTTTTTCACCTATGCTGCCTGCACTTATGTTTCCAAGGCTCACAACCGACCGACAGTGCCTAAAGTTAACTTGCAATTTACTAATATTTCAGCCAATCAGTCTAAAGTAAAATATCTTTTTCATGAAATTCATTTTTAGATCAGTTTGTGGTTGGTTGTATTGCTTATTATGTGCGGTGTTAACAAAAAATTATTATTTTCTGGATTTAACTCCAATTTCAATTTATTTCGTTATATAAATACGTTGAAATCGAAGAGGAGTTCTATTTTTTCGCAGAAGTTGCTGTTTAGGAATTTAATGTGCAAGTAAGTGCTTTTCGCTTTTGCATATTTTCAAATCGGTTCGGCTTCTCAGTGGTACTCATCTGCACTTTTTCTCAAATAGTTCTCTGATAAAAGCCTTCCACTCGAATAGTCAGAGAAGTCAGTTAAACTAAAAATAATTTAATAAAATGCGAAATCTGTATTATACAGGCGTTTTTAAATATCAAACTTAAGTACTGAGACAAAAGCAGCGGATGTCATAGTTTGTGGAGGTGGAATCACTGGCGTATCGATTGCATATCATCTTGCTAAACGGGGAAAATTCGTCTGTTTGCTGGAGAGAGATTGGTAAGGATATTTTTATGCACACTTATTTGCTCTAATTTTAAGGGAAATTCCGTTGAAAATTGATATTTATTGTTGTAGTCTTGGTTATGGGAATGCAACAGGAATCAATAGTGGCTTTGTTACAGCTCCTATGTTTTGGAAGGATTCAGCCAAACAATATTTTGCGAAGTGCTCAATCGACCTATATAATAATATCGCTGAGAATTCCTTATTTCGTAAGTATTTATGTTTGGTACAACTTATATTTTTTATTAATTCATCAAAATTGTTCAAAATTGTCCCATGATAATCAAAACACCTTCTAACCATTATTTTCATATTGTATAATCTCCCGAATTCCTCCTTCAATTCCCTTCACATTCTCTTCCATATTCCCAATTATCGTCATCGCCGTTTTCCTTTAACATAGGATCTGTGAATTATAAATATAACAGTTCCACTATGAAATTTGAATAGTTATTAAGGAAACGAAATATGGGTAGGTGCTGCTAAGGAATTATCACGATCATAATTGGAATACATTTGGAGCTACGAGAATTTAATTACGAACCGAGTATTCAAGAAAATCTTAATGAAAGGGAAGAGGAGAATTTTCAAGGAATATGGTAGATTTTGCGAGACATAGATGAAATTTTTTTCGGACGCATGGACTAAAATGCTAACTATAGTATAGATTATTAATATTCGGACTTTTCATTATTTTGCAGTTTCTTATTAATAATTTAATTCAATCATTTTTTCAATTTTTTTTTTCTTCAATTTTTCTTACTTCATAATAATTGTAATACAGATCATATCCATAATGATTATAATAATTGTCTCACAACGATAAAAATAATAATTGTTTGTGAATCAATAGTAGGAATGAAATAAAGATGATAGAAATAATGATGGCAGAATTCGCTTAGATGTAATCTTTAAGCCTATCCCAATTAAGAGACCGAACGTTGATATCCTATTTCCCGATTTCGCATGGATTTGCATTTACCTGAAAATCATGCTGAAAAACAATAATTTTGGCAATAATTATCTATATAGAATTATCTTTATAATTTGTTTTTGTTTCATTTATTACAATTTATTTGTTATAAAATATTTTGATATTTGGTTATTTTTGGTTGAATTTAAGAAATAAATCGTTGTGGACGAACTTACTTGGCAAGTAAGAAAGCGAGTGAAATTACCTTGCGGCGCATGTTTTCGCGTAGAATCATATACGATGAAAAAGCTGAATTAATTGATGACCCCAGTGAAATGCTGGCTAGATGGCCAATATTACAGTCTGAGGATATTGTTGTAAGATTTATGATACAATAAATCTTTCTTTTTTCCAAGCTTAACTTGGAGTATTGACAGTAATAAAAATAAAAAATAATTCAATTCAAAGAAATAATTATGAATTTCGTTATTTTTCGTTAACTTATGAACATTATCTGATAGCTTTCTTTACTTATTTATAGCTGGCTTTATTTTCTCCCAGTGATCTTTTTCTGGATCCAGTTCATCTTTGTAAAAGTTTAGCTGATCGAGCACGCGAATATGGTAATATTGCTTTTAAATGATTTACTTTCCAGGTCAATGGTTATGAATTCTTTGCAGAGCAGAATTCAGAATTCAGAAACTTTGCAAAACTTATTTTATTTTTTTAAACTTGATTTTTTTTGAATTTTTTTGTAATTTCATTAAGGTGCTCAATTCTATGAACATTGCAATGTTCAAGAAATCCTCATTGGAAACAATGAAGAGGTTATTGGAGTAAAAACTGACCAAGGAATATTCGAAACTGGATGTTTTGTTGATGCTACTGGAATCGTTCGTCCTTTTCATTTCATTTTGGTTCTAATTCACTGTTAGTAAATTATGCTCATGTATTAATTATGCTTTTCCTGGAAATTTTTCTCACTTTTTTTAAAATATCGAAACGAATATTAGACATTTAGACAATCTAAATAAATTATTTCAGTGGTGTGGTACTATATTGAATACACCAGTGCAGAGATTCCGGTTGGCTGCTTATCCTGCCACAAGTGCTTATTTGTCAGCAAATCCGCTGCCAGATGACTACGGCAAATTGCCAAGTTTGTTCAAATGAATTTCTCAATTTACCTGAAAAATGTTTTGAACATTGCCATTAAAATTTTTCATTTTAATTAATAGATTTTTTGACCTTATTGAATTCTCGTATCTAATGAAGGTTTTTATCATTTTTTATTTAGTAGTTTTTTTTCCTCTTGGTTGTTTCTGGCTACAACTAATTCCATTGGTTTGTGGGAACGAATGAATTTTTGCTGGAAAATCAATGAATGAATTTGCTGAATTTTTAGAACTTTTGCATTTTTTTTTCAAAAAACATTACAATTAGGTTTTCTAACATTTTTAATGCTTTTAAAAAAATGCATCAATTAATTTTATACTTGTCAATATGATGCCGTTATAATGAATTCGGTAATTGGCAAATATGGCATCAGAGTCCAATGCACCAGTGGAGAACTGGAGGACGCCTTCTTCGTTTTGCCGAACAGCATGAATTCTTTGCTACTAATACATGCTTTCAGCATCGAAGAAAACATTCACGTGGAACTCTCCGGATAACCAATACTCCAATCAGATTGACTGTATATTAGTCAGTCATAGCTGAATGCTGAAAGTTGAAAAGTCGTTCTTATCGGGGTGCTGAAACTGGTAATCGCCATGGATCAGACCACGTTGTAGTTCGAGCCATGATTCGTATAAAAAATATATCCCTCGTAAGAAATAACCGAGATCTTTCAACTTTCTCAAATTAAAAGATTTGGGAACGGTAAACCACATTTTAAACCGTATTATTGAGACATCTCAGTGAAATGAACATCAATGGTATCTCTGGAATAACAGGACATACTGCGACAATTTCCGTGGAATCAACCTGCTAGATATATCCGCATTCCTACTGCTGACTCATGGCAATAAGAGATAGCAGAATGTGTCCTAACCAAACTGGATTTGGATTGAAACGTGATTGTGCCGAGCAGATATTTACGCTAAGGAGAATGCTGGAACATCGCTTCAAATACCAGCAGTCCGCCGTCACTTGCTTTATCGCTTTCGATTCGATTGATAGAGTTGCTCTGGAAAGTGTTGGAATATGACGGTGTCCTAGAGAAGATCATTCGGCTAATAATAGCATTTTGTCTGCATACCCTGGCATATCTATGTATATGGGGAACTGATAGACTCCTTCGAAATAAGAACTGATGTTCGTTACGGCTGCGTTTTTTCCTCTTCAATGTTCAATTATGCGATAGACTCGATAATAGGCATCGCTTGTCGGTATTCAAGAGGTGTACAAATCAGACCAGGGCATAGCATCACAGACTTCGAATACGCTGATGATGTAGCCCTTTTTGCTGACAGTTATGACAAAATGCAAGTAATGCTAAGTAACGTGTCAGAAACTGTAGCAAGAATAGGACTCAGAGTCAATGTATACAAAACGAAAGTTTTTTCGTCTTATATACGAGAAGCTGATAAAATGTCCTTTTTGTAAATTCATTGCCGATCGAGAAAGTACCCGATTTTAAATACCTTGGGTTCACTCTAATACCAAATGGCCAGGCAAAAGACAATATTATAGACAGGATCACGGCAGCTAGAAATGCGTTCTTCTGAGGAAATCGTCGTGAAATTACCATTAAAACAAAAGTCCGTATCTATATAGCCGTGATTCGTTCGATCTTGCTATATGGTTCTGAGATATGGCCAATGAGAGTGGAAGATATTAAGAAGCTATCTATCTTTGACCATTCTTAGGTATATTTCACGGATTCGTCGAGCGGATAAAGTCGCGCATGATTTATCCATCTTTGCTCAAATACCACCTGTACTAATAATGTTATCACAGAACATCGCCCTCGCTAGTTAGAGCACATTCCATCATACAGAAGTTGACGCATATTTCGCTACTTGCCAAACCTTGTGATGGTTGGCGTCAAAAGCGAGCCAGTCAAGACTGAAGACCTAGACTGATAAAGTCAGGAAAGATTTTTGGACATATGGGGCAATCAGCGATATGTGGACTTAGAAGATGGAAAAAGGAATGGCTTCTATTATTTAACGATGGTGTCGGACCGAGCAGCTTGTAGTCCCTTACCCTTGTAATCGGCGAAGCCAGCCTAACCAGTAATGATGAATATTATTAAAAGAAGAAAAATTACTTGTCAGTAATTTTTTTATCAAGTTTCATAAAAAATTAATTTTTTATCAAATTTTTTTTATCAAAAATTGCTTTTTTATTGATGAATTCAGCGCAACAATTTTCATCAAATATAATTTTTTTAGCGTGAATGATAGGTTTATTGTTTCACTAAGTCATCGTAATTCATATTTTTTTACTAAATAAAGCTGTCATTAATATGAATGCGGATAATGTTGTGGACCCATCTCTGCTTCTTTTATTCAATGATTCTCCGGTGAAAGTCCTATTTCTCTTCTGCCAACCAGTGGAGTCAGACAAACCAGAAATACTGCGTGCAAGGAAAAAAAGAAGAGTTAAAAGAAGAGTTTTTGCGATAAAAAGTTTACCTCTCTGATCTCTTTTATTTACATTCAGTTTTTTTCATTTAGTTTTCATTCATGTTGATGAAAAAATCTTTCTCTTTGCGGATAAACAACGTACTATTATCGGTGGATTCAATGAAGAAAGTTGCAAACCGCTGACACCAATTAATGATATGGCTTGTGAATGGGAAATTCCTTGGGCTGATTGGGATGCTTTTTGTGAGTTTTATTCTTTATATTTATGTCCATTTTATTATTTATTTAATATATTTTGTAATTTGTGATTTTATAACTCTTGGAATAAAGTTGAAGGCACTTTTTAGATAAGCCACTAAAATCGCTGTTAGGTCGTTTTCGATCACTTGGAGAATTACCTTGTGGTGATCTTATTTGCGGTGGGGAATCATATACTCCAGATAAAAATCCTGTCATTGGCGAAATCGCTGAGGTACATTTACCTACGTACTTTTATGTAACCATCCAAAATTTCATACTATTTCAACAATTTTCAATTTCATCTTCTTGGGGGAAAATGGAATTTCTGAAATGCAGGTTCGTGGATACTATGTTGCGAGTGGATTCAATGGGCAGGGACTCTCCTTGGCCGGTGGTGTTGGTGAAGTTATCACAGACTTAATTTGTAATGAAGCACCAAGAGTTGATATATCAGAAGTAGAAGTTACTCGGTTCATAGATCTGCTCGCAAATCCACAGTATCTTATGGAACGGGTACCGGAAGTTGCTGGTTTGTTTCATTTGGATTTCATTATATTTATTAGAACACGATAAATCCATTTAAATTTAGGGAGACTTTTTGTAAATCTTGAATATCACCAATATCGAACTGCGCGCAATCTTCGCATGTCGCCTGTACATCGCAGTTTAAGAATGGCTGGAGGTGTTTTTAGTGAAATTTTGGGATATGAAAGAGCTCTTTGGTTCACAGGCAGCACAGAAGGTATCACTATTCTTTAAAATGATTGTTATTTCTAGATCAAAATTTAAAAAAGTTACGGAGTAAGAAGTCGAATTTTAATTTACAATAATATAATTTAAGATCGTGAAGGCTTATTCAGTGGTCATCTACAGTTGGCAGGACATTCTGAATGGTTCGTTCAAGTAGGTCGAGAATATGAAGCATGTAGAGAACGCGTTGGTTTGATTGATTTGACAAGCTTCTCAAAATTCGATATTAAAGTATTTTTTTCAATGCTTTTAATATTGAAAAAATTCGGAAATATAATTTTTTTAACCTTGGATTCCAAGGTACGTTAAAAATTCTCCAAATTCTTTATTTTTATCTGTTCAGTTCAACTGCTTTTAGGGACCAGATTGTGTAGACTTGTTGCAAAAGCTTTGTTCGTGGAACATCGACCAACCGATAGGAACAACGATGTACACTGGAATGCAAAATGAAAATGGCGGTTACGTAACGGATTGTACTATAAGTCGATTAGGCCCACAACAGTATTTTTTAATAATTTTATTTATATCCGTTAATTGCCTTTATTATATTGAATTCAAAAGGCTAGAGAACGATCTGGTCCGTATTTTGTCTCCAATTTAAATTATTCTGTTTTTAATTTCAGTTCGGTTGTTTTATATTTAAAAAACAAAAAAGGTATCGTTGAGAGGAATGAGTGATGTAATGTTGGACATCACCATTTTCAAAGAGAATATCAAGAATATCACTTTGAAATTGTGAATTTTTGTTCTGAAAAAGTTCTCATGGATAAAGAGCCACAGAAATTCTGGAATGAACTTAAAAAATTAAGAGTGAATATGAGAAGCGATTGCCAAAAATGGAAAAAACAAACTAATTGTTTAAACAAAGCGAAATAGGAAATAGTAAAAATGAAAAGCTAAAGCCAACAAAGCAGAAATCTCAAAAAAGAATTTGATTAACAGTCTAGGAGATCTGTTAGCGGAGACAAGAAACAATATCTTTACAAATATTAAAGATGGAATATCAAACTTGGAAAAATAAGAAATCATAGATGATATTCCTTATTCACAACAACCTCAAGTTAGAAAATGAAGTTAAATCAACATTTCAGTCTTTACTATATTTTAAAAACTATTGGAGTTGATGAATATTCGGTGAAATTTGCAAACAACCGAAGATTCAGTCAAACTTTTAACTAGATTATGCCAAAAAATCTGGATCTGGAGAACAACACATTGGCCCAGAGACTGGAGGAAATTAATTTACATTCCAATATCAACAAAGGAAAAAGCATGCTCAAGGAGAAAGGAAAGGATAAGGACCTGCAAACTATCGTACAATATTCTTAATTTTTCACGTCAGAAAAAAAATGCCAGAAGAGAAAAATTCAAGCAGAAGCATTATTTCACATCATTCATTTCATTTTTTGCAAGCGTTCAAGCATTCGTCTGAAGCTTCAGATCTAATTTTTAATTTTTAAAATTTTTAGGAAAAGAGGTAAAAATTAAATGCTTTACATTAAAATATGCTTAAAAGCAGGTTCTAGAAAAGGCGGAGGAACGCAAGATATTATTGCTGATATATGTTGAGCAAAAGAGTACCAAAAGGAAGTCAATATATACTTCATCGTCTATAGGAAAGCCTTTGATTTCATTGATCATCTTAAGCTATGGAATGTGGTCAGAAAAATAGGAATCCTCAGAACATTTCATTTCCTCATGTCTTTATGGGCAACTTATATATCTGTATAGATCGGGAAACAACAATATGGATAGAATCTGGCAAAAAACACATTATTGCCAAGGGAATGCGACAACGATGCTTAATTTTTTCTTATTTGTTCAATCTTTATGTATTAAGGGAGGCTGATGATGAGCATGAATTTTAAAATTAGAGAAAAAACAATAATTTGCATTATGCTGATGACATTACGCTGATAGCCGAGAATCCAAATGATCGCTATGCTTTAGTTTTAAAAGTCAAAGAGCACAGCGAAAAAAAATAAGGCTAAGGCTAAAATAAAGATGACAACGGATAGAATAACCAGTGTAAAAATTAACAGTCTATACGCTGAAGTGGTGGACAATTTTCATTTTAGGACCAATCATCAGCAATAAGGGTAAGTCAAGAAATACAGCGGGCAGAGGAGGCATGAAGGCATTGAAAAAGATATTCTAATGCCATGATGTGAATATGTCTACAAAGATTAGAAAAACAAAAAAAACTGTGATTTTCTGTGGACTTGGGTTTTAAGAAGCAGGATAGAAAGAGTGATGATGTCTGAACATGCCTTTTAAACTTTGCCAGAAAAGGCCTCTGAGGATATCAGAGAAAGTTAAGGGAACAAACGGATCATAGAACAAACCAGGTTTCTCACTCGAGACACAAATCGGTCTCAAATCATTCTTTTTGAATATTATGCGAAGATTCAATTACGCGAAGAAAGGAAAATGGGCTATTAGTGGGAATGCGAGTGCACAAGGAAAGAAAAAAATGAGGATGGCTTATAACAAGTGAATAGATTTAATTATAGAGACGATGAGTTCACCACTAATATAATCTTGAAAGATCAAACTAAAATTATATTGTCTTGGCGATCATTTATTTATATGGTAGAAATCGGAAACGAGTTGATCGCAACGAGTCAATCAGTCATAATCAGTCATCTTAAAGAGTTTTGATGATTGCATAATTTTCTAAATTTGAAAAAACTGATTTTGCATTTCAGTTTTTTTATTATTGCTCCTACTGTCCAGCAATTACGTTTCATCCTTTGGGTGGATAAATGGGCAAAAAATTGGCAAAGTCGTGTAAGTATAAATGTAAGTATAAGTATATAAGAATATTCCCATAATCCTCCAGTCATTTTATTTTTTATATAATTTTTGGCCATGTCATTTCAGGATGTCACTGGTTTGTATACTGCATTAGACATTGTGGGGCCAGCTTCTCGTAATCTTATGCAAGATTTAACAAAACAATCAATGACTTCATCTGATTTTCCAACTTTTGCCAACAAAGTATTACATATTTTTTATCTCTCGTTATCTAATCGTTTGATTCTTATTAATTGTGATGGCTCAGCTGGCACTCCTTTCCAAGTCAGATAGAGAATGAAGTGTAAATGCTCTTTAGCATTACCTAGATTTCAATACCAGTGACTGGTTTATTTCCATTAAAGGAAAGGAATCGAAAATGACCTCAGTCGCTTGATCGCAGCCGAAGTTTTATTCGATCATCCCATCCATCTGTTACTTTTCACTTTTCCAATTATTGAGGCGTTTTGAAAGAGGTAAGATCAAAACAAAAGTAAAAGACGAGATGAAATGGATTACCACACTGTTATCGGGTAAAGATAAAACCACTGTCAATTTCAAAAAAAACATAAAAAGCTGAAAATGTTCTTATTGTAGGTATTGAACATTGGCATCGCAGCTGGCATAAGAGTTATCAGTGTTTCTCATTGTGGCGAACTTGGATATGTATTGTATATACCTAACGAGGTTATTTTTTTGTATATCTAACATTTATCGAATTCTTGAATTTTTTTTATTAAGCTAATATTTGATTTCAATGGCAGGTTGCCCAAAATGTATATGAACGTATCATACATGATGGTCGCAGATTTGGTTTACTCCATGTTGGGTTTGTTTGATTTTTTGCCGTCTATTTATATCATTTCTAGAAAATGAACAATATGAAATCAGATTGTTTTTCGATATATCCTTGCATGATAATATTTCTTAACATTTCTTTTTGTTATAAGCTGGAAAACCTGGAAATGTAATTTGCATAGTTTTATTCACAATCGATAGAATAAAATAAATTTCCAAGTAATTATTTTTATCAATTATTTATCATGCCATTTAACAATAATATTCAGGTATTATGCACTAAAACAACTTCGAATAGAAAAATTTTACGTACATTGGGGTACGGATGTTAATTCATTGGTTACACCTTTTGAATGTGGTCGCAGTTTTCGAGTCGATTTCACAGTAGGTTTTTATTTTTTATTTATTCCCTAATTTGCCGAGATTTCCGCAGGTTTTTTGAATATAATAATATAAATATAACTTATAGTGTGATTTCATCAATTTCATTTCAGAAAGATTTCATCGGTAAAGCTGCTCTGTTAAAACAAAAGAAAAATGGAGTGCATAAAAAATATATTCAACTCTTAGTCTATAACCATAATTTAGCAGTGGATCCCTGGCCACAGGGTGGTGAAGTCATTTATCGGGACGGCGAACCAGCTGGCCGTACTACATCTGCTGCTTATGGATTCACTCTTGGTTGTCAGGTAACTAATATCTCTTCTAATATTACTTTGTTCGATCCTGATTCGAATATTTATCACCGACTGTACCATGTGTGTTGGTTTTCCAGCTTACAACAAAAAGAAATGTTAAGAACTTTCAATAATATTTAATCCGTGTCCACTTAATCATTTGGGGATAAAAATGTAGATGAATATCCAACAACTTGGATTTCAGTTGTCTGGTAGATTGGTTGTTTAGTTGTTTACCTATCAAAAAATAATTAAACCCAGTAAACGTTTGGAATTCAGGAAATTAATCAAGTACTTATATAATATTTATAAAAATGCAATAAAAAAGCAAAAAACAACTGCTTCCTAATAAATTGAATCGAAATCCAGTTCACGCCACTCGCTGGTGAAAAAATAAATGCGTGTCTGGATATTTATTATTGCACTGTCCATTTCTTGTTATCTTTCAGGTTTGTATAGGATATATCGCAAATGATAATATTTGCATAACAGATGAATTTATTCTTAAAGGAAATTATAAAATTGATATTGCTGGGAAAAAATTCCCTGTAAAAATCAATATACGTTCGCCATCTTTGCCGATGATATCTTCTGAGCATCCAAGTCATTATCAGCCAACTCAACAATAAGCGATTTTTTCATTATTTTTTAGGGACCAAAAAATTTTCCAAAGAAATATTTGATCTGAATATTGTTGCCATAATTTATAAATGTTCGTATTTTTAGGTGCTTCTTTTTCTCAAGAAAACTTGTTTCTAAATTTTTGTTTAGAAATTTTTTGTTAATAATTAATATTATTTATTTGTACTAATTTTTTAAAATTATTGTTTTTATAATTTATAAAGTACTGTTTAAATTATTATTATATTTAAATTATTTATTCATATTAATATTAATTTTTATAAAATATTTCCAGCTTATATGTGAACATTTCGAGTTTATAAATTAGTTTTAGCGCAATTTAAGGGTTAGATAAATGTTGTCACTTGTTTACAATCCTACGAAAAAAACCCATTATAAAGTCGCTTATTTTTCGTCATTTTAAAATAGGCAAGGTCAAAGGTCATATGCAACCCAATAAGAGATTAAATGGACACTGATTAAGGTATTATAAGCGATGACCGACTTCCGGCGAAATTCACAAACAAATAAGAGAAAATTTATCATGTTCTAATGCATAGCAAATACCAGAAACAGTGCCAACAACCGATTAGGAGAGACCGTTGTTCGACTGAATATTAGAGTTTCAAATCGAATAGTGGAGTTAATAGTGAAGCCGAGCTTTAGCTAAGTGCAATAAGCCGCGGCTCGACTGACTATTGGATATTGCTATTCCATTTTTGCTTTGTTTCTGGTTACATCTTTTATTTGTTGTTTCTGATTTTTAAGGGTTTTTAAGGGTAAAGTAATGTATTATTAAAATGAAAGAAAGTTGCTTGGACGATTTATTGGAAGGGGATGGTACTTTGCGTTGTTGTCGTCCTCTGGCCTGTTCGCGACATATGCAAATATGCAATCAAATGATGGGGCTTTAATGAGAAAGTTGGGGTGGGGGGAGGTGGTGGGTAGGGGGTGGGAGGGGTGTGTTTAAGTCACTTCATAATTTTATATGTAGTTGGAGTGATTGAATTCTTTAGTTTGTCGAGTTTATTTTTGTTCATTGCGAGATTTTATGCAGCGAAGTTTTATTAAATTTTTTAAAGGCAAAATGGCAGATGATGACGATTATGACGTGGAAATGGACGCGGATGATTATGGGGATGAAGAACAAGTCGGTGATCTCGATTTAGAAGGTGGCGACGACTTGGAACGAGTTCAGATCACAGAGGCTCGCTTCTTTCTACTTTATAGTACTTTGACCTCAGTTTTGATTTATCAATTTTATTAGGTTTGAAAAAACATTTCACTATTTTTAAAGGCCTTTTTTTAATTATTTATTGATTTAAATGTTTTCTATTTCAAATTTGAACAGTTTTAGGCTGGTGAAAAAACTGCAGCTGCTGAGCGAGTAACAACTCCTTTCATGACGAAATATGAACGGGCGCGTATATTAGGGACCAGAGCATTACAAATTGCAATGGGTGCACCCGTAATGGTTGAACTTGAAGGCGAAACAGATCCTTTAGAAATCGCCAGAAAAGAACTCAAGGATCAGAAAGTTCCATTGATCGTCAGGAGGTGAAAATTTATACGTCATTTATTAGAAGAATTTAGAAGAAAATTAAGCATGGTCATCGGCTTGCGCTAGTAGCATAAAATTTGACGCAGTACAATATATATAGTATAAAAGATAATTAGACAAAAGAATTGAATTAATGCACTAATGGATTAGAAATGGCTTATATTAAATGCTAGCGTCGATAATTTATCTCTAAAATAAGGTACTGGCGGTGTTATTTCATTTGACGTTTTGTTTTAGTAAGTAATGCTACTTATTTGATATAATTATTTACAATTTCTCATTTTTAGATATTGACATCTAGAGTATAATGTCTATTACGTCTATTTAAAGAACTGTTATAGGTTTCCAGATCGACAGAGCCAAGTTAACCAAATCTTCCCTTTTTAATTTTTAAGATTAGAAAACTTGAGTTTGATATGCAATTAATAATCAGGCCTTCAATTAAAAACAGAAATAGAAAAACTTCCAACAAACTAAATCCTGGGTTTCTTTTATAACAGTTGATATAAATTAATGGCATTGACCATGTTTTGAATTAATTTGCATTAGGCTTTTTCAGGTACTTGCCGGATGGTTCTTTCGAAGACTGGAGTATCGATGAATTAGATTTTACTGACTGGTGATCTAATTATGATTTTCTTTTTTTTCCAAATAATAAATATATTTTATATTTATAAACTGAGCCAATTGCAAATGAAATCTATTTCAAAATCTTTGAATATAAAGAATATAAAGATATAAAGGTCTATAAAAAATTTAATCAAAGGGAGAAGTTTTTTGAAAATTACCAAAATTATGATAAAAACTATGATAGACTTGTCAATTCTTGTTAAACACAAAAATAACGAAATAATTTATTTAGTTTAAAATAAAATGAACATTTTTATGCAATTCATTGTCCAGAATTTCCCGTACCTTGTGCCATGAATTATGTGAATGGAATAAGACAGTCTTGCTTCCATTTTCCAAGAACTGTTATGGGATGCTCTACGATAAGTGGCTTACTAGATATTTCCGAGAAAATTTTTGGAATTTCCTTCCTGCTATTAAATAGGCATATGGCAATGCCAGGAGAACCTTGAACAAGTTAATTTTATTGCCAGCAGCTGGGAAATTTATAGAGCACCACATCGCGGCAAGTAAGATTCTCTTTCGCTTGCAGTACGAATTAAAACGGAACGAAGAGTGTCGATAACAAAAATTAGCCTTCAAATTTGTGTTAAATCCTAGCTTTGACTATTTTTTAATAATTCTCACTTTCACTGATCTGTTTTTAAATACCTTGAATGCACAGTGGCCAGCGAAAAAAATCCTAACTTCGATGGATGCAGCTCGAAATATTTTCTTTTGTTGAAAGTTCTGTGAAATCAACGGTCTCAAAAGGGAAGATCCTGTCTCTTGCTGAAATAGCGCATTAAGACACAAATGTACGACCAGTGGGATGGATATGTAGGGTCTGGAAAGCTGCCTATCTTTCACCATACCTTCCTAAGTTTCATCTTGTGTGCCTTGTTATATATTGTTGCCGTATAGACAAAATTTACATAATTTCACTGATCCACTGATAAAATATGCATCGATGATACTATCAGAAAACTATTAATGTGATGTTCTTCGTCGTTAACGTGAAGAAGAATAGCCACATTTCTCACCACGCCAAATCTTAAAGTGGATAGTGTGGAAAGTAACGGAGGGTCAATCCGGTCGACCTGGCTAGGAACATTTTGAACACGTGAACGGTCCAGTAATATGCGAGCTTAGACGCTAGGAAAAGAGCGGATACTTTACCAGATCTACGAGGCTCGGAAACTCCCTAGTCTCATCGCGAATGAAGCCAGCCAAGTCAGCGACAATGCGAGTTGTTAGAAGAAGATTCAGGAGGAATGTATTTCTTTCACTTTATTCAAAATACTACAATGTAAATTTACATAAATTTAATAATTCCATAAATCTTTCTTCAATAAATAACCTCAAACAATAGAACAATACAAAGGTGAAATAAACAATACAATGGTCAAAACGACCAAAATTCGCCGACTAGATAAGAATTATTAAAATATATTTCGTACAAATAGGTGATTGTTTTTGCGTAGAAAATTTAAGAGAACAAATCACTTTTAATAATAATAATAATGATAAATAAAATAACAGTAAAAGACCTTAAAAAAGTATATAAAATATTTTTTGCACAAAAATATTAAAAAAATATTTAAAAGGTTGGAAAAACCTTTTGAGGTTGAAGATGGAGCCGTTTATTTGCGTTTCAATCAGCTAAACCAACAAGACTAACGTTGGATTAAATTTGATTTGTGCTGATTTAGAATAATTTGTTCTTCTTCCTCATTTCGATTTGTTTCCATACGGGTAACGAGTAAAAACAATTTCGATTCATTTTAAATGCCAATTGGAAGTCGTCATCGTCTAAATATTTCTCCAAATTGCTGAAATCCAACCCATTAGGTAAATCTCGAGCGATTACTTTCTCCAAGGGCCAAAACTGAGCACGATTACGAAGAAGCTCATTGACTTCAATTGCATCCGAATTTCCATCGAGATTCTGAAATTGACTGATTGGCTGATCGACTGAAATAACAGCCACATTCACAAGTATTTCACTGAAGATTAACCGCATTTTGACTGACTAAAAAGTGTCATGTCGGCTCAATATTGTTAACAGTTTTAGCGATAAGGCAACTACTGAAAGCTTTTTAATGCACTTTTTTAAAATATAAATCTATAATATATTTGTAAAAATAATAACTAAGTGGTGAAAAAAAGAAATCTTTTATTGATTGACCTTTGATGGATGCTGTTCGTCGAAATCACACCACTGTGGAAAAAGAGCCTTGAACGAAGTTGGCTCATGATTTTTATAAATAACTGTCATCTGACCAGAACGATTTTCCCAAAACGCTTTTGCAACAAGTAATGAAAAAGTGCTCACTACTGAATCATTCCACAACCATAAGCGTGAACCCTGATCGACAATCATAGTATCTCTGAAAAATATTAAGATCGAGCAATATTAAGACTGAGATTGTATTCTGAAAAGAAACGGCCCATTAATTTCAGGTTCGCGGTGGAAGTGCAACATATCTTGGATCCCAGGAAAGCCTCATTCTACACAGTAAGTGGTGCTTAAAATATTGATGTTGAGTGAAAGGTTGAAAAAGGTACTTAAAAAAAACAATAAAAAAAATCAAACATTAGGTTTATTTGTTGAAATGAAAATGGAGACTTCAGATCATAGTGATATGCATTCAAATCATAGCCTCGTGTCCCACATAATCGCATCAAATGTGGAGCCTACAAAAAAAAACGATCCATTCAATAATTTTCGGAAATATTCGTGGCAAAATTTTCCGAATAAATGCAAAAAACCGCGACAAATTTATACTTACAAATTAAGCAGTTTAAAACTAACATTTGTCCAATTATCAGCTTTAATAACAGGTAGGTCAACCTTTTCATCGCATTCAACAATTTCTTCTATTTTTGCACTATTTTTTAATAATTTAAAATAAGGATGACCACCGTTAACGATTTTATTCGCAAATTTCAATGCTGCTTTCCTCAATTCCTTGTCGCTATCACCGCCATACCAAATCGTCACTTCACTGTTGACAATAATATAAATCGCATGTGAACGAAGAATGACTTCATTTTGAAGTTCCACCAAATAACATTCACTCGAAATGGATGAACCGTGCATGTAAAAAATGCCACTATCTTCTCCAGCTACGACCATGTTACCATCAAAAAGCTGAAGGAAAATGAATGGCTCTTGACCCTGAAATAAAATCAATTTCACTAATCAATTTCACCTCTTATCATTTATAAGAAAGAAATGATAATGATAATAGATATTATGAAGAATCACCTGCATAATTCGTTCATGAGGATGTCTTTCTTTATCCAAATTTCTCAAAGCCATCGCACAAAGTCCTTGTTGCTTTTTTGTTGTTTTAGAACCTAACCAGTAAAAAAAAGCTGTTCTTGGTCTTCCTGTCTCATGTTCAATTCGTTCTGTTCCATCCAATTTCCGAATACCTGAAATATATTTTCTGGAAAATGAAATTAGATACTACAGTCTTCGATTAATATCACAATTTTTTACTAAGCTGGATCCATCAACTACCAGGATTAGGCATGAAGATTCTTTCGCTGTTGAGTCACTTGATGCGCAAACTCTACTCGGATTTCGAATTTAGCTCTCAGTGCATAATTCAGTACACTTAAACACACTAATAAATTCCTGCTATAGTTTCAAAAATATTAATCACCAGCTCGTTCAACTCGATAATTCCATTTAATCACATAGCAAGTATCCATCTTAAACAGCCAAAGGCTATCAATTTCACGCAGATCATAATCATCGTCCAAAACGAAATATGTAAGTTGTTCAGTGAAAACATTGTTAGCACTGCGGCATATTTCAATGTCTTCAAGAACATAAGCTGATTCAACTTGTCGATTATTAGCGAGGAAACTGCAAAAAGGATCAAAAAAATATATCAGCGAGATATATAAAATTTCTTGGAGAATCTGAAAAAGTTATGGTTTATAAAAAATTCATAAAAAAAGGAGAAGAATAAATGAATAAAAGAATTCACCGTCCTAACTGATAAGCTAAATTTTCATCATTATTAATCGAATTGGATCGTTTGTTTTGAGACGATTGAATTTGTTGCTTTCTTGGTGAAACATCTTTCAAAATTTCCCGGTCGTGAAATTTGCTTTCAAAAAGCAAATCGATAACACCTTGGTTTATTTTCAATAAAAGGCACCATTCTGGTCTTTTCTCATCGAAAACGGTACCAAACAACATTTTCGAATCGCATACGAAAGGTAATCCTTGAGAACGCTGAAAATATTTTTAGATTACAGTTCACAAAATCGGTGACATAAAAGGAATCGAAAAAATGGAAGAGGGCTTGTTTCATGCTTTAATTTCCAAAAATTCATGAAGCCTCCTCCAATCAGCAAGGAATTTCCAGCAAAAAGTACCAATTTTTCGGCATATTTATAGGCGAATTGAGCTGTATTACGATTAGCATTCGATCCAATCCAAACATAAATTTCCGAACCGAAATCGAAAATCAAAACCTAAAAACAAAACATTGCGTAAATATTCTTCGTTTGACATTTTCATTTCAATCTTTTTAAAAAATTTAAGTTAAGAAAAAAGTAGAAAAATTAATATTAAAAAAATTAATATTAATATTAAAATATAAAATATTAAAATAAAATATAAAATAAAATATTAAACAATTAATAGTTTAATAACTGAACAAAAAAATAATTCACTAACCGCATTCGAATCGGAGAACAATTTTCGATTTGGTATATTCGAAGACATCGCAGTTAATATAGTTAAATCGTCAAATACTCGATAAACAACATTTAATTTAGCGATGAATTTTTCAAAAGGTTCGCAAATCATAAGCAATTCTCGAGGAATATCATTGAATAGCAATGGTGAATTTTGATTTTCGTTGCCCAACAATAGCCAAAAATCACTATTTTCGCTATCATTATTAACATTTTCTACAGTTTTTGCGAAACAACTAAGCATACCGTTTTTATTACAAATATTTGTTGCAAATAATATTGCCTGAAAATGACAAAACAATAAATAAGAGCCGAGTGGTGAAGGCGCTCTAATTGCATTTCCCCTTGCTAAGCGACTCCCTAACAGAATTTGCTCCGTGTGATAGGTCAGCAGGACGAGAGATTAACCAGAAATGGTAAGCATACTTGGAAAAAAAATTAACTAGTAAAAATTTTTATGAAAACCCATTAACAAAAGTTCTCGTTGGTTTCACGAAAGAATTTTCTAAGGTGCAAAATTTTTGAATATCCATAAACAATTTAAAAGCCAAATTAATTAGTTATAGATAAATTCCTAAATTTTTTGCCCTCTATAAAAATGGCTTCTGGATTGATTGGTTCCATTTAATGCGATCTTTTCGTCAAATAGGAATTTCACTTTTAATTGCAGACCATTCCTATTAAAAGAAAACATTCGAATCCACGCCAGTTAATTAGTTGCTAGAAGCAACACACGATGCGACTCAGCTATTGTCTTCCACACCGAGAAAATTGCATTTCGAGCAAAATGAAAGAAAAGCAAATTACTTTGGTCCTTTCAAGCAAATTAGAATAATTTCCATGATAAAGAAATATCCTGGAATGCGTAACCAAAACAAATGACGCATATGAATGTAAAGATGTATAAATTGGTGCAACCAACCTCACATCAACATTCTTCTCACCTTTAAAAATTTTATTTTTTATTTATTTAATTTACAATTTTTATTATATTTCAATAATATTTAAATTACAAATTATAAGTGCTAAAAATACTTTATTTCATATTTTAATTTTAATAAAACAACCTTTTATGCGAATTAACATAATTTCTGGATGTAAGCATTTTCGCTCGACTTTTTTTAATTTCACCGCCGAATAATCCGCCTTTGATTGAAGTCCCTTAAAAGTACTTTTTTTAAAAACTACTTATTTAATAGAAAAAAAATTTGAGAAAAAAAGCTGTGTGAGTTCAAAAACAGCATAACGCTAGGAATTTGGAATCTTAGTTTTACTTCAAACCTATAAGTGCCGAACGAAGCTCATCTTATTCTAGAATAGCTAGCCAAACAGGAAATGGCAACACTAAGTGCTGTTAGGAGAAAAAGTTTATCTGCAAAAAAATAACTTTAATGGCACTAGGTGATATCGGAAGTGTTTTATCATCACTGATATCTTGTTTAAATCGATAATTAACTGGTGCTTTTGACGTCTGAAAACATGCCGGTTGAGCAACTTCCGTGAGTATTTTTGCAATATTTCTTTTCGGCAAATGATTTCGAATAATTGTTGGTCGTGATGGAATTATAAGTCTATAAATTAATTGAAAAATTTAAATTAAAATTATATTGCAAAAATTAGAAATATAAAATTTAAAGAAGATAAAAGTTTTAAATTTTATTTGAATTAAAATTAAAATCATTTTATTTAAATTAAAAATTAAAATTTAAATTAAAAATTGAAATTTAAATTAAAAATTAAAAGTTCAATTCAAATAATATAAGAAATTTTAAAATTTAAACTTACCTTAAAATTTTCGAAATTTTATATTTTTTTAAAATTTAAATTTTAAAGTCATTTATTTTATATCTAAAATTATATCTAAAATTGAATAAAAAAACATTAATTGAAATTAAAAAAATTTTTGTAAATTCAAATAAACTTTAATAATCAAATTTTAAATAAAATTCAAAATCCAAAGATTTAAATTAAGAGAATTCATAAATGCAATATATCAAATATATTTAATAAATAATAAATATATCGAAAATCATTAAAAAAATATTTGGAAATCTTTAAAAAATATCAAAATTATTTAATTTTTCCTTTTTTAAACATTTTTTAAAGCATGTTGGCCCAGTTTAAATAAAGCCCTTGAGCATTTCACTTTCTTATCACATGATAAATGATAATTCCTTTGACATTTTATTATCGAACTTTTGAACTGTAAATATTGCATATCACGAAATATTTTACGACCTAATATAGTCTAACTAACCTAACTAACCTAATATAACGTGGCAATGACCTTTTTTTCATTGATTCTGACCTAAATAAATTTTTAAAATGATAACTATTACTTAACAAATGAAACTAAAATTTTCGTTTTTCTCAAGCAATATAATTAACTCTTCTAAGCGCGATCGCCTCGTTCTGCTGGCTTAGCGGACAAGACAAATTTTGTCAGGAAGTTGGCGATGGTTTATTTCTGCCAAAAGTAGAATTTCGGCATCGGCTGCCCGGAATGCGGAAATGAGGGCATTGAGCCCTCAGGCATTCTACTCTCAAACATATAATTGTCGAAAGTCTAAAAAAAACCTTGCAACATTTGAAGTAATTTGATCAAAATCATCACATTTAATCTGGTCGTTATTCGTTAACTGTTTTATTGGAATAATATTCGATGAATAAAATCGTTCCAAACCTTTTGTTATATCAATATTATAATTTTTAATGGGGAATTTTTTCAATAATTCATTATTATCTTTATAAATACGATTTATAGAATTGAGAGATTCGAGTTGCGAATCGCTTTTTATTCGACATCGCCATTGTTCTAATGACTGAAAGTATCATTTTTATCAGTTAAAAATCATTTTTATCAATAAAAAAATCAATATAAAATAGGAGATATCATAATTTTCTCTTGTTGCGGTTCTGCAATTTTTTTTACAATTTACTAACTCGGAGAAAGAAATTCTTATCAATTCTTATCGTTTCAATTTTTGGAAACGATTATTCAAAATAATAAATTTAAAAAACGAAAAGAGAATTTTACATTTGAAAGATCATTTTTCCTTTTTTCTATCAAATTTGTTTTGTTATTTATAACTTTTAAACCACTTTTATCATTTTTATCAATAGTTTCTTCGTTCATCAACTGCAAAAATTATCATTTATTTACAAAAAAAGAATACTTTTAATAATTAAATAATTAATAATTAAAACAAATAATGAGAATAAAATATTTGTGAAAAAATATGCAGTTTCCATTAAATAATAAAGCAATATCTAAGAAATTAAAATATTGATAAAATGAAAATTGATAAAATTAAGTGAAATAATTATTAAAAAATAAATTAATATTAATGATCTATAAATAATCGCATTGGCTCGACTGATAGGATTAAAAGCAGTAAAGAATTAAAGTCATAAAAAAATTCTGGGCAGTGCAGTGATCCGAGACGTTCTCTGACAAATATTTGTAGAACCAGTCCAACTAATAATGGTGAGGTGCTGGCAAAAGAGAAAGAGGAAGAAGGATAAAAGAAGAAGGATATAAACAATCTAGGAAAAGAATGGCTCAGTGGCTACCTCCTCTCACTTCAGCATCAGTGCTGGAGTTCCACTCTTCGCAGGGATAAACCTGTCTTCTAAAAATTCGTGTGATTCTGGCGACTCACCTATATTTCCATCGTCAAGCGACTCCCTGGCAAAATTTATCTGATCTTACGAGTCAGTGGAGCGAGCCAAACTAGAAATGGTGATTTAGAAAAACTAGAAAGCAATAAAAATTTTGCAAATCATAATAAAAAAATCTTAAAATAATGCGGAGTCACTGAAAATAACTTTCAGTGAGCTGATAAAACCGGTTGACAATTCTTTTATGTTAGATACTACTTTACTATTATTTCAGCCATTCTTCATGGATCATTTAGCATTTTCCCAAAAAAGTATTGTAAATACTTAAATAAATAAACCTGAAGCAAAGAAAGGCTCAGTGGGTTTGTTGTGCTTACTGTGGGGCTCACTGCTAAGGTTCCACTCATAGCAGAAGTAATAACTCTTTCAAAAATCTGGTGATGTTGGCTTCTTATTTCTGATTACAAGTGACTTCCTGGCAAAACTTTTTCAACGCTTACAATTATAATAATTATTATTAATCATTATATTTATTACAATATAATATTTAATACTTTCAATAATATTAATATGTTTTTTAAATTGTTTTGGCCTTATTTCTTACTATTAAATATTTTTATTTTTATTTTAAATATTATGTCAAAAATATTTTATTTAAATATTATAGTATTTCTATAATATTTAAAATAAGAAAATTTAAAATGCTATATTTTAAACATTTTTTAAAAAATTCCTATTTTAATTATTATCGTTCTTTTATAATTTATACAATAGTTAAATAATAAATTAAGTAAAATATATTGGGCAATGAATTATGCAATAAAATAAGCGAAAACAAGATTTTGGATGATAACGCAAGGAAAAATTTCAACAATAATTAATGGTACAATAGTAGGCAATAAAACTGAACTTTATGGCAGAGAAATGTCGATTATAATTTTAAGCATCGTGGTTGGATTTTTGCCTTTCGATATTTTTGACAGTTCGCAATTCACATTTTTTGACATTTCCACTTTGATATTCTGGCCAACTATTACTGTTAGTGGCTACTTGGATGAGGCAGCTTCGTTAAAAAGTAGGGTAGGAAGAAGAATAAAGGTCGGCAGCATAACCCAGATTTTTGAAAGACAATTCCCCTCAGCGGGAATTCCAGCATCGGCACTCCGAAATGAGAGCAACAACCCACTGAGCCACCCCCCACAAGTTTTGCGCAAGTTCAATCCATTATTTCTGGTAACATTGAATTTATCGAGCGAACAATCGTAGTAATCATAGTCAGTACAGTGCAGTATAGCATTATCAAATAAAGCCTTATACATAAAAATCAAACTTGCCTAGTTCTTCCCTAACTGAGCCAAGAACCACAGCCACAACGAGACTGAATCTATGGCTATGTGGATTATTAATCTTACTTCACAGCTGAGGCTCTATTCCTCTCGGGAATAAACCATTCCTTCATATTTGCACTTTTATCGCCCAGTGGCTCTTTGAGCAAATTCTTCTGCACCGACAAGGAAGCGGAACGAGTCCATCCAGAAATACTGAACGCCATTCCAAAGAAAAAGATGGAAAAAAAACGATTCAATTCATTCAATTTTAGCTAAGATGCTGAATCGATACGTTTCGTTATATTTCACATTTCACATTTTGGTAACCATTGAAACCAATTAAACCAAAAATGGCGCAAATCTCTTTTGAATAATATTAAAAATATTAATAATAATACTAATAAAAATAAATAATAATTAATAATAACAACGATAATAAATAGTAATAAAAATAAAATAATAAAAAATAATCGGAAATCCTAATCGATTTTCATATGTTAAATTGATATATTATAAAAATCAAAAATAATTCTATTGAATTATCAAAAATAAAAAAAAAGAAAAATAATAAAACAAAAGGGAATCGCGTGGAAATTTGAAGGTCAATTAAGGTCAATAGTTAATTACAAATAATAAAGAAAATCGATTTAATTGAATTAATTAGGAAGGGTAGGTACTTGTGTACTTCTCACACATATTTAATTCAAATAATTTTTATTCGTTGTCGAGGTGCGCAGAAATCGACGCATTTTTGCTGGTTAGTTGGGCTTAATAGGGGCTTAATTATAAGGATGAGACATAGTAGCTAGCGATATATTATACTACATTATTACTGATTTAGGTTTAATTGCCAAAAGTGGATTTCTCCATTCAGAGGATAGGGAAGAAAAAGTGGTACTTGGCTCAAAACTGGAAAGTCCCACCAGGATGGATGATTGGAAAGAGTGGTACTTATCCCAAAGCTTTCGCGATAATGCAAGGGATACAGATGAGCTGATAACATTAAAACGATGAAAACAAATATGAAATTTTTCATGACGCCTCAATCAATAAATGAATTCCGTTTATGTAAATAAACAATATAAATCCACTGCAACATATCAACCAGGTTTAACACGAAATGCAAAATATAATATGAAGATATGTCGTATTGGCCACTGCTGGCTAAATTGGCTGCCAGGATGACATTTCCAAGCTTCTCGATTCGATTCGAAGCCTGAAAATAATATTCGTTTATAAGAACCGAGCAAGGCATAGAGCCATAAAGCCATGTGCTGGGTTGAAGCAGGCAAGAGACAAGGCGAACAAAAGAAAAACCATAAAAGAAATATTACTGCTAAATATTACACTGGAGCTGAAGACACTGTTACCTGTGCCAGCACTAAGTTTCTTCCTAAAACTCGAGACTTAGCAAAAATTACCGTTGCTAATCCCCGTAATTAATAATTTTTAAATGGAAATCACTCGTTTTTCTATTTCCATCTATGTGTTCAAAATTTTTCCTGACTGTACCAGTTGATGTTTTCATTAGTTCTCGTCGCTTTTGGTACCATACCTCATAGGAGTACGGCGAGACACGTCAGTTCTTGTGATGGATGACGCAGAATTAGCCCTAAAACGCCTTTGTGACGATTATTTATGTGCATATACGGTAGTGCTTGTACGAAAGCTGATGCTGTTATACGAAACTCTGCCAGCTTTGTAGATAAGAATATTGAGGAAGAAGGTGGATAACTGGTACCTTCAGTTCTCGCCCTCAACCCTTGGCCATATTTCATTGCATTTTACAGAATTCTGCGTGCTACGGCCTAGCGGTGAACTATATAACATATCTCTCATATATTGTTTGGAATTATTCGTAAAATGGAGAAACTTAAAACTTAATTTTTAATATTTTGTAAAAAAATAAATAAATCATCATAAGCTTTTAAAACTATTTTTAAAAATTATAAAAAATTCTAAATTTAAAAAAGGATTCTATAATTCTTATAATTTTGAATATTTTCTATTCGGAAAGATGGTTAGCTGATTCGATAAAAATGCAGACTTCTCGAACTGCCTTGCACCACTCAATCCAATAAGAATTTCGCGAACTCCAGATTTTTGAGTTCAACTTACGAGTTTTATGCATGCATTACGCTGTAATAAAATTCAGTGAATAAACTGCTGAGATTGTCAGATCGGAAAAATATATTCTGTGATTTAAAATTTAAAAATTTTGTAAAAATTGAAATATATTTTAAAGAAATCCTTTCTGGTGAGAATCATCCTCAACACCTCGGGTCCTCTGCCGCAGGCCTGGGAGACTGAAGCATCTTAGCTATTCCTAACATTCCTTATTCCTTATTTGTGTTTTTCTCGATGGAGATCTATGCTATTGCAAGAATCTGCTGAAGCCACTTTAGTTTAGGGAGTTGCAAGTGCTCCAATTATCACTGGGACTATTTTGGCCATTGCCTCGCATATCTTCTTTAATTCCTCTTTTGCATCTGCTATTTGAAAGTTCTGAGAACTAAAAAGAGTTCTCATCATTACGCTCTGGTAAAACTGGCTTATCGCACTAAACAAATGTATTAAGGGATCCTTGACGATGAAAATACAGATGAGTCACTAGCGTCACCCGGACAGGCTTACCTTTTCGGGGAGTGGAACTTCAGCATCAACGCACCGAATTGAGCAACAATCCGTTTTGTGCCCAGTTCTGATAATATCCTTTATATATACGTAAAGGTGATAACAATGATAACGGCGATAATTGATATTGTTGGTGTTGTCGTTGGTTGTATTTAATATGACTAAACTATTTTATACGCGTCGTTGCAATGGAATTCTATTTATTCATCCAATCGATTTATTTTATTATTTTTTATTATTTTATTATTATTACCATTATTATAATTTTTGTTTTTATTTTTTTATTATTAATATTATTATTATTATCATTATTATCATTAGTTTCTAACAATTAATTTTTACTTATTACTTTAAAAAAATGTTAAAAAATAATATTGATAATATTAAACAAATATTGAAACTATAATTTTTTTCGAAATTTTTAAGCTAAAATGGGGAATTCGATAAACATTTAGCCAAACCAGAACTATTTGTATTAGAACTGCTTTACTCTACAAAATATTTGATAAATGCGGGGTGCCAGAACTAATTGCGCGTGGACCGCGGGCCGTGTAATGCGAGAATATTCCACTATCAAATCGTCGGGCGGGGTTGTCGAGTCTATTAAATTTTTTGCACTAAATATTTGGAAGAGTAAAGTGGGCAGAATCGGGGGGGGGGGGGGGGAGTTTTTTGGAGAATGTGATTGGCGGGGAAAAAGGGGTTCTTTTCCTATTGTGGGGTTTCCCAGATTTTATTTTTATGCAAGAGAATCGTTTACGAGTTTACAGATTTTTCCGTTATTTTTGCAAAAGTGTGATTTAAAAAAGTTTCCGTGCACGCTACAGTTGAGTTTTCTCCGTCCCACCGGTGGAGACAAATTTCGCTAGAGAGCGAAGAAGCGTCGGATCATCAGCTTGCATTTCTGAAAGGCAGATTCACTGCGAAGAGTAGAACTTCAGCTCCGTCACTCGGAAAGGACAACGACAAGCCATTGAACCATTCCGCTCCCCGTTCAATGCGGGAAGAGTTTTATAAGAATGGCGCTATTTGACAATGAAACGAGCAACGTTAGCAGGAAAACTGCGGCTCCATCACTGAGAGTACAAACAGCTACAAATCTTCTCGATATGACTCGGACCTTAAATCAACTTGATAAACTTATTGCATCTCCAATAAGGTTAGTTTTCTAATTTCTTCTTTTATCAGTGATAAGGGAAGGTTTCCTATTAAATTTAAGATTCTTCTTTCGGAGAAATAAGGAAGGCAAAGAAGAATCAGTTATGGCGGAAGCGTTGATGAATGTTAGTTCCACTAAGGAGGGAGGTTCGGTTACCTTCCCGCATGAAAGGAAACAAGCTGTGCAAAGGTAAACGTGATATTAAAAGTAAACTCCAGGTGTGTTTGCGTCTACCTCCCCAAGGGACTTGCTGTAACTATTCGGTGGAATTAGCCAGATCAGAAATAATGCACTGCTTAGAAGAATGAGGCTATTTTATAAAAGTCTTGCAGGATTCCTGGAACTTCGACATTACCTTATCCTGGTTCGCCTAATAAAACTCGCCATAGTGTTTTCTCTATTAAAACGATATGGCCATCTGATATTGAACGAAGAATGGAAACTAGCAAATTGTATAATTTTAAGAATCGGCAAGGACGGAAGTTACTTGAAAAAACATTACTTACTGAATCAGATTCGGAATCGGGTGGTGAAACAACGTTTGGTATGCACGAAATACGAATATTGATGAAGGTTTATATAAGTTTTTGTATTTTAAATTGATTGTACAGTCACTGATTAGAATTATTAAAATATTTGATAAAATATTTGCTGGGAAAAGGAAAAATAAAAAAGGTCAAATAATTTGTCGTTTTTTTAACATTAAAATAAATAGGTGCTCTCTCCACAACTGGTCGGACTAATTCCGTTCTGTTATGATTTGAGGTGGTGTTTATGATTTGAGATCTTTGCTGTCATAAGTCATTAGGTGAATAAAGGTCGCCAGGTTTTTCAAGCCAGGCTTACACTTTTTGGCTGCTTGCTTTCGTATTTTCAATATTATAGGATCATAATATAATGATAATTATAATTTCACAATAGCAAATAACCCGATCGCCAAAGAGTTCACTTGCGTACAGAACTAAGAATGTCCCTCAACCATTTGTATTTCACTTTATTGTCAAGCTTGTTCTCGCCTAGGAGTCGAATCCGTTATACATGCCTTTAGCACATACAATTCGATTATTATGTGCTTAGGCAATTAAACAGTTAACATTGATTGAACTGCTTTTAAAAATGGATTTTCTTTTCGTTTTCTCACGAAAGGGAATTAAATATTTCGTTAAAAAGGCGAAATTATTATTTTTTCGAATGAATTAATCGGTGCAAGAAATTTCTTCATGAAATTCTATGAAATTGTAATGGTTTCTGAATAATTTATCACTTTTATGATAATTGAATATGAATAACTATTATTCGCCACAGAATATTGTTCGAATTTACTTTCTTGGTTCAAATTTCATTTTTCCTAAATCATTTTAATATACCTGTAGACGTTCATGCGTCTTTTTTCGTTGTTTTTCTTAAATCTTTAAAGAAAAAATTATTTTCAAAAATATCTTCAATATATTAATAAAATATGAATATTAGTGGTATCAATACATTTGTGCAAATGAAGTTTTTACATTTCCATTGTTTTTCTCTATTGTTCTATTCTATACTGCTTAAATCTTATTTTTTATATCATTCTTATATTTCGATATATTTTGTAATTTAGATGCATCGTCGTCGACGAAAAATTCAAAAATGCTATCCAACTGATTATACGAATTCTCAATATGCATACATTGGAACAGGTGTTTTTAGCGTTTACGATCGGTTTCCTGAACATCAAGCATCTATTTTGAAGCAGTATGAATTTTTTTATCGCACAATTTTGCAATTCGAATTTGATTTGTCAATTTCCCATTCATTTTTTTTTCTTTTTCCTTTCCTTTCGTTTATGTTATATTTTTTTCTTTTCAATTTATGTTGTTCCATTCCATTTTCCATTTTCAATCCATTTTTTACTTTTTGAGATGATATAGATTTTCAGGAAGCGATTTCCTAATACTGCTAATGTATCAAATGTTGTTCGTCTAATACATGAAAATGTAAAAAATCAATCAAATAAAATGGATGTTAGGCCTCAATAATCGTAAAATTACATTTATGGTTATTTTTAATTTTTTCAGTTTTTTGCATTTTTTAAATTATATCTTCAATAAGAATTTTATACCAAGATTTTTACTTGTTTCTTCAGATTTCCCTTTTTTACCTGTGCATTCTTTGAAATCAGATAAGGAACGCATGTATATGAAAACTTATAAGAATTTGACGAGAAACAATCATAATGGAGAGTGGATTAACGAAATATTGTGAAACAACGATGAGACAGTGATAATTGAGACCACTTAGTAGATGAATAAAATATTTGTACTATTCGATGTAAACAAATGATTTTTATTAGAAATATATGCTTAACTTTTCACTATGTAAATAGGATATAGTTATTTATTTTGTATTTTTAATTTCATCTGATCGCTTTTATGAAATGATTTAAATTTCTACTAAAATTATTTTTACTGGTTTTTTTGGTTCTAATTTATTTTTGGATCACATTTGTTTTCAAGCAAAACAAGGATTTTGCCATTTTTTTCGAGGGTAATGAAGTCTACAAGGTAGAACGCAAATAGTGTCTTGGCTGGTATAGACGACTAATTTTGATTTGAACTGAATTGAAGAGTCGAATAATATAATGTAATACAGCATTGTTTTTTAAATTTTATTATTGTAATTTTCTATACTTTTCTATAAAATTTCCATATTGTTATTCGAATCTTTGATTTTTTTTGTCGATTTTTTTCATTCATTATTTTTCAACGAAGCTATAATTTTTTTATTTTATAAAACTGGAAAAGAATTTCGGAGCAAAGTTTTCAATTTCATTTAATTAATTATTCCACTTCGTTCAAACAAGATTTGTTGCTTTGATATAATTTTAGAAAATAATATTTTTCAGATAATAATATTTTAGAAAATAATATTTAGTTTTTTCCAGTTTTTTCCAGTATGGAGGATGGTGTTGAGCTTTCAGATCATTTGCTCAATCCCCGTTCTTTGCTTAACGTGGATGGTTTACTTGTAAGTTTTATTTCTAAAGGCTAATCAGAATTATAGAAATAAAATAATTAGTGATCTGCTTGGTTTCATCTTAGCAGAAATATATGCTTAACTTCTGGCCTCTATACTTTTGTACCTTTAGGTTTACGTTTTTTATAGGATGCGTTGATAGCAGTCGTTGAAGATTGTAGCTATCCTTTGCTTAGAAAAACAACAAAAAATATCGAGAACTTCGTTTCTCGTTGTAAGTTTTTTACAATGTGTGATACAGTAAGCCTAACAATTTCTTATGTAAGCATGAATCATCTTTTAAATATTTTATTTTATTTTAAAAATTTTATATTTTATTTTAAAAATTTAATTATATTAATTAAATTTAATTATATTTTTTCGTTTTTTCACTAAATGGATTTGAATTTTATATGGAGTTTGCTGTATTAATGTTGCAAAAAAATGATTTGTTTGATAGATCAAGAAGCAGTTAAACAAGTATGTCATCTTCGTCTGAAAGGTTCCGATTTTCATTTGATCAAAGTAATTGGTCGTGGTGCATATGGTGAAGTACAGTTGGTGCGTCACAATATTTCACAAAAAGTTTACGCAATGAAACTTCTTAATAAAAGTGAAATGGTTAGTTGTATTATATTATTATAATCTTTTAGTTAATTAGAAATGATTTTTAAAAAATGGTACTTAAATTATAAATTTAATGTAGTAATAAGAATAAAAATCATCGCATGAATTGAATTAAACTATACAATTATACAATTTTTTATAAAAAGTAAATTTTATGCGATTTTATATATTTTAAAAATTCTAAATTATTTTTTTTTATTTTTTATTGAATGATTTTTATATTCTGTGATATTTAAAATATTTTATCTTAATTTTTTGGCTGCATGACATGTGGAACAGAGTTCCTTGAATAATAGCATTAAGCACAGCAAAATAAATGAGTAAAGTATCAATATTAGTATATTTGACAATTTATAAAATTTGTAGATCAGACGTGCAGATTCTGCTTTCTTCTGGGAAGAACGCGATATCATGGCTCATTCAAATTCAGAATGGATTGTTCGCTTGCACTATGCTTTTCAAGATTCTCGATTTCTATATATGGTGATGGAGTATATGCCTGGAGGTATGAGAAATGATATTCATCGATATTTATGATTTTATACTTAATTAAAATCATTAAAATTAAAAAATCACTTAAAACATTTTTGTTATATTTATTTTTATTTTTGTTATATTTATTTAAGCTTCGTTTATTTTAATTATAATTCTATATTTTCCAAATTAAATTTTCATTTTTAAAGGTGATTTGGTAAATTTGATGACTTCTTATGATGTTTCCGAAAAATGGGCTCGTTTTTATACAGCTGAGTTGGTTTTGGCTTTAGATGCATTGCATTGTATGGGTTTCATTCATAGAGATGTGAAGCCCGATAATATGCTAATTTCTCGGTCTGGTCATATTAAACTAGCAGATTTTGGAACATGTCTTCGAATGGGTCCTGTAAGTTTTTTTATATTGAATTATCTCTGTGTAGTCAAAGACAAAGATTTTGCCTTTTTTTATTTTTGTTTCTTGATGTCCATTGTTCATGTCCATTCAGAATAAACTTAGAGAAAAAATTGGATCATTGATAACATTACAAAAGCAAATCTAAGAGGCCGTTGTTATAGTCTAAAACAAGATATATTGAGTAACTGGTTGCATGTTATAGGATGGATTAGTCAAAAGTAGTACAGCTGTGGGCACCCCTGATTATATCAGTCCTGAAGTATTGGAATTACAAGGAACAGAAGGTGTTTATGGTAAGGAAGTGGATTGGTGGGCAGTTGGAATATTTGTTTACGAAATGCTTGTTGGAGAAACGCCATTTTATGCTGATTCATTAATGGGAACTTATTCAAGGATACGCAATCATGAAAAGGAGTTAAAGTTGGTTTTTTTTCAAGAATTTTAAATTTTTTATAACGTTTATAATTTTTTACTCGTACTTTACGTTTTTGTTATATGGATAAAAATGTCGAATAATTAAAAGAAAAAATTCCAATCATATGATTTTTTATTAACGTTTTACTATTTAGCTTTCCTGAAGATGTAGAAATGTCGGGTAATGCCAAAGATTTAATTCGGAAATTTTTATCGAGTTCAAAAACACGATTAGGAAAAAACGGTATTAACAGTATCAATAAACATCCCTTTTTTATTAATGACGATTGGACTTTCGAGACAATTTGTAAAGGTAAAGAATTTATAAAGATATTTTTTGAATAACGATTTGCAAATTTTTGTATGCTATGCAGAATTATTGACTTTTTTATTTCGATTTAAGCTTTGAATTTTTTAATTTTTGTTTTTATTCAGTTCTCATATATTTTTGATATTTTCATATTTTCATCAAATTTGCTGTATTCCAATTTCAGCTGTACCTCCAGTTGTTCCTGAATTAAAAAGTGATGATGATACATCTCATTTTGACGATATTGACATAAAAGAACCAGATCCTGCAGATAATTTTCAGATTCCTAAGTCTTTTGCCGGAAATCAATTGCCTTTCGTGGGATTTACATATTCAAATGAGTTGGGGTTAGTTCTTTTCTTGCATTCATAGTTTGAAGTTTAGAACTTGCCTATAAAAATACCAGTTTCGAGTGAAAAAAAATTAAAAAAATTTAAAAAATTTAATTAAATTTAAAATTAAAAATTTTTTACAATTAAAACCGAAAAAACCCATTTTTCAAATTTATCAGATTTCATCAGTTTATAGGCCTATTTCAATGATCTGTAAAAAGCTGACTAATGGCTTTCATGCTGGTGATAGTAGTGATAAGCTACAAAATGCACTGGATGAGTTAAATCGACTGAGTTCATTGGATGAAAAGCTTGAGGTGATTTTAAATTTCGATCTTCTTTCAATAATCTCATAACTACTCTCCATCCACATAAGTTTTTAGATAAGCAAAGCTTAAATAATCAAAAATTTAAAACTATAAAATTTATTGCCAAATTTTATTTTTATAGAACGAAAAGCGTCAGCTTGAGAAAGATTTAACTTCAAGCTTGATTGAAATAAAAGATTTAACAAGAAGATTGGATATGGAGCGAGAAGAGATGAATCTGAAAGCGAAAATGGTTTCATCACTAGAAGAACAACTATCAATTAAAGGAAAAGCTGAAGAACGTGTAAAAGATCTTGAACGGCAGATTATAGAAGTTAGGATTATTTTGATTATTTTGGTACTTTTTAAAATATTAGATTTTATATTATCTTTTCCCCCCACTTCTATTTAATTGTTTCAGTTAACTGAAAAATGTCGATTTCATGCTGAAGGAGAAGAAAAAGCTCGAAAATTATATGCTGAAATACATACCAAATTAAATTCACAATTAGAATTGGTTCGCGAATTGGACGAACGTTTGCGTAAAAATAATGAAGAAGAAATTTCTTTTCAAGAAAAAATTGAACAACTTTGTGCACAAAACATGCAAGAGCGTGAAAATTCAAGGCGTGCACAGCAAAGGCTAAACGTATTTCTTTATGATAATTTCTCTATATTAGTACTATTATATTTCTTTCTGCTAACCCCAAGGAAAAAAATTTGTTGGGATAGATTTTAGATTCGTTTATGATATATTAACTGTGAACGAAGCATCCAGATTTTGTTGTTGCATAATCGCTATATTTAGGAACAAAGCGATAAAATTGAATCGATGCGCAATGAAATTTCTTCTTTACGCGAACGCGAAATGAATTTGAAATGTCAGTTAGGAAATTTAAATGAAAGTATTGTGGCACAAAGGGAAACCCTTAAAGACGAGAATCGCATGGTCAACGATGAAACCAAAAAGAATAATATCCGGCTTATTGGTGAACTTAAATCAGCTCATAAAAAGGTAATAAGATTTAATTTTTTACTTGGATGTCGAGATTTATTGCATATATTATTGGCTCTATGAGATGGCTCTATTTTTCTTTAAATCTTTGATAATTTGCATCCGAAAAATTGATTAAAAAAAAATTAAATTTTCAGATTGAACAATTATCATTGGACTGGGAAGAAGAATCACGTCGGAGAAGTTTAGCCCAAAACGAAATACATTTAATAAATGATCAGTTAAACAACTTGCAGAGTTCATTAGAATACCAGGAAAATGTTAGTTTGTGAATAAAGATCCTTTATTATATTGAATTATAAATAACGTTAAATCATTTGAATGAGGTTTTTAAATTATAGGAACTGAGACGTACGCGAGAGGAAAAACGTAGATTAGAAGTGCAGTTGCAAACTTTATCATCTTCAAATCGTTTATTACAGCGCCAACTGGAAGATATTCGTGAACAATTTGATACTGAATCATCTTTCGTTGTATGCTTTTTAGATATTTTATTGCTTTAATTTGCTTATTTGATTGGCTTTTCACGATCATATTTTTGTTTACTTGCAAATTGCTTTCAAAAATTTTCAGAATATTTATAAAATTGAAATGAATGCTATCAATGAAGAACTTGTGGAAAAAACAAGACGCTTAGAGCAATTAGAGGAATATCAGTGATTTTTTTTTTGCATTTGAATCAATATCAGTATCAATAATCAGAATTTGTTGGCATATTTTCTCTTTGGTAACTAGTCGTATAATTGGATTTCTTCAATTTACTGTGATTGCCCCCAGCTATTGGCAATTGATATATAGGGCAAAAAATAAAATCTTTTAGCTAATTGTTTAATGTGTATATATATATTATTTAGGCGACGTGAAGAAGAGCGGATCCGTGAAATGATATCGCAATTGGAAAGTGAACGTTTGGCAAGGCGAATAGCGGAAGAAAATCTTTCAACCACTGATAAAGGTTATATATTGATTTCATGATGTAAATATGAAAGGGATGAATATATTTTCATTTTATTTTTTGTTGGTGTATTTTTTAAGATTGGATTATAAAATGAAAATTATATTACAATTTTGCAGAAAAGACTATGCTTGAAGTTGAAGTGCGTCAGCTAGTTCAAAGGCATGAAAAAGAACTGAGTGCAAAGGATGCTGCTATTCAGTTGATTACACAAAAGGTCATTCTTTAATCACAATCTTCCAAATAAAATTATTAATTTATTAATAATTATTAATTATTAATAATAATAATAAAATATTATTCTTAATTTCTTGTATCTTCCAACTTAGTTTTTTTCATTTTATTTTACGTTTTAATGTAAACAGAGTCCGAATTAGTTTTAAAAGATTTTTTAATTTTATATATACACTGAATATTAGCACTACAGGAAGAGGAATTGCAACTTTCATTACAAGACTCGCGACGAGAATTGCTAGCAATATCGGAGCGTGATCTTGACCTTCAGAGAACGCTTGGATCACCAGAACAGAAAATTAAAGATTTGGAGGGTCAGTTAGAACGTGAGAAAATGATGAAAATGACGGTAAATATATCTGAATTGCGAAGTCCAGAATTTTTATTGCCTGCTTTTAATTTTTAAATTGTTTTAATTTTTTCTAAAAATGGGCATATTGTTCAGGCTATTAACAAATTAGAAGAAGTTATGGCCTACAGGCAACTGAATGGAAAATCGAAGAAGGAGAAAGTTAGTAAAGGTGATGTAAAACGCAGAGAAAGAAGAATTGCTGATCTCGAGAAAGATTTAAAGCTGGAGCGGCAGAAATATGAAGAACGCTTAATGCATTTTTCCAAAGAAAATGAACAGCTAAAGGTTTTAATAAAAAATTATAGATGCAGTTTTTATGAAATATTAATCTTTAAGCAATAGTTTTTTTTTTGTTGGACTTTGTGTGGCATAAACTATTCGAACTATTTTTTTTTTAGATCGCATTGGCTGAAGAAGAAAAGTTAAATGAATCTTTACGTATAGAAATTGAAGCTTTCCAACATTTGGAGATGGTGATGAATGAACAGAAAAAGCGTGAACGAGGAACCAGTGAACTTCCAGAGCAGTTTAATGCAACCTCGAATATTACACCAGTGCTATCAGAGGTTTTGTTTGACTTGTATTTGCTTAACTTTACATTCATTTATTTGAATAATTAATTTGAAGACAAGTGACTTGTAAGATTTCTTTATAATAAGTAGTTTCATAAAGGCAGTACATTTTAATTTTATTCAGAAGGACATCAATTATGAGGGTGCCGTCTCTATTCGTCTTACAATTAAAAGACGCCATCAATGGCAGGAATGCTTTGCAATTTTTAATTTTTCCGGATTATTTTTTTATTTAACTGAAAATGATCGCCAGCCATTCCAGACGATTTTATCTGAGTTAGTTTTTGTTCACAACATTTATACTTCAATTTTCTTAGAAAAATTGGGAAAAAATCTTTTTCAGAAAACTGTGTCACGCGCGACATGTAAGTGCAGCTGATGTTCGTTTCGCAGGAGAAAACCAACTTCCACGTATTTTCCAGGTCATTTATATATATATATCTTGTGTATATTAAGAGTCAATTTCAAATATTTGTATACATATATGCACATAGAGGCAGATGGTTCTTCCACCCGAGTAAACATAAATAAACCGTTATGTCCATTAAAAAATCCAAAGTTGTCATTCATACGAATTTTTTTTTCAGATATTTTACGGCACAGAAGATAACACGTCAACACGTTCTTCAATAAGCGACATACCGATCGGAATTTCTGGATCTCGTGAGGTGTTCTTTTAAAAAATTTTATTTTTTGATGAAATTTTCCTGCAATTCTGCAATCAAATTCCTTAAAAATCATGCTTCTTATTGATATTTTAGGAAAAGCTTGATAAAGCTTTATGGAACCGTCATGATTTAATTGAATTAACGTTTCATATGCCTACAAATTGTGATCTTTGTGTCAGGCCACTTTCTAATTTCTTAAGGCCTCCTCCAGCTTATGAATGCAAACGTTATTTTTCTTTTCTCACTCATTTGTTCTTTACACTATGTATTAAAGTTATTAGAGATATTTATTGTTAAATTTACTCTAAAGCAGATTTCAAAAACGAAGACTGTTTTAAGAAAATATTTTTTGTTTTATCAATTTTTATTAGTAATTTAGTAATTTTTGTGATTAACCAAATTTTTATTTAATATTAGTCAATTTAGTCAAATATTATGTGAAATTTTTGTATCTTCTTGGTGTTTAATTTGTCTTCATTTAGGATGTCGAATGCGTTTTCATCGTGATCATTTGGGAAATGAAACAATACCACAGTGTCGACGTTAATTTTATTTAAATATATATATATTGATTTTAATTTTAATTAAAAAATATTAATTTAATTTATAGTGAATTTTAAAGTTTTTAGATAATTTGCGAATTTTTATAATTCTGCTATAATCTGTCTGAATAACTGTAGAATAGTTTATAGATAAAAAATACGTAGTTTTGGCTGAATTTCCCAGTTCATCTCAGGGGTATAAATATATATACATAATCATTCAGAAACTGTCGATGCTCGCGATATGCTTATAATGGCTCCATCGTCCGAGGCTTGCGAAATGTGGGTTCAACACCTAAAACGATTTCTAGACTTCAAACATGCGCATAAAACGGTAAGGGAAATCTTTCGTAAGTTTTCAAAGGTAAGTAAACTATTTTCATTAGTTTACTTATAAATTTGTTGTGGCAGTAGTAAAAATTCTTTAAATTTTTGGTTTTGAATAAAATATTATGCATTTAAGGGTTCTTCTATTCCAAGATCTGGTAGCTCAATGAAAGTACCTATGAAACCAACAAATGTGCCTCCTCGCTCAGCCACACTTCCAAATAATTCACTTAATGTACCGGTCTCTCTATGATTAAATAAGTGCAATATTTATTGTCTATCATTTCTTTTTCTAACAACTTGCATCCCTTTTGGTTAGGCTGGTTCTTCTGGCAAGGAGCTGTCTCCTTAATTGGAAATAATATAATAGACCGTGTCGTCCAAAATTGATTTCGCTCGCTTTTGACCTATTCTTCACAAGTAGATAGTGAGATACACATCATTTCCTGTAATGGATGGCGAAGAATATGGCCTAATTAAGGTATTGATTATATTTAAGTAAAATTTAAATCGAATAGCATTATTTTTGGTGCTATATGCCAAACACATATCATGATCCGGTGATCTGCTGCCTTATTAATCAATATTTTGTTATTATTTATTATTAGGACATACCAAATTTGTTCCAATGATTTTTTCTTTTCTTTGATTTTCTAAATATATATTATCATTTATCATTTATTACCATTTAATATCACTAAGCTATTTATTAAAATGAATTAGTTTCACATTAAAAATAATTACTTAAACGGAAAATATTCGAAAAATTTCCAGTAAAAGAATCGTAATCATATTGAATTATTTTGGCAAAGAAAAAGAGCTTTGTGATATTAATAATATTTTCAAATCTATTTGTATATTTGTGATAACCAAAATAATTAATATTATAATATAATAATACAATATTTTAAAATTTTATGAATATTGTTCTTTTCACTTGTTAAATTTTCTTTGCAAGAGCGTTTTTAGCTGCGCTTCACCAGCTTGTCGGAGTAAATAAATTTTATCAGAGAATTACTTATCGATCAAAATACAGATGAGCTAATCACCACCATGGTTTTTGGAAGACAAGTCCTCTTTAGTCATTAGATTCCTATCATGTGGGTGATCGGTCAACTCAGTCAAGTAAATTGTTGACTTTATGCATCGAAAAGTAAGCTTTTTTGTTACTATCTGTGGATAGTAATCTACTTTCTCACATTCCTTCTCCGTGAAGTTCCTTTCACTTGGTGTTACTATATTTATCACCAGTGTTAATTTCTGATTCATGTGTATTGCGCGATATCTGATTGAGCCAAGATGCGTACTTGTTTGTATGTCTGTTTGTATAAAATGCCGTTTATATGTAGCAAGGACACAACTAAGTAACCATAAACACCTAAGTAACCATAAACACCTAAGTAACCATAATAAACCGCCAATGCGTTTTAAGTTCATCGCATATGATAAATGAGTATCAGTGTCCTCTAGTCGGGCCGGGCTGTGGTTTTCTCCCCGCGCTTAATTAATACTAACTTGCAGATGCCAAGCTCGGGTTTTAATTCTTTTAATTTTTTAAATTTTGGTCTTGCTTTTTGCAATTTGGTTTTAGCAGTGAACATTGAGGCTGTTATTTGGCTGGAAATATTAATTTTCCGATGGTCTATGTCTATTTAAATTCAATGACATTGATAAGCATGATCGGAAGAGGGAACATTTTCCTTGATCATTGATAGACTGATAAGCTGATAAGATCAATAAGTGACTGGCATGCGTTTATTGGTGATGAATTGTTTTAAAAAAATCCGCCATTATTGGTTCATTTTATGTCATCTTTTTAAATCTAAGGGGAGATCATAGAAGCAAGAAGATGAAAAATATTTTGCAACAATGAGACAAATATTTAACAGACAAATATTTACTGAAGAGAGTGCATTTTTAGTATATTTACTAATTTATTCACTTAAACATTCTGTTACCCTTAGAAGGTGTTATACTTAGAAAGTGACACAGCGGGCTGTTGCTGGAAAATGCGCATTGTGCTGACAACCGTATTTCTATCTTTCCTCTCCTCTCTCCTCTCTCCTGGCAAAATTTCCTCGGTCCGACGAGCCAGCGAAATCTAATCGGAATGGCGAGCATTACTAGAACAGAATAATAGTGATGAGATGTTGAAAGGATACAATTTAGCTTGAAATTTTAACCATTACTAGAGTCGCATCCAACTATGCACTATCTTATGGTTTCGAATTCATAGGATGAGTTGAATGATTGGTGCGGTGACTAGCGGAGAACCCTCTACGAGGCATAACTTTTATAGTTTTTCTGTAGATCGGTTTACGTTTTGCTCAGTTCTTGAAAGTCGCAGTTTTAATAGCCTTAATGTCGTAGATTACCGCAGAAATAAAAGTTCGATCACACCTTCAGTCAGTCACCAGGTGGTCCATTTATGAATTTCCCATTCATTTTAGGAGAGAAATGCAGCCTCTGCTTGTATCGGCTGGCTACGATCAGACGGTACGATTTTGGGATCTTTCAAATGGTTGTAATGTTGAAACATTTGTTCATGCAGATTCACAAATAAATTCCATGGCAATTTCACCGAGTGGTCATCATTTAGCTGTTGGTGGTTATCATCATATACGACTCTATGATATACGTGTAAGTTTAATGCTATGAGAGTGATTTCGTCTAATTTATTAACAACATCGTCCAGTATATTGTTCGGTTTTCTCCATTTCTTATCAGTTTTTCATTCCTTTTGCTCATTCTCTATTTCCATTTAGTAAAACTCTGGTAAATGGCGGGAGTACTAATCATAAAGGAAATATTAATTATATGGGTTAGTTATGGTCAAGAAATTAATATTTAGAAGTGTTCAGACATTTCCACCACCGATCGCGAGTAATTGTGAAACGGTTCCGAAGAATGTAACAGTCACTGCTTTCGATGAAACAGGTCAATTTTTATTCACGGGTGGTGAAGATTTTCGAGTGAAAGTTTGGGATCATCGAAATAATATGCAATGCAAATTCATTTTTCAAGTTAATATTTTTTGTTGTGAAATTTTTTAGGGAATTGATTTACCAAGATTAATCTATCTGCTCACACCATGTTTCTTTGATGTAATGAATCTCTTCCGATGTCTCACCTTCCGTATTCCGAATATATTTTTTTTATAATTTAAAAATGGTTTTTAAAGGTAAATGCAGCAGTCACTTCGCTAACGCTTCATCCAAGTCAGCTGATTATGTTTGTTGCTGACGTATCCGGATTTCTCTACGTTTGGGATATGCGAAAAGTGAGTGAAGTGTTGACGGGAATTGATCTGGAATTGGGGGAATATTTGACGCATATTGAGATAAATGGCGAAACATTTATTGGTGTAACGAATAAAGGCAAGCTTGTACTTTGTTCTGTGAATAACATCCATATTGAACCAATTGAAAAGACAGTGGTTGTATCCCTAATAAAAATGTAAGTTAAAATTTTAAAAGTAATCTCCACATACTTTTCAAATTATTTATGAAAAGTTCCCTGTGGATTAATATAAGGTTTAAAAAATTAGTTAGTGCTAATCGATTTTCTAATATTTATCTAATATTTATTAAATATCTCGCAAATGATTATCAATATACCGCTTTTTTTGTTAGATTTGCTTATAATTTATTAATTTTAGCAATTTACTTAACAAAAAGTCTATTTATCCAAGATATGGCCTTAAATGTCATTTTAAAAAAGGAGACGGAAGATATTTTGCAACAACGAGCGACAATGGTATAGTATATCACTGGGACTCGCAAAATTTGGCTCAGCCTGTTTCCATCCTTGACATTGCTTCCGAAGTCGCAAAAACAGCGCCAACAACTGGAAAGGTTACTTTTTATAAAACAAAATATTTTTTATCAAAAATAAGATAAAAAAAGTAAAATTTTTTTCCTTTATCGCCTTTTATATGTAATTCGTTTTTATAAACTTAATCTTTTCTAAATTTCTGAATTTCTTTTTTAATTTTCATTTTTGTTGCTTATTCTGGTTGATTTCAGATGGAAGCGATATGGACTTGGGATTGTGCATATATAGGAGGTAATCAGTTAATTACGGCGTCTGGAACTCAACTAAGGTTGTGGGATCTTGATACGCAAAAGGTTTGTTTATTCTATAAGATTCGTAAAGTTTCAATAAATTTTTATCGCATAAAAAATGATTTTTTAATTCCATGAGTTGTTATCCGTGATTGTATGGTAACTTACTTTAATATACTTTTTTCGTAAAAATAGGTTAGGCATCATAAGGTCCATGTCAGGTTAAGATTTAGGCTAAGATTCTTAGATTCGAGGCTAAGATCCTATTTCTCTCATTTCTCCTCTCTGCCTTACTATTTCCATTTTTATCTCTATTTTTGTATTGATTAATGTCTTTGTTTTGGCACCAAAGTAGCCTTTCTTAAATAAGGGTTAGATTTTTTCATTGCATTCTTATTTACGAAAAAAGGCTGGAGGCTCTCAATTTTGATTCTAGATTTATCCATCTATTTTAACAGATAAATAAGAAACAAAGACTTCAACCTTTTTTATTCTGAATTGTTTTTCCATGTTTGTTAAATATGAAAACAGGTCTAGATCCATGCGATTAAAATTAAGCTTGGGTTTGTGGATAAAAAAAGAAAAACGCTAGTATATTTATTTTTTTGCTTCTAATGGTGAATTAAGCCAAAATCTTTTTTAATCTCTTTTCTGATTCTATATTTAGCGATAAATTTTTTTATGAATTCTATTTTTAATTTTTTAAGAAATTCTTCATGCTTTTTCTTTTCTAGTTTTCTTGAATTGTAGCGTTCTGCACGTTAAGCTTGGCCGATGGATTAGAATATAATATTATCTAATTGAAGTATTTGAAGTATAATAAGAAAGTTTGATATAATTGGTGCAAATAGACTTCCATAACGCTATCATATTTTCATTTCACCTTCATTTTTTCAAGTGTTCTCTTATTTTCTTTGTTTATTTTTATTTATTTTTACAGGTTCTGCGCAATTACCGAGGTCATAGTAAAACGATAACAGCGATGGCTTTTAAGACATTTTAATTTATTATCGCGGAAAATAGTTGATAATTTTGTTGATTGAAATAAAGTTAAAAAACTTGTGCAAATGTTCTATATTTTGTTATAGATTGTTGCAATATATTTCAGAATATAATTGCTCATTCAGAAAATATTATGGTGCATTAAATTCATACATATTGTTTATATTTGAGATTGGAAGCAATTTTACTCATTTTTATTTTTTTATTTTTTATTAGTAATTTGTCGTAGCTTAAGGGAAACAATTAGCGCTCTGGTTTATCATTTTTATCATTTGAAGTATAATAAGAAAGTTTGATATAATTGGTGCAAATAGACTTTCAAATAGACTTTTTTTATTATTTTTGAACTTTTTTGTTGTTTTTTATTTTTATGGTTGATTTTTGTAATTTATTTTTAACACTTTTCTGTGAATATTGAGTAATTTACTTTTAATAGCCTACGTTTTATTGTCTTTACCAATTTTTTGGAATTTCGATTAATTTAATAAATATTGATGGATATCTAAATTCTCAGTTTTTTGAAGTCTTTATTCATTTATCTACATTTTTTTCGCTGTGTTAATTATATTAGTCATTTTTTGTTAAAATATTTATAAGAAAATGCCATATTTTTTGGAAATAATGATTGCTATTTGTTAAGAAATATCCCATATTATTCTGCTTATTTTGTAGGGAAACTCATAATTGGGACGCATGTTTGTCCGACGAGTGAAATCGGCGGATGTGACCGCTTCTCTTCAACGTTTTGCAGATTTGCATAGGGATGCTGCGTCTCGTGCTAAACATCTCAAACTTGTGTTCGACGCATTATGTGCTCAGGTTATATTTATCAACATTTTAAAATTTTGTCGCATTTCGACAGTATCAATATGTCAAAAATTTTTTTTTCAGTTTAGTTTGTTATTACTTTTTTCTTCTTATTTCAGGAAAAACGACAATTTATGGACGATTATAGTTTTGAGACTTTTCATTTGGTTGACGAATTATTATTACAAGCCAATTTAGCGCAAACAGGTCAGGCCGTAATTGAGGTCGAGTCAGCGCTTTGGACGCTCGAACAACTTTTATGCTATGCACCAGAGCTTATCGGAAGTGGTCAGCATAAATTCTTTTATTTTCTAATAACTGATTTAAAAAAGATAAGCATTGATTAGAATTCAGATTCATCACTTTAATCCAAATTTTATTTGCGAAAATTTTTTGGGTTTTCCTGAATTTAATATGGAATTTTTCAGGTTTAATAAAAATGAATTTTACATTTACTCTTTTTGTGCAGGTTGGCAAAAAAATGCGATTGAAGCCATCTTGAGAAAGGCCTTGTTTCCTTACAATCTATTAGTCGTTCGCAAAATTGCCATCCGATTATTTCTCATGTGGTACCAAAGTCTAGCGATGTTTGACAATACTAGTATGCAGAACGATTTTGTATTCCAGTGTCTTCTGCCAAATTTTCCTTTAAAGTAATTTTTTCGGTTTTCTTTTTGCTATAATTTTGAATTTTATATTTAAATGGAATATAAATATCTCACAATTTGATTTTCTCTTATTGTGCCATATACTGAATTCATTTTGTAAATGAATATTTAGAAACGATAAGTCAACAGAGAACTTATTATTATTATATTGTCAGTCTGCGGAAGCTGGAAACGGTCCGGGACCAAGTCGAAACGTTCCCTTGGTTGCAAATACAAACGATGTTGTGCCCTCTGTAAAAGAAAAAGCTCAGTTGCTTCAAGTAACTTTCCCATTTTTTTTATTGTTCTTTTTTATTGTTATTATTTTTTACTTTTATCATTTTAGGTTTATATGGACAAATTCTTGGAGTACTGCACTCGTGAAACAGTGCGAATCGAATGGAATGATGAAGCCAAACGCTTACAATGTGCAAAGTTCATCTTGGATCGTGTTATTGTTTTATATATTTATGAAGTTTTCCCTGACATTGAGACCAGTGGTGTTGACATTTATGGTGGCTGGGAAAGTAGCGAAGAACATATTGATATTCGAGATACTGCTGACCCAATTGTTATTGCTCGTTATTGGCTTATTAGGTTTGTTTTGCAAAGCACTTTAGTTATCCAGTTAATCTTAATATCATTATCATTATCATTATCTTTATCGAGTTTATTTTAATAGAACCCAATGAATAATAAATGAATATTTCATTTTTTTATTAAATGGTTTATTTCGTTCTTAGGTGACTATTTCGTCCATTTGCTCCAGTTTTTATTGTTTTCTTAATATTTCGCTTTTTAGGTGGATGACATCAGTGGCATCAAATCGAAAAGATCCCTTGTTAGGCAATCATTTATACCATCAAGCACTGTTTTCTAGTCGAAAGGGAACTAATACTCTTCTTACATTATTAAAAGAAGCAATAATATTGCCACTGCCATGTTCTAATGTGATTCACAAGGTGCTTTTAAGATTGAATTTCTTTCATTTTTTCCATATAAATTTAAATTTATTAAAAATTTATTAAAAAGAAATTTTGGAATTTAAATTTAAATTCATGTGACTTAATTTTAAAAAATATAATTTTAGTTTATTTTTTTAATGGTCTTTACTTTTTAAAGTTATTCTAATTTTTTTAAGGTCTTTTCGCTGATAAATCTCTGGTTATTGCAACGAGATTTACCACCTTTTATTGGCAAACCGGGAATCTCAACAGAATCTTTTTTTCTACTTCTCATTCACTTTTTAACTTCGTTTTTTCACAGTCCATATTTGATTACTTGTGGTGATCGTCTTTCTTCCGCTGTTGCACTTACTCATAATTTATTACAAACAATACGAGATCTCTGCAGTTCTTCATCTTCTCTGCCATTCGAATTTTCCGTCAGTGTTTGGTGTGATTTAATCCGAAGTTTGGCGGATGGAATCCGAACAGTCTCGAGCAGGTTAATTATTGATTGTTCATTATGGTTTATTGTTTTTCTTGATTATTCTTTTTTCTTCATTCATTTGCTATATATATTTTATTTTTTTTTAGATCAGATGCATTTGGACGAGCAACATCTGGACTTTTGGTGCAAAATCTTCTCTTTGTTGTTATCTATGTTCAGGCCATTAGGGGTATTGCTCTTTTAAAGAAATTTGCAAAAAAAACCCAAGTTTATTATGAATTATTGTCCATAATTACTTTTTTGATTTAGAAATCGAGATAGATGATCGCGTTTGGGATGATATATTGATAGTATTTCAAATGGGTTGTTGGATGAATATGATTGAACAATGGAGTCGTGTGGTGGATAGCATTACAAGAGCGCTCATTTTGAATATATTTGAAGTCGACGTAGCTACGCCAAATAATGTACAACAGGTAGCAATAATATTTTATTTTATTATAAGCTATTTTTTTGGTGTATCTTTGTGCTCCTAAAATTAGCATTTTCATGAATAATTCATAATTTCAGAATGTACTGAAGAATTTACGACGTGAAAAAAGTGAAGAAATAAAAATTGATGATGATGGATCATTTGAATTAGGTTCTGAAGATAGCCGCTCCGAGACTGAAAGTTCAGTTGATGATGAAAGCATATATATGAACTCAATTATTCAGGTCCCCCTTTTGATTACAAATAAGATTTTCTTTTTTTTTTTTCTCATTTCTAGCTTAAATTTTGATTATTTTTTATATATAAAATTTTTTATTTTCTATAAAAAATAAATAAATATAAAAAAAATATAAAAGCGAAAAATATGAGTGTAAAAGCATGCACTTTTTTCTTTAATTATAGATAAAAATAATTATGGATTAGATGGAGAAATAAAATTTAGAATTTATGTTGGAATTTCTTTCATTAATTTATTTTTTATTTAAAAAGTCTGATAACCATCATCAATTCTTTTTTTCTTTCTATTTTATTGCTTTTAGGATAATATTCATTTCAACTAAAATTTCATCTTTATATTATTTTTCCTATAAATGAAATTGGTAAAAATATTGATAGCAGCTAAATAAATAATTCTAAAATTGATTTTCTCGCTTATCATGAATTTATTGTCTTATTTGAAGCAAAGCATATTCATCTGTTGTTATTGCTAACAGTTATTAGAAGTTAATTTTCCAATTATAAACTTCTTTTATGCTTTTTTTTTCATTTTTTATTTTATTATTTGTTTCATTATTTCGTTTTATCTAAGTCAACTAATTATTTTTTCCTAATCTTAGTGACGTTCTGTTCACTTTTTTTCATTTCAACTGAACACTTTAATTGCCATTTTTTCTATAGGACTTTCATTTTAAAAAAATGAAAAACGAATACCTACTGAAACGCAAACCGTTTTAAGAATCATTGAAGCTAACCCAGTTTAAAATAGTGAAGAATAAGGAGAGGATTATTTTTATGGATAATTTTCATTATTTTTCATATTAGATTTATTTAAATATTTTTTAAATCCATTTAGACCCACTTTTGCATAATTTCATAATTTAAAGGAATTTTGTCAAGTAGCTCTTTTTGATGGAATAGGAAATTCGATACTAACTAGTGATCATATGATATATTCATTTTTCTCGTAATGTAATTGTATTTGTTAACCAATAATAATCACCATAATACACAATGCATCGAATAATGCAATTCAATTAAAAAAACTCATTAAATTTTTTTGAAAACTATAGACCGACCTATCGAATTGATAAATAGAATTTTTACTTTTTTAAGTGTTTAGCCGTTAGCAGTTTTATTCACATCTTTAGGATTATCACATTTAGGATTATCTCTTTTATCTCTTTTAATTTTATTATATTAATCTCCCGTATTAATTAACTTTATTTGTTGATATCAAATTAAATTTTTGAAGTTTAAGAATCTAAAAATAAATTTTTAAAAAAATTTCTTAAATTTCTTCTTTTCTTCTCTAGAAGCTGGTTGATTTCCTTTGTTTTTTTGTCGAACGTAGATTTTAGAGGAAAGGTGATGGTTTTGTTTGGCTACGCGTTTGGATGCGAGTCATAAATCTCGTTTCTCCATTGCATGCCGCGCATACGCAAGTCGCTGTTCAAGTAATTTTTTCATTTCTGATATTTTTTTTTATAAATAATGATTTGTTTATGATTTTAGCCAAATGAGAATAATAGTTTTTTATTTTATTTTTTAGACTATATCGAAAACGATAAATACATTACTTCGTGTTAGTGGTACGGATGCACTTGTGCATTGGCTTTCTATTCGGCTTTTCTTATTGCCGACATCAGCTCAGATAAACTGCATTCCTGCATTTTGTTCTGTTTTATCTTCCTTAGATCCTCCACTTTTATTGCAAGTTTGTTTTCTTTTTTTTTATCATTTTCTTTTTGTTATTACGACAAACAACAAATAAGCCAAATGATATACTCAAATTCTTTCCATAATTAATAAAATTTTGAACCGAAATTTTAACCAAACTTTTATCAGTTATTAATAAATTATTTCCTAATTATTATATGTAGTTATTATTAACAAATAGGATAGAATAATTAAGTATTTACCAAATTTTTTATAAAGGCATATGCTATATTGGCATTGACTAACGCAGTTAATTTTGAACACGGTGCTACGTTACTTGATTATATGCCATCAATGTCACACGAACATCTTGCCTCTTTGGCCCATCCAACTTTGAATTGTCTTGCAAAATTAGTTTCTCATTTGAATTATTCACCAAGAAGCATACAGGTATTTCTTTGTTCTTTTGAGCTTCAAGCTGTTAAATTTTAAATTTTCTTCTATCTTGTTTTTTCTGAAATTTTTGTTTCTAATAACTGCATAATAACTGCATGACTATTATGATGGAACTATTTATTATCATTTTTAGGTCGCTGCACTACTTTCTCCTGACCATGAAGCTGCAGAATCTCTTCTCTTAGATGTAATTAGCTCAAATTCTGCTGAAATTAGTCATCAAGCATACTCATTAGCTCTCAATGCGCTGGCTTTATTAATTATCGAGCGAGCGGATACGAATTTAATGATGGAAGTTTTAAATAGATTGCGTCGTATACATGCTAGTGGTCCTCTCATTTACCTTTTTTGTTCTAATTTGTATCAGTTAACTTATCTTGGTCAGCACAGTCAATTGACTTCTTTATTAGAACAATCATTGGAATTGGTGAGTCCATTTATAGTTTAAAATCATTATTTTGCTTAAAACATGAAATATTTTATTGAAGCACATGTATTTGAATGTTAACCATCTTTCTTTATTGATATTTATTTTCTTCAGAATTCGAAAAAGCATTAAAATTTATTTCATACCTCATCGGTCAAACATTTCATGCATTTAAGATAGAAGATCAGCGTCTTGTCGGTGAATTATTATGGCGTAGTGTGGCCATCAGTCTTTATAGTGGCGAAGTGAATCCTCCAATGGTCAAAATAATATTACATCAAAAATATCCTTGTCTGGAAGGTTTTCTTATAAGATATTGCCGTCAGTTTCCTTTTCCTTCTTTCTCACTTTCGCAACTGAATTCACTGGAACATAATTCGCGTTCTAGCAGTAATTCTGCCGATGGAGATCAAGTTTTATCTAAATACATATTTATTGATCAGCAAACAGCTATTTTAAGGTTCAAAATTTTCCAATTTTCAAAAAAACTAATACAAGGAATATATTAATATAATATGTATTTATAAAATCCTCATAATGATTTTTAAGCATTGATCATGAAGACGAATTGCGGATAACAAGTAGAACGTCAATTGGAAAGCACTGTTGGATATTCACTGAAGAAAAAAAAAATTCCGTTACCAACTCAAATATCAATAAATGGTTGCAAAATTTGGCATCCAGACCAGCAAAGCCATGTAATCATATTTCCGATGCGAAAGAACTGATGGATGATCCATTTCAGGTACCGCAATGTCTAAAAGTCAAATTGCGACCTAGTATTTTATCACGTAATTATATTCGTGATTTTCGGTTATATATTTCATATACGATATTTTAGTATGTTGTATTCACACTTTATATATTGTATAATTCGGTTATATATATATATATATATCTCAGTTTTACATGTTTTTCCAGAAACTACCGCAGTTGCCTCGCGCTTTAGAAACTGATTCAACAGATTGCAGTGATATGTATTCATTTATTCAACAGAATCAGCGAATTCCATCAAAAAAAAGCATAATTCATCCACCGCTGCATATGAATGATAATCAAATAGAATCAGTTCCACAAAAGTTTTTGCTCTGGCGTTCATTGGTTTCTAATTTTTACATGATTGGTGATGCTCGTCAAGTTCCTTCAAATTTTGCTCGCGATTTACGGCATCTTGATCAAACTTCGTCACGAGAATTTCACAAAGTTGCTGTAATTTATGTAGCCAAAGGACAAGAGGTTTTTTTTTCAGGCCTTAAGACCTTATGAAGAACATAAATGATACATATCTGCATGGATAACACCAATTAAAATGTCGGCATTTAAGTTAATGGAAATGCACAGCCGATATAGTTTCATCAAATAAGCGAAAGTAAATAAAATAAATGGTTGACATTTCCATTTCCGATTGGAGTAGAATAGTCGAATGGATAGTGATTCAGCATATCGTATTAAGAGGCAAGAATTCGGCTCTTTTCAGAAAAACTGAAGGAAGTAAATCTGTAAGCCAGGTGGTACTGTCGACCTTCTTTTGTTAAAATCCTAAATAAATCTCCCTGGCATTTTTTTTCAACTGTAAGCTTAACAGAGTTAGCCAACCAAAAATGATGATTCCACTTAATTACTTTCACTAGCCAAGAGGTGGAAGTATAAGTACTGGAAAGAAAAACAGAACCAGGGCCGAAATGGTTATCTGACTAACAACATCGTGATGACTCGATTCTTGATTTCACTAAATATTAAGCTTTTTTTATCGTCTAAGAATATTTAATATGAATATTTTGAGGGCTTAATATATTTAAGGAAAAGAACGCTATATTAATGAATACCTCTGCTTCGGATTCTTTTAACAAGTTTATCGATGGGTTAGGTTGGCCAGTTCAAATATCCAAACATTTCGGTTATGCTGGGGGCCTTAATGGCGAAATTATTGCTCCATATTATTCATCCGGCGATACAGAATTAATCTTCCACGTCAGTACAAGGCTTGGAGGTTAGTTCTATCTTCCTAAAGGAAGGCATCTATGAATTCAATGCTAAATAAACTACAAAAAAATTTATTATGACTATTAAGGTGATGTAACTCAAAAGCTAAAACATCTTGGTAATGATGAAGTACACGTTGTATGGAGTGAACATGATCGACCGTATCGTCGCGACACAATAGCAACCCGATTTTGTGATGTACTTATAGTTCTTTATCAAATGTCTCCTTTATTAGTGCGAGTTAGCATCGAAACTCAACGACCGCTTGAATTCGGTCCATTATTCGATGGCGCGCATGTTCACCTGATACAGTTGCCTTATCTTGTTCGTGATACCGTCATAAACGCTTCAAGAGCCTATCGTCTAACGCAACAAGATTGCGCTCGACCTCTTCAACATCGTCAAAAAGTTTTCATGGACGCGCGAAGACATTTGGCCATTTTCAGTCCTTCTGCATCTATTTCACATGTTTATTCGCCAACGTTAAAGTCATAATTACCGCGATTTATTGTAATTTTTTTGTATCTATGTTATTTATTTTATATTAATTAATTATAAAAGGGCGATAATTAATCGCGATCAATTGCAAATTGACATATCCTATTTATTGCACAATACGTTGATTTTCTTGCACGAAATTTCTCTTTAATACATATTTTTATTTTACTGAGTTGTACAATAAAATTTATTATTTTTCGCCATGTTAGTATAAAATGTCAATATAAAATTTTTTTTTTTCATGGTTTTGAGTGGTCTTATCTGCCTTAAAACACCTCAAAATTTCAATGATTTTTGTAGGATTAATGGAAATAAAAAAACTGCAAATCGTCCATAAACCATGAACGATAACATCCATAAGTAAACGTAAACATACAATGGTTCAAAAATCAAAAATTTATCGTTTTGGATATCTAATTTGAGGTATTTGTTAGCAGTTGTGTTATCAGTAAAAGACGATTTATATCAGTGATTTGTGGTTTGCAATTTCTTACCGAAAAAAATTGAAAAATTTAAAAAGTGAAAGCAACAGTAAAAAACACGACAAATAAGACGTGAAGAATCATATTTTTCTTGACATTTTATTCAATTTACTATTCTGTGGGGAAATTTTTTAAAAAAAGCAGTTGTGCAGTTATATGGATTTGCAATAAAAACCACTATAAATTTCGTGAAGATGTTTTAACCACAATCATTTGCTTAATTTTTGCAAGGATTCATAAAAGAAGGCATAAAATATACCATACCATCGAATACTTCTAAAATACCATCGAATAACTTTATGGACATAGATTATGAAACGATATTCCTTGAAAGATGAGTCGCTGGTACCATCCAAATTCTTGAAAAACAGGTTCAATTCTGCCGAGTATGGAGCTAAAGGTTCAAATTGAAAGTAATGAGCCATTCTGCTCCTATTTAAAGATTTATTCAAAAATTAAAATTCATTTATATCGTTAAATTTTTTTTTGCAAATCCATGCTAATGGAAGAGAAAACAAAATTTATCAGAATCATAAATTTTATCAGATGGTTGATGTTTGGTATACTCAATCATTTATAAATAGCATCCTAGATGGATATTATTTGTTATCATCATAATTATTATTTGTTATCATGATAATTCACTAATCATTTGGATTATCAGGGTGACTGACACCATTGGTCTAATTTAATCTTTTTGTACTATAATTTACTTAAAATCTTTACCCAATTAATATTTTGGTTTAGCACAATGATAAGACAAAAGAGAAATCCTTTGCAAATTTTTCAAAGTAGAAATTTTTACCATAAATCAAGTGAAACTGAAGCCGCAAATTTAAAAGTGGATATTCATAATTGGTTATTATTGTTTTTAAGAGATGTACAAGATTGCTTGCCTATTCCTCCTGATTTTCACTGCCAGTTGCTCGGCACAAACAAGCGTTGGTGTCAAAGGGACCCTAATGTGTGGTAAACAAATCTACAATAACGCTGCAGTGAAACTGTCTTATAAGCATGGAACTGGTTGTTACTTTATATTATTTTATGAAAGTCCCACTCCTTATAAGAAACCGTGTAAATGGCTGCCGACCAATTTTAAAAATAATAAAATTTTTTGCCTAATAGCTAGCTATCCAATCATCATTCTTAAGCTTCCTCCAAAAGCACTTAACATTCCTGGCTTGGCTTGTTCCACTCACTGTTAGGATAGTATCTTTCGCGTGAAGAACTGCTCGACGGTCTGAGGTCCATAGCACTGCCCGAACTTCACTCTTAATAGCATTCTTACTCGTTCAAACGGCAGGAACGGAAGACTGATCCCAGTCGACGGTATAGTCGACTCGACTAATCTTCCCTCACATTCAGTTATCAAAATGTCTTCCATTTTTTATAATCTCCATTTGAACTTCCAAGGAATATTTTAAGAAGGATTCAAAACGTTGAGTGAAACGCGGCAATCACCAAATGGTACATTTAGCATTACATTTGAAAGTAAAGATTCAAAAGCGCTGAAGGAAATTGTCTTGAAAATACACCACAGCTGTGCCGCAACACCGGTATATTGTCATTTTTTTACCATCTTTTTTGTAATTTTTAATTTTAATTTTCAACAAAATTTTTCATTTAAAAAATGGATTTCAGAGCTGTGAACGCTCGGCGAATATCAAAGTACCAATAAAATATATAACAGCAACAAGCAAAATTCAAGAATGGTTTAATATTTATACGCTAAATTTGGAAGGAATGTTTTATTCTGAAATAATGGCGTGTTACTGATCAAAATTCCATAAAAAAAAGGAAAATTTTAAAAATTTTTCGAAAAAGTAATGAAATAAATCAATGGAATTTTAATAAAAATAAATATTTGAACAACTTTAAATTTTAATTTGAATTTTTGAGTTTTTCGTTTAATAAAATTTTTTGCTAAATTATAAATAAATTTTGAATAAAATTGATGAAAATGAAATGAATTTTTGTAAATTTTTTATTTTTATAATTTTTATTTTTATAATTAAAAATTAGTCTATTTTAACCTATTTTTCACTTATTATGAAATTCTTCCTTTTCTTTTCGTAAAAATTTATCGAAATATTCTTTTTTTTGCAATAAAAGTATTTAAATTTATCGGATATTCTGGTGATATGCGAAAATCTTTGAAAAATTACAATACGGAAAGCATTTGCCATAAGCATTTGACGCATAAAAGAAAATACATCTGATTGTTAACATTAGAATGATCAAAGGACGTTGTTCTCATCTCGGGACAGCCATGTGCTTGGCCTCCCTCAGCTGTAGACCTCTATGTAAAATCCAGGCTACACTGATTCGACCGCATTTCTATCGCCGAATAACTCTCTGACAGAATTTGTCTCGTCCGACGAACCAGTGGAGCGAAAGTAATTAAGTGATGAGAGCTTACTACATGAGGTGACTAACTGCAACCATTGCAGTAATGTTCACGCAAATAATCATAAATCATAAAGGGAGATAAAGAAGAGCGTTTAGAAATCTTCAGTATTTATGAAAGCAGAATTTTTTAGAAGACCCTTTGTTTGATGAAAGTGTTTCTTGGAAACTCTCACTCGCCGCTCGATTCGATAGAAAACACTGAAATAAACTTAAATAAAAAGCCTAATTTATAAGAATATTAGTACTGCACAATTATTCAACATAAACGCCGACATTATGAATCTACTAGCAGCAAAAATAAACCTATTTTTCAAGAATTCGTGCGACTCACCTGCAGCTCTACTGGCAAGCAACTTCCTAGTAAAAATTTCTCTGGTCCAGAATGCCAGCGAGTACGCCCAACCTAACGGTGCGGATCAAAAATGGTGAACCACCTTATTGTATAGGAGAAACCACTGCTGATAAAATGAAATTTATCAGATAACTCTAAAAAACAACATTCTGGTCTGCCTAATCGCTTATAAACAATGAATTCCATAAATTATTACTTCATTTGTTATTTTGCGTCCATGGATGTGGTGAGCTATTCGCTATTATCATTACCTGTTATTACTGTTTTGTTATTTTCATCTTTCAATAATTACGATATAATGCTATATAGGAACCATTTCTTATAACAACTGCTTCCATAAATTCACGAACTGAATATTAAATAATAAGGCTTATTAAAATTTTTATTATGCACAAAAGTATAAAAAATACATTTAAATTACAAATATTAAATTGCACTTTAACTTAATTAAATTATTTAAATTACACTTGAATTACAAATTACAAAAGTAAATTTTTTGCAGATGTATAAAATTGTTTATCTATTGATAACGATATTCCTAATCAATTGTTTTGCAATCGAACCACCAAGTCTTAATGCTCAAGGAACCTTAATGTGTGGTGAAAAACCATTAAATGGTGCCAAAATTCAACTATTGTTTAGTAACAAAACAGGTATAACTACTAATTTTTTGGCAGATAAATAACTTTTAGAATTTAATTAATAAGTCATCTAAATTAAAAATCATAATTTGAGGCAATAGCTACGAATTAGGTGAAACAAAATCAATTCAAAATGGTACATATGCGATAACAGCGAGCATCGACCCGAAAGCACTGAAGATTCAAATGAAAATATTTCACAATTGCCTTGATAAACTTATGGTACGTCTTACTAGCCTTAATATATTTACCTAAATATATGAATTTTTAGCATTAATAAGCTTGATTCCAAAAAGTAAAAAAATGAATTTCAGCCGTGTAAAAGAACCGCGAATATTAATATACCAAGGACATTTATAACAGGTGCAGGCGAAAAACCGAAATGGTTCAATACTTATACTATGAATATGGAATTAATACCCAGTGGTGAGGTAATGGTCTGTTATAGTGACTTGGCATAAACAATCCGCTGCGAAACGAGTTAAAGCACGAAAAATTCTTCTCGATTTGTTTCAGTTCTGAAAAATTAATGAAAAATTTAATAAAAGTAATAAAATTCTGTTCAATGCCGATAAACAAAATTAATTTTAAATATATTATTTCAAATTTTCTCAAAAATTAAAGGCTTAAAATTGAAAAAAAAATGGAAATTTCGGATCAAAGCAGACAATCAAAAAATTTGGACCGATCAGAACAATTTACATAAAAAATAAACGAATCAAACTAATAATTACGATTCTTATATTTTTTTTAAACACAAATAAGAAAATTTTCATTTCAAACTAAATTTAAAAAGAAAGTTCAAAAAATAAAAGAAAAGAAAATAAATCGGAAATCGGAATATGTTATGCAAATCAGCCTTTCTGGAATTTTGGCATTTTTTGGCGGAGAATTTGAGAAGAGGCCACTGCTTGATAGTAAACTAACGATGATGTGAGACTAAAATGTTATAATCAAAAAATATAAGAAAAAATGCCAAAAATATGAATATTAAAGAAATTATAAAATATCCACAACTAATACAATTGAAAAGTTTTCAACTATCGCATCAGTTTTATTTCACTGCATCGAGTAATTAGTCATAGTTCCTAATCTTGATAACCTTAATAATCTTTGATAACCTTTTGATAACCTTTTTGGTAACCTTAATAAAACGACTTTTAATGAGATAGGTGTGTTTATATTCTTTTTGTCCAAAAAAGTACTTGGAGATGGAACCACAGACAACCTTTGCATCCCAGATTTAAAATTTCTCAGAAATTCTTCTTGCGAACAGCCGAACAAATAAAAGCCAATAATAATAATCCCAGGTAGAAATGCTTTTTTTCAGATGAAAAAAACCTCTTTGGAGTCACTGTGAACATCAAAATGAAATCGCATTTACTAGCTACAATCCATACTATATGATTTTTACTCCCGAATGCTGCTAACCAATGGAGTCAGCCCAATGGTGATAGCCGTTAGAAAAAATAGATTATCTAAATTTTTGCGAATTTCGGTGTTTGAAATTAGTAATATTAAGGCACATCAAAGTCACATCAATAAAATACCTCACTTATCAAATTTTTGTGAAAAAATAGTTTTAAAAATCTAATAGTTATTGAAAAACAAAACAAAATATTTCAGAAAAACAGAATTAACATTTCACGATATTTAATCGCCTATAAATGGCAAACTACTCTGATAAGCACTTCAATAATTCATTATGTGTGCATTATAAGAAAAGGTAGAATACTTGCTGAAATCATCAAATATTGCAGTTATTATTATCTGCTCGTGCTACCATATTTATCACCATCTTTGATTCGTTGTTAACCGGCTAGCTCGAACCTTTTTCCAGAGGAATAACTCTTCGGCGTATCGGTTCCCTATAAATTTAATTGAATTTGACGGGTAACCAAAAATAATCTGGAAAAAAATTTGGAAAGAAAATCGTTATAAAATTTCTTGTAAAACTAAGAAATATTTTTCAATATTATTTCATGAGCTTATCACCCATTATTAATATGTATCAAAACGATAATAACAACGACAAATATTTCGAAGAGAAAATAAAAATAAAAAAAAAATATTTTTAAATAATAAATGAATATTTAAAGGATGTATAAGACTATTTATTTATTCGTTGCAATATTTGTAACCAGTTGTTTGGCATTTTGGCAGCAAAGCGTTGGCGTAAAAGGAATTTTGATGTGCAATGATAAACCACTAATTAATGCCAAAATAAAACTGTGGGATAAAGACAAAACTGGTTATTAATTTGTTAATATGCTTTAGTAAAATTTAATAAATTACATTTTAGCCTGACTCGTTGCCAAAAATAATAATTTGCTTGCACTAAGAAAAAATAAATTGGAATAAAAAATCGAAAGAAATACCAGAAATACTTCAAATGCAACTTATAGGGTGTACGCTATTAAAATGGCTTAGTGTGGTGCTTCATTTCGGATCACCAACGCTTGAGTTACATTCTTACCAGAAATTATGTCTTTCAAAAAACTGCTAGCAAGTTATTTATACCGCTATATGATCCCCTGGAAAAACTGGTTGGTGCGACAAACCAATAGAGCCTAACAGTGGTGAATATCCTTCGCACCCTATAATACTAGAAAGATGAAAAGAAAGAAGCAATTTATCTTCAAAAATATTTTATATAAATATTTATATTAAATATTTATCTTAATTTAATTTAAGGCAAAGACGGTGAACTAGCAGCAGTAAAAACGGATTCAAATGGAAAATATGAAATAAGTGGTGGAGCTGAATCATTTTTCTTGAAAGTTGTTATCATGAAAATATATCATAGTTGCGGGGATTCGGTATGATTCTAGCCATAGTAGTTATTATACATGTAAATATGTGTTAGCCTATTTGCAGCTAGCCACATTCCACTAATAATTACAAAAATAAGACATTCTACAGCTTGCAAGAAAGCTTACTTACTTAAACTATAGTTGGCTCCTAATCGTTTCCTAATCGCAATCCGAAGTTTTCAACGATACATTCACTTCCGTCACACCATAGCGAATTCGGCCTCCTTCCTCCCTCCCTCACAAGCCTTGAAAAAGATAAATTAATTTCAGACATGTGAACATATCGTGGACTTCGAAATACCGAATGAGTATATAACGAGAACAAACGAAGTTAAAAAATGGTTAAACGCTTATACAATGAATATGGAAGGAAAATTTAATAATGAAAAAAGAAGTTGTTTTAACTAAATAATTTTACCAAATTCTTTTTCCTAAAGAATTTCTAAAAATAAAAATTTATTTGTTAAAATGAAAAGGTTTAAAAAATCATCAATTTAATTTAATTTTTCTAATTTCTAATTTCAGTTTTTGAAAAATCTCTTTTGAATGAAATGTGAAAATGAAATGAAATAAAAATTTCATATTTTCTTCACAGTTTTTCAAATGGAACAAAAAAATGACCATTTGATTTTTTGCTATTAGCATTTAGCATTTTTCAAAATTAGCTGTTCAGTACGCAGCAAATTTTGGATTTTATCTCAATTGTGGATTTCCCTCTAAAAAATAATTTGGGAAATTGAAAAAATAAGGAACTGACCAGAAAATATTTATAAATGGGAAATATCTTCATAAGCTTGCTTTAATAATTCTTAAAATATGTAAAAAGAATAAAAAATACTAAAATGCAATCGTAGCTTCACTTGTAAAAGCAGCAAGCAGTAGCAGCAACAGAACCTCGGCGACAGTCTGAACCTCGGCCAGCCTGCCTCCCACTTGGCCAAAATTTCAAAGATACAAAGCGAAAAAATAGAATCGATGTGTACGTCGAAATAAAAAAAGCATAAAAAGAAAATATTAACTGCAATCAATCAACGAAGAGTGACCATCAACGTTTCGATTATTAGAAGAATTCGATAGGCCAAAAATAAATGTTTAGTTAGGCGAAGGAATAACCGAAATAAATTTTCTTAGCAAATTTTAAAAAAAATACAAAAACCCAAAAATCGTATAAGTGTTTGGGACACGTCTCGCACTCTGCTGCGCTTCCCCTCCGTCGAAGAATTGATTAATTACAAGAAATTTCTTTTTTTAAAGGAATCTAAAATTTAATATTTAAGATGGAAAAATTATTTAAAATGAAATTTACACGAAATTTACAGGAGAACAGAAAAGTGAAATATTTTATGGGAAAGTTCAAAAACTCGAAAAAAATCCATGAGTCCCAAAGATTTCCGATTAAAACTAAAGCTGCGGATTATGATTTAATTCACTTTTCATTCCTCCCGAATAGGTGTCACTTCAATTAAAAAAAAAAATACTTTGGATTTCCTTCATCAGCGTAAATTAAGGCCTAAGCCGAGCGGCAGCGGGCCTAATCGGAAATGGCGAACGCTCTTAGGAAAAAAACCGTTTCAAATATCAACTCGATTTCTTCGGAAGAAAATTAAAACAATTAGGGACAAAATTTCTTTACCAACTGTTTTCAGAAGCAAATAATAATTAAAATATTTGAAATAAAAAAGGAAGTCATATAATATTAAATATTAAATATTAAATTATATATAAATATTAAATCAAATTCTTATCAGTGCTTATCAGAGCAAACCTTGATTTCCACGCTCATTAAAGTACAGTGCTCCATAGCAAAACAGAAATTTCAACTGTTACACCCACCAAGGAAAAAGGACCGAACCGCTGGTACTTGGCTTCAGCTGAAACGCTCAGGCATAACACTGCTTGATAGATATTATTTTCTCCTTAGACCAGTTCCTTAATTAACAATAAAACTGAAATTTACAAATCAACAATATGACAAAAAAAAAACAACTGAACAAACTTCTAAAAAGAAGAAATTTCCGTAAAAACCCTATGAACTCTCGTGGAACCACTGAAACATTGAGACTAAAGCTGCAAGATGAGAAAGGTCGCTTTATATACTAAAAAGCAGAGCAAATGAGACCTTTGAATCTCAGGGAAATCAATTTTCCCGGATGGGAAGTATGTTCGTCAAACTTCCTTTCACTGTTGGAAATCGGAAACGTCTCAATTTTCCCGGATTGGAAATCTCAATTTTCGCGGATGGGGAGCGTTTCGTTAAACTTCCTTTTATTGTTGGAGATCAGAAACGTAGAATGCGTTAGTGTAAGAATTTTGCAGTAAAATTTATTAATCATAAATATATTTATCAATTTTTCAGTTATTTTTCAGTGATTTCTTCAATTTTTATTGCTAATTTTCTGCGTAATATTTTATTTCCATTAAACGATTTCTCGTCGTTCCGATGAATATTCGTTGTTACGAAGTTTGTTTCCTTTCAATAATTCTATTCGTTTCGGTGACAACAGTTTTCCCGTGGGCGCTTTTCGTTAACGCTCACCAGGTTTTTCCTTTTTGTGAATTTTTTAAATTATTAAAAAATTTCGTCTATTTGGTTTCGCATTATTTTAAACAAAAGTTTATCGTAAAAATTCTTTTTTAAAAATAAAAATAAACTAAAATTTGAAATCGATAGAAATTAATAGAAAATACTTCGATGGCAGTTGACGTGTCATTAAAAGTGAAATTCGAGTGGTTTGCTGGGGTTCGAATCGTCTTTGCTTCGATTCGTAAGTGCTTTTCTAGGCGAAACAATAAGCAGAAAGGAGCCGTCGAGGAGTCGGCGGACGGAGAAATACAAAAATACAAAGCAAGTGGATTATTGCAGAAAGCCTATCTGCTTAGGCGTTTATAGATTTCAGAGAAAAGGCAAAGCGACGGCTGACGTAGTCAGATTTATGATCTGCACAAGCCAGTTTAGCAGTACCAGTAGCAGTTTGAGAAAAATTGTCTGATTGCTGTCGTTTTCAGAAGGGTACGAAAAGGATAATTTTGATGGGTGTTAGCACGCTTTAATATTTAAGGCAGCGGTTCCTTTGCTGATTTTGGATTAGCAATCCATTTATGCTGAATATTTTTTTAAAGGGCGCTCAGCCCTTAGCTCTGATCATGATAATTCCCCTTGCTTTGCGGAGCAAATAAAATGTGAATCATTTGGCTTCAGAAACCTAATCGCCATTATACTTTTCATTGACTGTCCTGTAGGGGATTTTAGCATAGACGCTTTGAAATATAAGCAACAGTCCATTGTTTTGTGCCAAATTTTAAAAGGTTTCAAAAGAATCTAATTATTAATTTCAAACAGTAATTGTAGTATAATGATTTAATTTAAATTAAATAATTAAACTGGAAATAATTTTTCATTAATAAACAATAATATTCAATCAAATATTAAAAAATAATGAATTTAAACTTTTGGAATTCTATTAATTAAAAATTATTTGATAAATATCTTAAAATTATCATTTTGATAAGGTTGAAAAATCTCTCCTAAAGGATCATTTTTTTCTCGATGGATTTTTTTCAGAATGTCTTTTTTTGTCCGTTTTTCTTTCATTAAAATTGTATGTAAATTAAAAAATGAATTTTTAAATTCTGAATTTTTAAAATCTGATGTGATGATTTTTTACGAATAATTAATTTTAGTACTTTCAATTCAAATTGCGGAATGTCACGTCGCCGAATGGGACTGTAACGTATTATCAAGAGTTATTCGAAGGATGGTTTTCAACAACGAGTGGATTATCGTGTATTTTGGGATCAATTTTTAATTTTATATTTACAAATCGGTATGCTTTTCTCTTTAATTTTGTTTTTATTTACTTTTAAAGGGAAATCAAGCGGAGAGTAGCACCATTTGCTCGTGTTAGGACTACTCTCTCAAATAAGATTGAGATTTATAAATGGTGATGGTTGTAATTTATTTCTTCTTCCAATTCATATTCATAGTTCATACATTTGCTGTTTTAGCTGGATGCGATAGCGAATGGTGTAAGTTATGTCCAAGCGCGGCAGTCGGATTCTATGATTAGAGTTGTACAAATAGTTATATAAACATTAATTTTCCCCCTTTTCCCCTTTCCTAAGCTTTAAGTACATGGGTCGCCTCTATTTTCAAAATTTTCTCTGATCGCGATTTCAATTCAGACCTTCATTGGTACCTCTCGCTTTTGGCGCTGCTCATTACAGGCATTTAGCGAGAAATGAGATTCTGTCCAGTACATAAAATGGACTAGGTAACAATGGTCAAGAATTTCTCCCTTTCTTTTTCTCTCCTCCATTTACAGTTTTTCGCAATAACAGGATTATGAAAGATATATATATGAATTTTCGTTTTGAGGCCAATTCTGTGGTTTGCCAATCGAGAAGATATGAATTTGAATCCAAGATATAGGTATGAATGTGAATCTAAGACATAATATAACATTTCTTGAACCGTTGATGAATTTAGTGGAATTACATTTTTATCGACATTTGATTTTGTTAAATGAGTTTTATTTTATTTATTATATATGGAGGAAGAAGATCGTCTATCAAGCTTCGGTTATAGTATATAGTATATTTTCCGATAAGGTTAGATGCTATCTTCGTAACCAAGACCATATTGTTCCAGCATCATCCTATCTTGCCGCAGTCGTTGTGAATTTGTATAACTATCATATTGTGACAGTCGCTTTGACAGCGTCTGTGAATTGGTCATTGCATTGGTGATTCGCTTTCTTTTCCTTCGAGTTTTATAGAGGTGATTTAGCTGAGTTCTGGAGCCACTACTTCGACATGGACCAGTATTTAGACTCTTCCAAAGGTGTCGCCGATATAAAAGTTTTACTTCTTTATTTCCTTTTTTATTTCAGCTTGAAAAGTACCTACTGAATCTTCCACTTTGAGTTTGTCGAAATCTTTCCTCATTATATTTCATTTTGCTTTATTTTTATTTTTTATCTGTTGCAGATTGAGCAATTCTTTTCGGATAATTTCTGGACATATTTTAATTATATTATCACTTATCCCTACAATTATACAAACATTCATCGATACCGACAATGGTTTCGATTTTAATTTATTTTTTGCTATTTATGATGAAATATATATATATATATATATATTTTCGACTTTTGTTTAAATTTTTTCTTTATTCTAGCGCAAGGCTTATTTTTTTGGTCGTCAATGCTATTCTCATCTTTGGCGAGTTTTGCTGCAGTAGGTTTGGTTCTGTGTGGAATGTTTAGTTTCGTTGCACAATTTCCACCAAAATATGTAAATATTTTCATGATTAAATTTTAGTGCCTACATAAATGAATAAAATATTGTTTTTAAGCATACGGCCGAATGGTAGATAATGGTAGTAAGGTTTTCTATTTTTTGATGGGAGAATAAAGTTTTTAAGTGAAATCAGTAGAACAAATGCACGACACGATTGAGTTAGAGTTTCTCTTTGAATAGGCTTCATAGACCATATAGCATATAGTCGACATGACTGACATGACGGAATCTTATGGTTTGATTTTTCTAAATTATTACTTTAGCAATTAAATTGTTTATTTTCAGATGCGAACTTTTATTTCTGGTCAATCACTTTCTTGTATTCTTAGTGCGATATTGAGCATTTTTTGTCAAGCTTTTACTTCCAATAATATCAATGATGGGCGTTTATTTTTTTTTATTACTATTATATGGGCGATTATTAGTATTTGTCTTTTTTGCTATCTCGCTAATTCAAAAGAATTGAAAACGTTTATTCTAAAAGATTCCGATGATACAAATCGAATTGCTTCCATTGATTCTCAGGGTAATTTTGCATTTTTTAAAACCAATTTTTATTCATTTTTAATTTATTCAAATCGCACTTTGTATTCAAATTTTTTAAAGAAATTTTTTTGGTGATCGGTTGTTTTAAAATGAATTCGAGTAGAGTAGATTTATCAAGTTTTTCCTTAAACAATTATAATATGCATATCCTAAATTCATCGAAATGTCAACTACAAGAGCAGTGTTTTCCATTATTGAAGACGAAAAGATTTGGAACATTTTTTCTTTATCGAGATCACTGCATTAAATGCGGAAAGAAAAAATTCTTGGTTCGTGAAATTAAAGCGTCAGATGATGGCACATTGGAATTAAATCGAGACAATTTGTTGAAATTAATTGAGAAGAATGAACAGCGATTTATTAACATCGAAAGACAATCTGCTACGAAGAAAACATCAGTCTATATAAAGCAGAAAGAGAATTTAACAAATGGGACTCGGTTGATTGAGATGGTGGTACCAAGCATCATTTCAGTAGAAAATTTAGCCAATATAGAATTTATGCTATGCTTTAATATTATGTCGAGAAAAGGGATGTCACAGAACACCGTTAAACAAATTACAATGAAGGCTAAATATCCAATTTTACGATAGGCAAAATTCATGTCACTCCTCAAATTTTTTTCTTACTATGGTTCATAACCTTATCTTCCCATAGCAGTAATCACTAATAGATAAAATAAAATTTTATTTCTTTCCTAAATTGCAATTATATTCATAACAAACTACATTCTCTATCATTTCTTTCTTTTTTCAATAGCTTGCAATATTGCTCGTTAGGCTGACTTAGAATAAGGCAAATACATTTCCTTCAAAGTTCTCTGGAAGAAACGGAAATTATTCTTATTTGTTCACTATCTATATTTGCTAAAACGATTATCAAATTATCTTATAAGAAATTTTTAATTTTACAAAGTATTTTTCAATAATATTGTATTATTTTTTGATAATAAAATATTGTTTCTTTTGATTTGATTTGCACTGTATTTGCGCATTTTTCTTTCTTATTTAGCAACAATCTTTGTTTGCTTTCTCCATTTAATCTATTTTATGTTTATTTTAAACTGCTTGGTTAGAGAAACTTTTTAAAGCTGATTTTCAGATGGAGAATCTGATCAAGTCAATCTGATTGGTTATGAACCTGATGGCGATGATTTTTCTCGTAACGTTTTATCCATCTGCAGCGACGTAAGTTGGGATTTAAATCGTTTTGCTTATAAAATTATGAGCTCACTGCTTAATGAATTTTCGAAATTTATGAAAATTCTTTTCTAGGTCAAATATGAATTAATTTCTATATCACTCATTTTTTTCGTAACCTGTATTGTTTTTCCAAGTATTACTTCATTGGCGCGATCGTATTCAAGAAACGGTATATGGAAAGGTCAGTTCTGCAAAGATGAATTTAGCCTTTTTCGTCACGCTTCACCTTTATATTGTAGGACTTGATTTGGTGAATTCTTTAAGAATTCATATCTTGGTCAGAAATTGAAAAAAAAAAGTTGGAATATAAATTAAATTTATTTTTTCCATTTATTGATTTTCACAGATTACTTTACAAGTATCAGTTTCTTGTTGTTCAACTGTTCGGATGCTATTGGTCGATTGCTTTCTTCTGCAGTTAATTTAGTGAGTTTACTAAACCATTAATTAAAATTTTTATTTTTTCATGTTTTTCTATTTATTGATAATTGCTGTTTCAGAATGCTAAAACATTAATAGTTGTATCGACATTGCGATTAATTTTTGTTCCATTAATTTGCTTTTGTAATGTTCAACCGAGATATCATTCGACGACGATTTTCAATAGTGATCTTCTTTATATTTCTTTCATTATTTCATTTTCGTTTACAAACGGATTATTTCTTTCATCTGCAATCGTTTCGGCCACAATGTAAGTTATTTCTTTTTTTTATTATCACTCCACCATCTTTGGTCTGAAGAGAAGCATTAATAACATCAGTCGGACAATTTCTTCAGGAATAAAGAACTAGAATTAGGACATTTTCTAAAATTATTGCTATGAAACAGGTTTTATTTACTTGGGTTTACTGAGACTTCCGCTTCAAGAAAAACAAAATTTTCAATTTTAATTAATCGTATTCAGGCCAGGTAGCTTCAAGCTTCTTGCTTTCAATAAAGATTTAACTTAAAAAAGAAGTAATTTGAAAAAGTTTAGGAGAATGCATGCACGATACCGGGATATTTTGGGTGGCTTAATAGGTCTGATCGGAAATGTTTCGATTTTTTCTGGTTCGATCCTGGCTATCCTTATAATTTATTTAATATGATTATCATTGTTTCTACTTACTTTCACTTTGTTGTATATGCCCGGGAAAAAAAATTTATCTATAGTTCTTTGCAATGAATTGAGGCTTTTGGTTATCGTTCAAAATTTATTTTCGTGTTTTGTAAAAATTCTTTATCAAATTGAATCAAATGTTATTTTCCATATACTTTGTATAAAATATATTTTAAATTGTTATTTCATATACCTTATTTTGTCTTACTGAGTAAAACTAGATGTTTAAGCGTTTTTTGACTGATATAAAATTAATATAAGTTTTAAGTGGGCTTTAAGCAATATAAGAGGTGACAATGAAAGATGCACCGGAAAAAACATTGTTATTTTCTATTCATGTTTAATTCCAATTATCAAGCTTCTTGAAAATTCCCATCAACAGAATTAAATATTTAAAAATATTTAATATTTTTACGGTAATAGAATAGTCCATGCAAGTATATAGACTCACATGACTCACGTAAAATTTAAAATTTGCTGCTGCTTAAAGCTGCTTAAAATTTTGAATACCTTTAATTTATGATAATTAATTAAACAATAAGAGTTTGGCGGAAAATTTTAAATAAAAAAGATGACCACTGATAATCACCGAAATAATAACTGCACTTTGCATATTACTAAATGTCTGCAGTGATTGGAAATGAAGAAAATGCAAAGCAAACTCTAACCGATTTTGAAAAAGTTGAAAGAAATTTCATCAAAAATCTCTATAGTTTTTTTGTAAAATAAAATAAAAATAATATAAATTTTAAAGTTTTTATAAAGTGAATTAAAGAAATTTCGTTTAACAAATTTCAAATTTTTGGTTTCAAATTTTTGCAGTTCGAAACAGAATAGCTTTGGATTGTAATAACTCATGCAAACTGTAAAATTATTGACAAAAAATAGCAGTAAGGTAGTTAGTTTGATAAATTAATTGCAATCATGTAAAAAAATGTAATTTAAAATTTTAAAATATTTAGATGTAACTTAAAAATTAAGAATTTAATTATTAATTTAATTTGAAAAATTAGTTAATAAAAATTTGAAAAATATTTCATGGCTTCCACAATTTTAGCAAACTGTCCTCGGCATATGAAGCGATTAAATTTTGATGCGGGTGTTGGCATAAACCATTGACTCGCTCAGCATGTACCTAAGACATAACAAACCATGAACAACAAAAAAAACTCGATAAAATAAAATATATTCAATGAAACTAAATTTTTTAATTTAAACGAACCGGTAGTGTACTTTCAAGATTGCTGGATGTCAATGAAAAACAATACATAACATTATCTTCAGCAATGCAATTAATCCATTCTCCACGTGGTGAAAGAATACAAGCCACGAAATTTCCATTCTCACGCTTTCCAGAAGTCAACGTTTTCACAATCTAAAAGAAAATGAAACAGATGAGATAAAGATAAGAAACTATGGTGCAATGGCACCTTAACATTGCCTCTTTTATTATTTATTCAATTATCACCGCTTCGCATCAAACCCTGATTGATAAAAAAGGAGATGACTAACTTTAATTATTTGCAATATTGAATTTTAAACAATTTAAATAATTTATCTGACCACGCTATATGCATTAAAAGGCTGACCTGCCCACGGATATTTATTACAGCCACCGTATTTGAACGATTACAAACTACAATTTGATTTTCTGACTTCGGAATTGGATGGACACTATTAACAGCGATATCGCCTGCGATGCGAACAGTATTAACGCATTCACAAGTTTTCGTATTCCAAACTCGAACAGTTCCATCACTGGAAGCTGATATAACCATATGACCATCCTTTAAAAATTTTTATAACTATAAATTCGATAAAGAATTCATTCTTGGAAGTCGTTTTATAAAATGCGTTTTTTCAGATCGAATGAGGACAAAAAACAAAATGTAAAACTGTATATATATGATTTGAATATCTGACACAAATTTTTCCAAGAGTTATCATATATTACAATACTAACTTCGGTATATCTGGCATCATTAACATAATTCGTATGACCTCTGAATTCTTTTAAGCATTTGCCACTCTTCAAACCGTGCACTCTTAATTCATAATATATTTTTTAAAATAAATATTAAGACAAAAATATTAAGCATAATTTTTTCATCACTTTTTTCATATAAATATCAAATCAAAATTGGTTATAAAATGATTAAAACATTTCTAAAACTAAAAGCTGAGATAAGTAAATCTATGTATGTCTATATGAATTAAGCAGTTCATTTAATCAACATTCTAAATTTTTATCAAAATTTAGTGAAAAATTGAGTACTTTATAGTGCAATCAAGCGAACTAGATAGGATATGTGCGTTATCTCTCGAAAATTGAATCGAAGTAATTCCCATAGAATGTGCTTTCTCGATTCTCCTTAAGCACTGCCCAGTTTGTATTTTCCAAATCTACAAACATTAATATTTAATAAATAAAAATTAATATTAAAAATATTACATTAATAAAAATATTTCAATTCTTATAAAAAAGGAAAAAATAGAATCATGACATACCTTTAGTTTACCACTCATATTTCCAGAGGCCAACATTTCTGAATCACGACTAAAGCATAATGAAGAAACTGAACCATCCATCATCATAAAATTATCTTGAGCTTGATACTTTAAATCTTTTCGAAGTTTGCCGTTCATATAATTCCAAACCTAAAATAGCAGGCAATTAAAACTGTACAAAGCCAATAAAGTAATACGATCGCGTAATCAGCACTTTGAAAATAAAACCTCGATGAAGCCATCTATAGAACCCGTGACTAAGTACTGACCATCAGGCGAAAACTGAGCACAGTGAGGATAACTAGACTTGCCAAATTTAATCATGCGAGCCATTTGAGTAGGATATCGTTCTTCTTCTTGCTCTCGTATTGCAGCCTTACCACGAAACAAATCAATTTGAGTGCCTTAAGAAACAAATTTCACAATTTAAAACAAAGAAATGAATTAGACTAAATGTAACTTTTAAAGATAAAAATGAAAAAAAATGTTGGTAAAATGCTAGAAAAAGGGGAAAAAAATTAAAAATTAGATCCAAATTTAACAAATGTCATCATAACTGATTTAAGAAAATTCGATTCATTCAAATGTAAAATATGACCAGGAGGTAACAGTCCCTGGTGCTGTTGCCATTTTAAAGCATGAGCCAAAAGAGCAAGCAATCTTGACGGCGGTACAACATTTACTTCAGCGGACAATGACTAAAAACATAGAAGATAATTCAAATTGTATTTTATGAGCAAATTCTCCAAAAAAGATTTGAGAAATGGAAAAAAAACATCCACATCACCTGTGCAATAGCAGCTCGTCGCTTCTCTTTGGAGCTACCTTCAGGATATACTTCACGTGGATCAAAATATGAACGTGCAAGCAGATTATCTAGTCTCGCATATCTATACATTTGCAATTTATGAGAATTTTACAGCTAAATTCTCATTTCATTCTGATCATGCTTTAATTGTCAAACTATCAATTATCAATCTTCCCAAATGTATCGAAAAAAATTCCTTTCAAAATTAAAAAACTGATGAAAAAGAAATAGAGAAGAAACAACCTTTCGGGTTCTGTACTTTTCAATAATTGCATAGGATCGGTTTGACGCAATAAAAGACGAGCTGAACCAAGCTCACGAAGTTCAGTTAACTCGATCACAATCTAGAATTCGACGAATTATAAGAATATTTAAAATAAAAAGAATAAGAATATAGAGGGAAAAAAGATCTTGGCATATTCGAAAAGAATGCAAAAAATATTTCATTATGAATTCATTTAAAAAAAAAACAAATATTTATTCCGAAAGAATGCACATAATAAAAAACCTCAATTCAGAACAAACAAAAACCAGACTATTATTTATAAAAAATAAATTTTTTCTTTAATTATTGACTTAAATTGGCATATTCATAAAGAATAAGTTAAAGTCAACTTCTGAATAATTGCAAAACCTTAAAATCTGATTAGTCGGATTTTTTGGACTAAAAAAAAGGAAAACTTGTTCATAGAGATCGATCAATTTTTTCGCAGGCAGTTTCAAAGGCTGGATCACTTTAAGAACAGTATCCCAATGGCCATTCTGAATATCACTTACAAATGAATCAATACTGTCAACTGTATTCAACGTAATATTTGTTTCCTCCTATAAAACACGGATTTTTACCAAAAAACGATACAATCTATTATTTAAAATTTTAAGCCGCAAGCTTAAAATGAATAAAAGATTACGAAAAACCTGTAATACAGCCAAAGTTCGCATTAGATTGTTCTCTTTAAGATACTGCTCGACTAATCTAACAACGCTGAAAATCCAAAGTGGATATAGCACTTTCATCCCAAAAAATCTATTTTAAACAATTTATTAGAATTAAATTTAAATTAATTAAGTTTAAATTTAATAAATCTAATAAAAAATAGACGAAAAGACGAAACTTCCCATCGTCTTAACGAATTACAACTTACTCGGAAGCTTCAATTTCGATCGAAGTCATCTCTCATCAATTCGAATTTTTCAGGTAAAAATGGCGAGATCCAAAATGCTGAAAAAATACATTAAAAAAACTTATTAACTACGAAATATTGACTACGAAAAATTATGGCAAAAATCTGCATAACTTGTAATCAATTCTCAAGTAAAAATAAAAATTAAAATGCGCCAGTACAGTTTTATTTCATCAAAAATTTAAAACACAATCTTTTCTCAATGTAGCATCAATTCATTTTTAAATGGAAAATTAATAAGCAGAATTTTAAATTAATGAGCAGAATTATTTTTGAAATAATATGGCACCATAAAAAGCTATTCGAAAAAAAATGAACATGAACATGAATTAATATTTATTCAAAATAACAACACTTTACAATAAGATGATATTAAAATTATATCAGTATCAATTATATCAATAAACTTTTATTTAAATGAAATAATTTAAATGAAAAAGGAATAAATAAATATATTAGAATATTAGAATATAGAATAAATATATTAGAATAATAATGAAAATTTGAAAAGTTTAGAAATCAGAATTCGTTTATCGTAAAAAGTAAAGAAAATTAGTAAAAGGCCAAATGAAACCCAAGATCATGAATAAATTAAAATAACAAATATATTTAAATGAAAATAACAAAGAAAGAACGAAAAATCCCATTCCAAAAACAATTTATTTGCGAAAAGACTAATCTCTGAAAACATCGCTGAAAATTCAAAACCGGAGAAAGTTCTTAAAAATTCCATCTTGGAAAATAAACTCAGAAAGGCCTGCAGTTTTATTTCTTTCAAAATCAGCCATTTCTGGAAAAAAATGATTATTATAAATAATAATGAGATAGAAAAAACAGCTGAATATAGGCAAAAAATGTATTGAAACAACAGCTAACAAAAAATCGAACAAATTAAAAAATAAAATATACCTGAACTACTGCATGATATGATATTGTGTCTCTGCAGAATTAGAAGTTTGATAGCTAGAAGCAGATGGAATTGGAAGGGGAGGAAGTTGTGAAATACCAAGTGAACTTAGTGGAGGCATAGGAAATTGAACAGGATAAGAGTTCTGAGCTGTGGCTGGAGTGATGAAATTAGAATTTGGCATAACTACTTGAGAATTCGAAGTTGAGCTCGAACTACACTGAGACTGCGTTGAATTTTTAATAAACGTTTCCGAAAACATAGGTGGAACAACACTAGGCAAAGATTGTAACGGCATAGAAGGTACTTGTGGCACTAAAAATCAGAAACGCAAGTAAAAAAATTTCCAATAAACTTTTCATTTTTCCTTATAAACCATCCAAAGAAAAAATAAATTTATGAAATATGAAACAGTAACAATGAAAATAATAAATCATAAGAATATCCAAAGTAAAATAACTATCGTACCGCTATAAGATGAGGGCTGATACGCCCCTAAAGAAGACTGAGATGGTGCCGATGAAAACGACATTGCAGATGGTTGGGGTTGTGACAACTGTGGAGGCTGAGGTGGAATGAAATAATTGGTATCTCGCTGTTGATAATTCATTGGATCATAATGTAAATGCGAATTTATCTAAGATTTGAAAATTTTTTTAAAATGGAATATAAGATAAGCAGAAAAGCACAAACAATCACATATTAGAAAATATTAAATATTTAGAAAATGCAATCGACTAAACCATTCAAAATAAAAAAATTTAGACAATACATCTGTATTTGTTGACGATGGAGATTGAACCATGGCTGTGGGCTGTGGTGCAAAGGAAGATTGCGTTGTGAAACCAGTAGAGAAAGGCGCAACTGAAGTAACTGGAGGAATAGGAACAGGAGTCTGCGCTCTGACAATAGGCTGCTAAATGAAATAATTAGAAGAAAATAAAGAACAGACTAGGAGAGAAAAAATATCAAAACTTTCATTTAATACTAAAACATGATTTCTGCATTTATAGCATATATAATTATAATTTAGAAAAAATGATGGCTGAAAAAATTCTGATCTTCGAAAATGAATTCTTTAACTTTACAAGATATCGAACCTGTTGAACATTCTCAGAATAAGTTGGTTGCTGCGGTAGAACTGTATTTATTCCTTTTGGCTATAATATTAATATTAATGATATCAATAATGGAAGACAATGAATATTCATATATTTCAAAATATATATTTATATATACATTTTTTTCAGTTAATTTGAAAATAAATAATGAAGTATAAATAATTATAAATAAGATAAAAAATGTTGTAAAAAAACATGAAAAATAGAAGGCCTAATATTACACAAAAAAATCATTTAAATTAAATGTCGAAAAATACTCGAGAATAAAATCAAAGAGAAAATAGTTACCAATTGAGGTGCGGGGAACGTTCGAGGATCAGGAAAAACAGGTACTGTCTTTATAAAATCAATTTGAGGAATTCCAGTATTACCTAAAATCCTTAGAAAAATTAATATTTTTCAACTGAATCACCTAATTATAATATACAAGAACAAAGCGGCTGACAACCGATGGAGAAAAAACACATTTTTGGGAATGTGAAAATACCAACTATGAGAAAAAAACTATGATATGAGAAAAAAAATAAATTCAGCACATCACAACTGTAATTACAACAAATAAACCAAAAAAGCAACTTGAAAAATAGTCGAAAGAATGAAAAAATTTCCGGATTTATGGAAATTAAAATTTAAAAATTTTAATTTTAAAATTTTGGTGAAAATTTTTTTCATGATTGCCAGTTATTCCAAAGCACCTATAAATCTACGACAAATATCTGCTAACAAATATACATAAACTATAACAATTTCGGATGTGGAGGATAATTCGCAATTTCATTTCTTTACATCAAACTCATCAAAAAAATTCCTGAGTCTGGTCCAATTTATTTATTTCAGTTATTTCAAAAGTCGATATTTTGACCTTAAATACATCACTGTAGTTTCTAATAATAAACTAATTTGAAAGAACTGATAAAACCAAAAAATAAACCTGGTTGAGGAATTGGGATACATTCAGAGCGATTTTCTGCAGATGGTATTTGTTGCACAGTCTTTGTTGGTGCAAAGGAGGGAATGCGATGTAAATAACCTACGCCTATATCGCACCCAAGAGAACCTTCACCACCCCATGCTGAATTTGGAGTTAGAGTTACCTGAAAGATTTAAAAAATTCATTTTTCTCGATTCATGAAGAAGAACATAGTATAAAAAACTTAAAATTCATGAGAAAAAATTTAACAACGAAATGTGATTTACAAAAAAAATTCTAAATCAAAAAATATAGGAAATCAAAAAAAAATATTTTCATATGAAATGTGGAAAAAATTATATATTTAGAGAAATAATTTTAAAAAATAAAAATTAATAGATTGGAAAAAGTACTACTTTTCGAAATAAATACGATACGAATAAATTATAGAAAAAATGATAAAAACCTCTCTGACTGCATCTGTTTCAGTACTATAAACGTATAACTTGATTGGTCTTCCTTCATTTGCTTGAACATATGCTTGAAGATCATCGCCCTGCACCAGCGGAAAAAAAGTTGTTTTTATAAATCAGATTTACAATTTGTTTTTATAAATCAGATTTATCAGATCTAGAAAAAATATTATGCGAGATTTTCATATACCTGATTAATAACTGCTTCTGCACCAAGAATATAATCAGTATCTTCAACTAAACCAGCTATAGCTGCTGGTGAATTTGGTTTTACTCCAAGAACATGCCAGACACTATCACGAGTGCCAAGGATGGAACAAAAACGAATAGAAATACCCAACAATCCTTGGCCACCCCACATTTGCGAAGGAGTGATTTGTGTTTGCCGAACAGTCCTCGTTTTACTAAAATAATAAATACATTAATTTATGACAAGATCACTTATAGCCTCTATATGTTTTAATGCAACAAACGCCTTATTAGCCTTTATATTTTTTAATGCAACAAGCGAATTTTATTAAACGAATTTTAAAACGAATTAAAAAACGACCTGCTATAAACAGTAAGTTCCAAAGGTCGCTCAACGTGTTGACTTAAAATTTCTTTTAAGACTTCATTGTCTGTATCCTGAAAATATTGACAAAAATTTATTTCAAATACAACAAAAGTTTTCACAAATGAAGAAAATTCAATGCTAGCAAAAAATTAAAATTTAAAATTTAAATAAAAAAAATTAAAAAGGAAAACTTTTCTTATCGTTTAATTCTTCTGTAATTGGTAAATTTACTTTTGAATATGTCCACGTATTATTAATATTAAGCTTTATAAATTTCGAATAATTCTTTATAGACATAAGACAATTTTCGAAAATAAATAATTCAAGGATACAGCAAAAATACTTACCAGCCTAGTATTTCCAACAGAAATAATATAATCGAAAAAAGGTTCTAATCCAGCTGCTTCCCCCGGTGAATTTTCTTGTACCTTAAATTAATTCAATCAATTAATTCAATTAAGGAAGTACCACGACAATACAATACAGAATTGATTATAATTAAATTTAAGACGATATAAAAGAAAAATAAAAGTTTTCTGAAATAACAATAGATAATATATAGATAGGAAATGTGAACTATAACTCAATGAATGTCATTATAACCACAGTGAATGCCAAAAATTATCGCCACAACAAAAGAGTAAGCATTTGTTCACCAACTGAATTCACTGGAGTGGCCAAAAACAACTAGCAGCCATTTCTTAAACAAGCTATACTTTTAACCATCAAATATGTGAATTGAATTAGGCAAATCCCAAGTGAATTGTAACTTTTATGAAAGATCTGTAAGTTATAAAAGATGACGAATTAAAAATACCTCTTTACCCATCTCGTTTGGAAAAACTTAAGTGGAAAAGGAACGAAACGATTACCACCATTAATAATAAGAATTAATAATAATAATTAATGATATATTAATGATAAATATTAATAATAATCAATAGTTAATAATAATATTAATATTGGTAAGAACAATTATAAATTAATATAATAATGATAAAGAATAATTACATGAGGAATTTATATTCAATTTATATTTATATTTATTCAATTATATATTAAGATGACAGAATGGCTCAGTGGGTTGCTGCTTAATTTGCAGCGCCAATACTGAGGTTCTATTCCCGCAGGAGTAAACTTGTCCAAAAACCCGACTAATGCTGGCGACTCACCTGTATTTCTATCGCCAAGGGACTTCATGGCAGATTTGTCCAATATGATAAGCCAGCGGAGCGAGTTTAACCACTAATGGTGAGGACTCGTGAAAAAATATCAAGAAAACACACAAATTATCCATTGTTCTAACAAATTTAGACAACAGAAAAAAATAATTAAATAGGCAGAGAAAAAAAAACAAACGCGTAAGACGTGGTATCCTTGATGACCACCGCCAGGAATATCGACATCCAAGACGTTTCCCATCTCTATTTTCCCTTCCTCTTTATAATACTGAAACAATTATTTCCATTACTACTAAAGTTTATTCGGGCGAAATGAATATGAATAACATTTTATATTACAATATTCGAGCAACACAAATGCACTCTCAAATTAGAACTGAAGTGGGCGAAGACTGAGTTTAGCTGAGTGGTAACGGATGTATCGTCGAGAAGTCATTCTCGCTGAACATTCACGTAAGGACTTAATGAAGCCAAGATTAATCCACGTGTCTGCGCAATCCCTATTTCCAGTAATTGAAAAAAAATTTTTTCAAATGTAAGTTTCACAAGTTTCAATGTTCAATATCAGCTCGCAAAAAATTTCAACGAAGAAATTTTTCTAATCGCTTAATTCCTTTCTGTACAATTTTGCACTGGCAGATTTTCGAATAAATTTTTCTCCGAGAATATTTGAAAATAAAGCCCTCACCCCTCCTCTTCTACCACCCCCTTTATCCATCTCTCTCCAAATCCCTTCAAATTTTACCCAATAAAGCAATTTAAAATAAAAATAAAAGCTACACGCAAATCCTACCGGTTTATTACATTCGTTTCAAGACCTAATCTTTGAAAGAGTTTTTTACTGAAGCGATGGACCTTCACTTCAGAATAAATGCACAGTGCTCGTAGCTATCCGATCTTTCTTGACTAAATAAAACTAATGGGGAGGTTGAGATTTCGTACTTTGGTGTGCAGCCATATATTAACTGCCTTACCCACTAAATATCTTCTTAGTATGTCTCCCACCCCACCCTCCCCCTCTCCCCATTACCAATTTAACTTAAAACCATCTTTTAGAACCTTTCTTGAAGCCTCTTGTATGTATGCCTGTCGGAACCTCTTAATACTTTGTCAAACATAATTATACTCTTGTGTCGGATTATAACCCTTATTATAACCCTTATACATATTATAACCCTTCTTGCCAATTTTTTGTATTTTCAAATTTCCAGAAACCTCGAAATCCTCTTAATCCTTCTTAATTTCCGTCCCGTGATCTCTTAGTAATATTAGCGTATTCGTTTCTTAAACTCCTTTGGTCTATGTCAGATCCCGCGGCGTTGCCTAATTTACCGTTTAATCATATCCTATTATATCCATTTGTTACAACTCATTAATTTTCCTTAAAAACTGAAATCTGATATGCCTGGAAAATCTCAATACGATGTGTTGAAATGTGTCACTTTATGAAAAATCTCCATGAAACCGGTTAAATGTACCATTTTCTGTTCATACAGTTTTTCTTTGATACAATAATTTTATCGAAAATATTATAAAGGATTTAAATATTCTGCTAAAAAAAAATTTCAGTTGATGAGGTGGGAAAAATGAAGAATGATAACGATAAAATAAATGGTGACAAAAACGATCATATTCGGTATGCTAAGTAATCTTCTTTCACAAAATTTTCTCATAATTAAGCTTTAAAGGAAGGATTTTTGCTGCTATTTAAAATGAAATAATGAAATAATGAAATGATATTCATTACTTAAAAAACTGAATTTTTTAAAATGCTGTTTTAGATATTACTTGTTAAATGGTTGTTAATAATCATTTCTGGTTACTTAATTCACTGGTTATTATTACTTTTAATATTTTTTTTTACGAATTACTTGCCAGTTTTTAACTGCAATACTTCTAAAAATGAAATGATAATCCAAATAAGTAAATGATAAATGAAATGAAATGATAATCCAAGCAATGATTTCCGAATGATGCTGGCGACTCACCTATATTGCTATCGTCAAGGGACTCCCTGGCACATTGCCCAATTGCGACAAGCCAGTGGAGCGAGTTTTAACCAAGCAATGGTGAGGACTCTTAAAAAAAAATCCAAGCAGTGAACCACATAATACTTTGGTCTAATAAATGCAGAAATATGTGGAAAAATGATCAGCATAAAGCAACGCAGAGCAAAGACATCCATTTATCAGGGTCCGATAACGAGAATTTCAGCTTTAATTCGGTAAATAGGTTGCAAAAATAAATTGATTTAAGGACAAAAAGGCGACTTATGAGAAAAAGAAAAAAATCGAGAAATTTACTTAATTGTTGGTTGCGTGGATTTTCAAGTTATCAGTTAATGATAACAGTTAGTTTAGTTATTCTATTTATTGTTCGTTTAAATCACTGAATTACTGAGCTGCTTCGGAGACCTAAAAAGAATACATAAATAGAAAAAAAATGTATATAAATATACTTAAATAAAACAAAAAGTTTAGGCAAAAAATACCTCTTTAAAACATCGCGAAAGAATCTTCATAACCTCACCATGTTTCTTACCAGCTTTTCTTTCAGATGCATAATGCATTTTCACAAAATTAGCGAATTTATTGTTTCTAGATTGTGTTAAATCTACTCTTACATTGTTTAATTGAAGGACAAAACGACCACTGCAAATTCCGCAAATTTTACGAGTTGTGTCCAAAGATTTTGAATGGCGTACAATGCTGTAATAAAATTTACAGAATTTTTCATGACCTTCTTTTAACAGCATCCACCATTGCTGGCTTGTCGGATCAGATAAATTTTACCAGGAAGTCACTTGGTGACAAAAGTACGAATTGCTGGTAGCACATGGATTTTTAAAGGACAGGTTTACCGCCGCTAAGCGTTCAACCATTCAAACTGAGCAAGAGCCCACCAAGCCATACTGCCCCCTTTTGCTTTCATTTTCCTCCAGACGAAGTGTGGTGTGTCGCAGGATTCGAACTACAGGATCGATTTTTGCCTTGCCACTAAACTACCGACGCATCTTATAGTATTTTATCGTAATTTAGTTAATTAAGAAAAAAAACAAGAATTTCAAAGCAGTGAGAAAAAAATTAAACTAACGTTTGTTTACATGTTGAACAAACATAATGATATTTAGCTTGAATTTCATAATTATGGCATCTCTCTATCTTTGGTAAAGCTGGGAATTTATTCTCGCACTGTTTTACCCTAAATTAATTTAATTTATAAAAACAAAAATAAAATAAACTGCACCATTCTACTGCACTTCTTTCGATAGAAAAAAGTCTAACAAATAATTTCGATCAAATTATTTGTTGAAACAAAAGACGGGAAACAAAACCAGTGCAGCCATGCTGGACCATGACCCGTTGTCGAACAGCAATCTATCACCCAAACTGCAGCATGACATAATTCATGCAAGAGAGTATCACGAACACGATCTATAACAGTAAATTAACAAAAAAATGATGGTTTCCAAAAGATCCGTCACAAAACGTAATATTATGCTGATTATTAATTTAAAAAACCTGCTGAATTGCAAACTTTTGAAGATAATTCTATTGTTGCACGGTTATTTTGTAATCTGACACAGTGACCAGCAGTCTTCGTCATTCTAACGTTCCATTTCACATTTATTTTGGATTCCAACTATATAATAAATAAATTATGGTAAAAATAAAAGTGCTTAATTACTTAATTTATTGAATTCAAACATTTTAAGCTAGAAAATTCTTATAAGAACAAAAAAAACAAAAATAGTTATTTAAAAATGATAAATACCATCGACTGAAAACAAAATTTGTCGTATAAATGAAATAGTTTTTCAGTTAACTCGTCACGGACTGATGAGAATTTTTTAATAAGGAATTTTTCTGCTTCTTGACATTTTGGTCCATTTGGTGCCAACGCAAGCAAAAAATTTTCAGCTGAGGTATCGGCAGTCTAAAGAATTAAAATAAAATGCCCAATAATTTGGAAATCTTAAAAATAGAATATTATAACAATATTGCACTTTCATGAACTAATTCTTTTGAAAATTTGCAAAAAAATTACTGAACAAATCTTAATTTGTTTCAGTGATGGCACAGATGATTTTCCGCGAATTCTGATAAGTCCTTTCCTTGGCTTCTTTTCTAGAATAATCAAAGACTGAATGAAAATAAAACAAACAAAGTGGTAATAATTCCTGTGAATGAATTAATATACTTGGTTACATTTTATTAAATCTATTAGTTCTTCTAATATTAAAATAAAATCATTTTCTTAAAAAAAAGTAGACAAACTTGTATGAATATGATGCCAGCTTTGATTTTCATATTCATCCTCTAAATTAGAATGATTTTTATTGTATTTTAATGAAACGGTGTTATTCCTCGTGATGCACTCTTCTATTGAGCCATTTTCTTTATCTGATCCATCTTTAAATGAAATGAAACTGATTTCGTCATCGTTGACAATAAATCTGCATTGTTATTATGTTAAATAATTAAACGAATTCGAACAAATCTTAAATCTTTTTAAGTAAATATTAAAATGGACAAATAAATTTTTTTATCAGTACATTTGACTTTCAAAAAAATAGATTATTAGAGGGGAAAAGACCAGAAAAATGAAAACTTATTAATATCATCATCGCTCTCGGCAACTCGGCTAACTTTCGTCATCTGATCAACATTTGATAGTTTTTTGATATCTAAAAAGAACATGATAAAAAGACGATCAATGAAATACTTAGCCTCTTCTTTATAATATCAGCACATGATGTTTTGCTCTCTTTGGTTACTTAAAAAATAAATAAAATAATAAAAACAGTACAAATTGTGACCAGGCTGAACAAAAAGGAAATCATAAGGTAATACTGCTTAAATATTACTATCCCAGCATTCAGCTAGTGAAATACAGAGCTGGATTTCCAAAATTCATGGGAATAAAATTTTGTGGTTGCATCCAATTGCACATAAGGATAATGAAGACTGCGAACGGCAACAACATTAATTTCACTCTTTATAATCAAGCAATTTTTCTTTCTTCAAATCTTTTCTTCTTTGTTTATGCTAATACCTTCAGCAAACAGTGTTCAAGCCGGGAATACTGTCACACCACGATCACGTCGACTTAACCCACTTTAATTCTCCATTATTTACATAAAATTTAAATGTAAAAAGTGCTTATTTTTAAAGATCAAACTCGAAATAGGAAAGTGAAAAAAGAATTGAATGAAAAAAAGCCATAACATATCTAAATAGAAAAAAAAGAAGCCAAAACTTGCTAATATTATTTTTAATTAGTTCTTTCATCTAATAATACTCGAGAAAATATTTTAAAAAATAAGCTGCTCCATTTTTCATCGAATTTGTTTCAATTATCAATCCTTAATTATAATTATCAATTCAATATTTGCTAATACCAATAAAATAATCAGTAAATTATTAAAATATGATTTATAGATATTGTGCCTTGTTTAGTTTCTCAAACACGAAAATTTATAGATTACATTTTTCAAAGCTTTCGTCACTATCGCCGTTTTCTTTATCATCCACCGATGAATGTTGTTGTTTTTCATTTTTATCACTCCTAAAAATAGAACTAAAAATATAAAAAACTTCTTATGTTTGGTCAAATTATAATACAAAGGTGGACGTAATCATGTTATCAGATTTTAACAGCTCAGCAAACTTTATTTATCTTAGACACAAATGAACAAGAGTAGATAAATTCACTAAGTAAGGACCATTTCTATATATTTTTAAACGATTCTTTTGTGAAAATATTATCTGACTAACACCATTCTACTGGCCAACTAGAAATGCGTACAACTCGAAAACGCGAAATGCGAAGAAAACTGCACGAAGAAAAAAATAATTTTAAAAAAATGCCTTAAAAAAAGATTTAAAAAAGATAAGCTCCCGATGAGAATAATTACCTTGTAATATCTGTAACATTTTTTGAGTTATTTTGCAATTCTGGATAAAGCTCTGCCAAAACCTCAAGCATCCCCTCAGCTTTTCCATCATGCTTCATAATTCGAATCTAAACTTAAGCTTTCTTATCAACAAAATTGAAAGTGAAAATGAAGAAAAATGCCTACAATCAAAGTAAAAATGTGAATTATAAAAAAAGAGATGTAACAATATACGGTCCATTGTGCTGGAATTAGTTTACGGGGTCTCTATGAGTATATTTATTCTATTACTTTAGGAATTATGATTGATATTTATGACCCTATTCAAAATTCATTCATTGTTTCTTCTTTTTTTCGTGATTCATTTATTTTGAAAAAATTTCTCTTAAACACGACCACTCAACTTTTGCGAATTTTTCTGAATAAATAAAGTTCAAGCAAGGATAAAAATAATACGTTTTTCGAAGGTTCCTCTCTCGGCTTAACCTGCATTTGTGAATCGCCATCTTTTTCACAATCTCTGGGTCCAAAGCATGGTTCTAAATTAATTGAAAATAAGAGGAAAATCAAAAAAAAAGATGATAATCGATTTATATTATTTGTGAAAGACGCTTTTTTACAAATTACCTTGCTCGGAATTCTTAAAAAGAAAACTATCCTCTTCATAATCGGAATCTTTCACGAGAAAACTATCCTCAACATAAGTGCCAATACTGGATGAACGTTCTGGCTGCCATCGAGTATCATTTTTTTCGATTAAATTCAAATGTGAGAAAGTATCGCTTAGATCTCTGAAACAAAAGAACACACACCGTTTCTGGCTAGGCTTGCTTTACTGGCTTGTCGGGCCAGACGAATTTCGTCAGAGGGTCGCTGGTCGATAGAAGTAAAATACAGACGAGTCGACAGCATCACCGCTATTTTTAAATTAATGAAATATATAAAAGAAGTTCGAAAAAACGAAAACTGAATGTTTTCACGTTTTTTAGAATCGTTTTAAAAAGGAAAAGGAAAAGATAAACCATTTCCTTTGGCAAGTGCTGCTCGTTTAGTCGAAATGTATCGAATTTAATTATAACCCAAATTTTCTAATTAAAATTTATCAAAAATTTTCGAAAAATGGTAAATTTTTTCAGAAATTCCCACAAATATTATTCGTTTATTTACCTTTATTCATTTTAATAATTATTGAAAACAAATAAATGTAAATATTTTTGCTTTTAATTTTAATTCATTTTAACAAAATTGTAAAATAAAAAGCACAGTCAAATTTAAAATTAAATTTGTCAATAAATCAAAAAAAAAAAAGAAAACCTTGCTGAATTTGATGCATCGAAATTTCGCACCACATTTTTATAAACCAGAGAATTTTTTTTATTTTCATTTCCATCAAACAAATAACTTTCGTTGCCTGATAAAGCTGAAGAATTATCACTGACACTGGCATCATTATCATTATCACTGACGCCATTACAATCATCGCTATCACTGTTATCACCACCATCACTCGATTCGTCTAATACGACTCGTTTATACCGACTCATTTTTTAAATTTTCGTTGGACTGAAGAGAATTAATATTTATCAAAACATGCGTTCCTTTTTAAAGCAGCGCTGGTGCAAAGAAAAAGATTTACTATGCGAAAACGATTTTACGCGACAATGGCCGGTGGAGTTATCGAAAACGAAAATGCGAGTGACGTTAGGAGAAAGCGAAAGTATAGCCAAAATAGTGGAACTGCGACTCTTAAGCTAGAAAAGTGGCTTCAGCGGATCCCAGGAGCAACACCAGAGATCTACCAAGAAGATGCGCCGCTAGCCAGGACACTGCGCAGAGCACCAACCTCGCAGGCCCCGGCGGCACCATTCCCAACCACTTTGTGCGACCCCACGACCCACTTCAGCAAACACCCACCAACCCATTAACCCCTCAAGGAATTCCTATATCACCGACCCAATTATTCACGCACCCAAATGACGACAGCGTTGTCACCGCAAGCAGAAAATATTAAAATCGATTTCGCGCGCATTTTTAAATTCAAAATTCGGCGACAACCGTAATTGAGGGGAAAATAAATAAATAAACAAATAAGCGAAAAAATAAATAAATAAATACGAAAAATAAATAAAAAAATAGTGAAAATAATAAATAAACGATGAACAACGGAAAGCGTTAAAAATCGTGGAAATAATTTCAATAATTAAATATTTTAAAAACGATTTTCCATTTTCCTTTATTGAACTCTCTCGTTGTTTGCTAAATTTCTTTTTATTCCAATTTTTTATAAAAATTAAAAATATTTTTTGTTGGAATTCCGATTCCCTACGAAATTCAACTTAAACGACTCCTTTGTTTTTGCTTTTTTTTCCAATTTCTAAGCGCGAAAATCAAATTTGCTTATTTGATTTGGTAATTTCTAAATTTTTTAATTCATTTTTTAAATGAAAAATAGAATTATTTTCCTCAAATGCTGAAAAAAGTTCGATCGATTTAGTGGATTCAAAAGCAATTCGCAAATTTCTATTTTTAAAAATTATTTTACAAACATTAAATTCGAATTCAAAAAAACCATTTCTAAATGAAATATTTTTAAATATTTTCTATAATAAATCGAAAGGTCATAAAATCGAAATTTTGGCGATCTATACTGAAATTTTCATCACAAATTATCGTCTTTTTTATGGCGATAATTTGAAAATACGCGAATTTACATGAGATTATATGTAATGCTTTATCTTACGAAAAATGTGAGCTATTTTTATTTCCCGCGGTACCATTACGACGGAGTACCATTCCTGCGAAACCTTCATAATATTCCTCAAGGCTATAACTTTACAAATTATATAAGGCCTGGAAACCAATAAAAAATGTTTAAAAACTAATCAATCAAGTTGTTTTGCCTAAAACGATAGATAAATTCCTTTTTAAAGTTTAAAGAAAAAGTAATTATTTAATACGCTATTGAATATTTATTACGAAATAATTATTAAATAAAAATTTCCTTAACAAATAAACATAAATAAAGAGCATTATGAGAATCACATAAAAAGTAAAACAAAGGACCACAATAAATGAAATTCATTAATTAATTTTAAAAAAACTTTACTAATTATTTTAATACAATGATTTTGGAATAAAAAAATTATTTAAGCTTGATATAATACTAATTTTAAATTAATAAAATTAAAAAAATCACTATTAAAATTACAAAAACACCCTCAAAAAGACATTAAAAACAATCCTGATATAGTTAAATATTTGACAAGCGATGAAACTTAAACGATATAAAAAAGACAATGGAAAGTAAAACAATTAAACGATTAAAAAACAATTTTAAAAAATAGCGGAAAACAACCTTAAAAGAATTGAAAAAAAAGGTGAAAAGACAATAATGAAAACAATAAAAAAGCTAGCAAAATTCTACGAAAAAAAGGTTTTATTAAAACAACAAAAATAACAAAAAAAATTAGTATTAGTAATAATAAAAATTATTTATAGAAGTGGAAAAAATATTCGTGAAACAGTGGAATACACCTAATGAAAAATATTTTATTACAAATACGGTTAATATGGAATTAATGCATAAATAAATAATCGAAAAGGAGAATAAACCTTATCATTAAATATTCGACTGATAAATCAATTAATAAAATAACTATTTAGATAAATAAATTAAAAAAGAGTAAATAATAAAAAGAAAATTAACGCTCTAATAATAGCATTAATCTCGTCGCTAATGCAGACACGCAGTTGCATAAACCAGAAATGATAAATACCAGTAGAAGAACAGGAATATTGAAACGGACGACTTAAAATTTATATATTTTTAATTTATATATTTATATATTTTATATATTTTTACTATGACGAGAAATTGTGAAATTTAATCCATTCCAAATTTTATATTAAACTTTCTGCTAAAATTCTTGGCTTTTATTGGAATAATAAAAAGCAATGAACTAAGAAGGAAACTATACATAACAGCAGTGCAAATGTCAAATGTTTAACGATGAAGAGAAGAGGCTAATTTTGGCGACAAATCATGATTATTATGTGAATGAATATCATGCGAATGACTGTCAAATAGACGTAAAGCTCCAATGATAACAAAACCAATAAGCATAAAGAGAAGTTTTAATAAATTTGGATGTTCATTATCTCTTTCGTGCAACAAAACCTGCAATGAAAAAGAGAAAATTCATATTTTTGATAAATAAATGAATAAATAAATATATAATATTTATACTTGTCAGCTATATTAGAAAACGGCAAATTAACTTAATAAGATTAATAACCTCGAAGAAAGTGACATAGATAAATGTTCCAACAGCAAGGCCTTGAAAAATGAGAATTATGAAATCTTTTAGGCGTATATCCATCTGTGAATTTTGCACGAACATGCCAATAAAACCGCCAAGAGGTGACATCGTTGCCAAAAGAAGTATACTTACACATACCCAACCCAGTGCATGCGCATGTGTACGAGCTAACTGCAATCCTACAGAAAATGCAACAATCACTTTATGCACTATTAGCGATAAAAAAAGTGTACCAACTTCTGTCGCATCGTCCTAAAAAAGTGATTGGCATTATTTCAAAAGATTCAAAGATTCATAGTTCATTTTTATCAATATTATGAAAATATTATTATTTTAGAAGAAAAGGATATACCTGTACACCAAATGCGAGACCTTCTATGATAGAATGGAAAGATATCGCTAAAACAATAGTTATACTCCGAACACCATGACTATGTGCATGGGGCCGACTTTTCATTAATATTGGTGGATCCTCCTTAACTGCATCACAATTCGTCTCGCACGCTTCTGGCTCAGCCAACGCCAATCCACTAAAACCAAATCAAATCCTAATTGAAATTTCATTTTCTAAAAATTATGAAAAAAATTATTTGAACATACGCAAAAAAGCCATGAATTATTTTTTGAAAAAAGCTAGGATGTGAACTTTACAAACGTAAAAAATTATATTTCATGGAAGAAAAATATAAAAAGTGAAAAAAGTGTGCAAAAAAAGTAAAAGAAGTCAAAAAACAAAAGAGAATATAAAAAGCGACCCTTAAGCTTTTTTTAAAATAATTAGAAATATGTCCTTAGAGATGGAAATAGGCTAATTTGAAAATAACCAAAAACCCGAGTATAACCCTTGCGATTCCCAAGTCCTCTCCGAATTCTGCTATATGCTGCTTGATACAGTGGTTCTAAATTCGCTAATTTCTCAAATTTTCTTTAATTCACTTCCTTTTCTTTTCTTTTATTCCCGATATATTCTCTCAATGCACCGTGATTACATTTATATTATATTAATTTTTGGTCGAATCTGAAAAATTATTAATGGAAGAATAGCGGAGATTACATAATGTTAAGACATTTTAAAGAGACATATTTGATCATAATGAAGTAAAAGTAGTTGAAAGTGGAATGGAACAAATGAACTAATAAACAAATAAACAACTATGAGAAAAATGAAGGGATTCAAAGAAAACAGCAATGGAATACAAAAGGAAATGAAACGATTTTAAAGCAGAAGGAGTATTATTAAGTTGTAATAAAAGAGGACAATAAGATATGTCAAAAATCTAATTGATAAAATTACAAAATAGCATAATGAAATTTTGAAAATTTGGCGAAAAATAACAGGGTTTTAAAGAAATAATGGAGCGAAGAATATGATGAGGTTTGACGAAGCATTCTGAAGTAAATATAACACGCATCCAAGAGGATTTTAGGGAGATGAAACGGACACAATATGATACACTCGAAAATTAATATTGCAAATTATGGACATTACAAATATCTCAGGAAATAAAAAAATGTACTTTGATTGCTTTTGCTCAAATTTGCATAAGTCTAAACATGAAGAATATGAAAAAGATCCATAATGATTGAGGCGAGTTCCATCTGATAATAACTTTTCCGTATTTTTATTTTGAAGGCGAAGACTGTAAGTTTTCAAAAAAAAAAGCGTGTAAAATGGTTGAAAAGCTAGATAAAATGATAAAAAATCCAAAAAAATTTCACAAAATAACCATAATTATATAACTAAGTTATTTTCGATAAATTTTGCATGGATAATTTTAAAATTTACCGCCTTAAAGATTTATTTTCTCCCAATTTAAAGTGAGAAAAACTTAACAATGAAGATATTGAGGAGAAAATAAATCGCATGATATTTTTGGAAAAGGACAGCACCGAAATGAAATCTGATTGCATTTCCAGCAAATGAATATAACTATGAAAGCTAACATGCGATCAGTTATGACAAAGAAAACATGCATTAGCAGAGTAAAGCTTATAAAACGTATAAACGATTACCCAGATGGATTACGTTGACAGTTTTCTGACGACAATTCAATGCAAGGACCCATTCCTGACGAACATTTTGTTGACCCCAATAATACACATTTAATAGATTCATCATCTAAATTTGTTTTGATTTTTAATATTTATATATATTTATTTGTAACAAAAATATTTATTATAAAATAAATATTTTATTTATAAAAAAATTCACCATTTTTCTTCTTTATCAATCTATAGAACAGAAAGATAAAAGATAAAAGAACGTGTTTGTCTCCTATAATCATTATAACTGTATCTCCTAGAAAATAACATACTGGCTAATGATCAATCATATTATCAATTCCAAGATAAGGTCCAAAAGTAATAACGGGGAAATAAGAATAAGCTAAAGTATAAACGTTCTTTCTTTTCTTTCGATTCTTTCATATTTATCATAGCTATATTCCATATTTCATCTAATGAACCACGATTGTTCGACATAATAGGTCTTAATTCTATTTAATCCATCTTTCATTCTTTATATCTGTAGCCGTATCTCTCTTTAATCAATCGCTAATAATTTTATCATTTCCTTCTCAATAAATAAAGAGTTTGATGATACAACAAATGATGGAATTCTATTTCATAATAATTTAGAAAAAAGAGTTATAAAAAACGAAGCCCTTTTAGAGTAATCAAACATTGGATGAAATAAATAAAAATGAAAATATCAAAAAAAATATTTTGATTTTTATTTTTTAACGAAAATCAATCGACAAACCCACTGATCAATAAAATATTTCAAAAGAATTAGCTGCAAAATATACTATTGAAGCGACGCGTGAACGTTGGTATGCACTGATTTATATCGGATGTTGATGACTGTGGTACATCACTTTGCCCTTCACTAGAAAGATGTTCTTTGTTGTGTACGCTAAAAAAAAAAAAATTTTATCAAATTTATCTAAAAGAATTTTATCCTTTTTTATCGATATGAATCTGAAAAAAGATTTTATTCACAAGAACCGTTTTGCAATATGAAATTAATAAATAAACTTTTAATTTGATAACTTAGGTCAATATACTGAGAGACATTCATTTTGTACCTTACAGAAAATTAAAAAATTCGAATAATACTGGCGACCAATCTGTGCTTTTATAACCAAACAACTCTTTGGCAGAAATTTCTAACCATATTAATCAGCGAAGCTAGTTTAATCAGAATTAAGCACGGATCATTTCAATTTTTTAATTCATTTTATTTATATAACTTTGCAGCAACTTTGCAGTGCAACAAAATTACAAAAGTTTAACACACTTTTCACTGTGACTATGATGCTGATGATAATTCGATGACCATACTGATTTTTCAGGATGACCATGTCCAGGCAAAAAGAACAAAAAAGATTCCTCAAGAAAAAATAAGAGGAAGAAACCAACACAGGCAAGAAGTTCAGCAACAGGATATGTAACAGACAGGTCATATTCATGTTTCATCTGAAAAAAAAATTGCAAAATATTTCAGAAATTATAATTTTAATTGAATTAATCGTCTATCGTCTTTTTTTTTTAAATCAAATTAACAAATTAAACAATAGCACTACACAAACTAATTTTCCAAGATTGTGATGCCGCTAAAATAAAGTTAAAATGGTTCAATGTTTTTTTTGCTATCATTTCGGAGATCCAACGCTGAGTTTCTACTATTTTTCAAAAATCCGAGTGGTCTTACGATCCATCTACATATCTATCACCAAATGAAAATCCCTGATAAATTCGCTTGGCTCGAGCATAAAGCCGGTAAAGAGGGCCTCGATTTTAGGAAAAACAATTCTGCCAAAGTATATCGAATTTTAATTTTCAGTTTGATCAATAAAAATATTTCAAACGAACGAGTTTTGAAAAATAATTTCGAATTTGAGAAAAATAATTTGTGAAAACAATTAATTGAATTAAATAAAAAATAATTTTATAAAAATTATTAAAAATTGCTTATTTTTATTTAATTTTTTAAGAAAATTTAACTTTTTAGAAAGAAACAAACCCGACTGAGATGTTCACTAAGTTCAGGGAAAAGATGGAGAAAACACGTAGCGAAAAAAACACCACCCGAGAAGCACGTCAATAGACAAAGTATAAGTGCTACATTTTTATGTTTTGCAGATGTTTCGGCCGACGCAGCGCTTTTACGTAAAAATTTCAACAACTAAAATTTCAAATAAAATCAGAAAACCTCTTTCTTCGCTCGCGAATAGATGGCAGTTTAATTTCATAAAGAACTAAAAAAAGAAAAATTATAAATTTTCAAATCAAATTTAAAGAAAAAATTAAAATAAAACTCATTTGATTAGATAAATTTTAAAAACTAAAAATAAAATTCCATGAAACTTACTTTAACTGGTAACATTCCAGCGATAAAAGTAATAATAATCATTAAAATAAGAAGAATCACTTTTAACCAAACTAAATCCATTTCTTATTAAATAAATAAATGAATAAACGCATATGAACTATTCGATGTACTTAATTACCTGTAACTAATACATTTGTTATCGCGAAGCACAAAAAAGAAGAATTTGCGACGATTACGAGACAGTTGAGAAAATGATAAGAAGAGGACAAACGAAGGTCAGCTAAGAAATCAGAAGATTCAAAAGATAAAAGGTCGACCGATAAGACATTCGGAAAATTCAAAAGAAGGACACAAAGGTCAACTGAAATTTGATGCGCGAACGAAAAAAGTTCGAGCGACAAATTACTGCATTATTCACGAAATACCTAACAATGACGAACAAAAAGGAGAAACCAGAAAAAAAGTTCGAAGGACAATTTTTTCATATAAATAACGAATTCGTTATCATCGGAGCGAAGCCTACTTAACAACAGAAAATCCGCTCAAATGAACTTTTTTAAAAACGCTCACCATTTCCGCTCGCATCCGCTGGACCTCGTCGGACCAAATTTCACCAGATTTGGTGAGTTGGCCCCTTATTTTCGGAAGAGAGGTCCACTTGTGCGGAACACAGAATTCCAGCAGGTCCGAAATGAAAGAAACAACCCATTCGGACAAATTATCACTTTTTTATTAATCGATTTAATAATTTTTGAAAATCAAAAAACAATTTTTTCGAGTTAACAGTAAATACTTTCGATAAAAATTTTAAAAATCACTGAAAATTATTGAAAAAAAAACTTTCACCTTCCTAAACTTAACAAAGCCAAACGCCAACTATTTCCCACTTATGAATTAATCCAAGCAAAGAAAGAATTACCGAGTAAATTGGTTCTCCAGATGATCACTAAATATCGGACTGAATTCGCAGCTGATATTTGGAATCTACCAAAATTCAAGTTGGTAGCATACCGCTTTAAAGATGTAGGTAAGAGGAGATAATTTGTGCCATATTTGGTGTAATTCCACAGTTTTGGTGCATTTTGGATCCAATTATTGGTCCAACTGTAGAGATAAATCTAGCACATTGTTGAGTCGAAGAAGATTTTTTTTCTTTTTTCCTGAAAACAGTCGAAGGCTCGATGAATTTTGAATTTTCATATTCCCATGTTTTTGGTACAGAAAGCTTAGGTAGCGCCTTACTGAAGTCGGTTATTTCGTCCTACGTTACTGTTAATTGTCTTTTCAGTGGTCAGTGGTTTTCTTGGCCAGCTGGGTCCTAGACTGGGGCATTTTTATTTTTGCTAATTCCGACCAATATGTATCGAAATATTCAGAGGATTTCATGTTTTGGCTATTTTTCGCTTTTTCAATTTCGCCTTTTCGATTTCTATTTAATAATTTCTATAATTTTCGAAAAATATGCATTTACTGGCCTAGCATTTTTGCAAATCTCATATATTTCTATATTTTATATCTCAAATTTTATCTCAATTCTGCCAATTTTTAAATTATTGTTTAAATTAATGAAACGTTTTATTCTCAAAGGAGTAACCAAGCAAAAGTTTTGTTCTATGAAATTCGATATATTTTTGGATATTTTTTCTTCATGAAAAAATTTTAATTGGTGAATTTGGGAATCGTTCGATGAGAACTCATTTCATCTTTCTAAAGAGAGGATATAAAAAATTTTTCATGTGAACAGCGAAATTTTCGCATGGAGCCTATTAAATTTATAGAAATTGATTGGCTTTATGAACCATAAACTGAGGAAAAGAAAAATTTCAGAAGCAATTAAAAAATTGCCCAGTGCAAAAATTTTTCACCATAATTTTGATATAAATCTGTCTGTCAATAGAGGTAATAACTGCGTAGAGAACAATGCTGGTAGAGATAGAATAGCTCAATAGGTTGTTGGTACCATTTTGGAAAGCAAAAGCTGGTCTTCTGTTTCTTCTTGGAGTAAACCTGTCTGTCGAAATCCGAAATCCGCCTGACGACTCACTTGTACTTCTATCGTCACGATTATTTCATAATAGATTTCGTAATTCTGATTTGGCTGGTTTCATTGATTGATAGAGTGGAATTTTCGATGAGATATCTCCCGAGAATCGCAGTTATGTAGACGGGAATCTCAACAAGTCGGTGAAAATGAAATCTTGAGGGGCAGAATGTTTGTACTTTTGTTCCTCAAGCGGTTAGTCAGTGGTGAAGATATATCGTCACTGGTGCCATTCGATGTGGAATTGGTGTTAATAAGAAAATTGGGATGTTTTCATCAAAAATGGTTTGAATTGGTGTATCTTTGAATTTCATTTAATAAAAATTTTTTTCTATTGTTGGTCGGAATTTTTTTTTCAGTGATTCAATTTGTCGAGACCGTTTATCATAATTTTTCGTATCAAAACTGATAGTCACAGTTGGGTTGCTTATAGTCATTTTTATCATTGTTATTGTTGAAATATTCGTTCTTTTTGGTTTTTTACTTTTGAATTTCATTTCATACTAAATATTACGAATAAATATTATTTTAAAAATATTAAATATAATACAATATTATATAAAATATAACGTAATATAAAATATAATATCTTTTGATTATTTGCATTTGGATTTGAATTTAATTGAATTTAGAAATTTAGAAATCAATTGTTAGCAGTTCGATAAAGGATGAAATAATGAAGTTTTGATAAACATGGCCATTCTAAACCCTTTCTAAAAATCCCAAAAATCTATGTATTCATTTGTTACACTCGTTGGGCCCTTCGTTGTGTTTTTTTTCTGCATATTAGTCGGTTTTTTGAAAATTTTTCTTTTTTTGTCCTATAAAAAATATAAAATATTTATTAATAAATAAATTTTTATTAAAATAAAATGAATTATTTCATGAGTAAATATTTCTAAATATTTCTTTATAAAATAAATTTTTATTACATAAAATGCCAAATTTAATAAATAATTATTATATAATTATATAATAATATTGAATATAAAATATTGAATATTAATAAAATATTGAATATTGAATATTTTATTATAATTTTTAAAATATTGAATATTTATAAAATATTGAATATTTTATTATAATTTTTAAAAATTTTTGCTGGAATACAGAATTTTAAATTGTTTCATTGAAAAAAGTTTAAATTTGTTTGTTCACTCAACTTCAATTTAATTGAAAAATTTTTCTATGCATCAATTGTTCAATTATTTTTTATTTTTATTTTATTAGAAGCAATTTATCCAACTGAAAGTTTTTTATTTTTAAATTTTTGCTCTTAATTCTCTTAATTTTCTAATAATAAATTATAAATTCGCTAAAAAATCTAATGAAACTCGTCATTGGAGGTTAGCAAAAGGTCAATTTATACTGAAGGAAGTTTAAATTCATTTGTGGTTGGTGAAGTTTCTAACTTTTAAAATTCTCGAGTCCAATTTTATGGTTAAGCGGAAAATTCCAGCTGGGAGAGCTGCGGCTGTGCGTATAAGTGCGTATTCCGCTGGCGAGGTCTGTTTGAAATCCTGGCAAAATCAAATTTAGAACAAATGAAGTGTGCACTTATTTGGCTATAATACGCATAGTCTTATAAGGCTGTGAAAGTCGGCCAATGAAAGTGGAAGACATCTGCTTTTGGCCATTTATCTATCTCGTGATTAGATTATTTACATCAAAACATGGCCTGCGCCTCGTCTATTGCAGAAATTGCCGCACATCTCATTAGCTGCTAGCCATCAGTTAGGTTTTTTTCGGACATAACATCTGGTCGACAGGCTGGAAAATTCCTTATCTGTCACCGCTAGTCGCTAGCGGACCCAACCAGAAAATAAATTTTTGGTTCTTCGTATTATTTTATCATATCACAGTGCTATACGTGTTGTTTGACTCAGCGCAAAGGTTTTGGTTGCGCCATAGTAACCGCACCACAATGGTAAGGTGTTTCCAACGCTTTCGACAGATATTACATTAGAAAAAGAAGCTTTTTATATATTTTGCAATTGGGCTGTCTTTGTATTCTCGTTTGATCCTAGTCCAGGTCTTCTTCCTCGCTTTTTGTCATGCGAGTTAGTAACTATGGAGATTAATTAGTAATAGGCAGCGAGGAATTTATTAATGCAGATGATATTCGCTCGAAGCTGCATGTATTTTGAAGTTTTAGCCGCAAGACTTAAAATTTAGACATTTTTGACCAAACCTGACCTCTGGATATTTTCCACTTTCATTGGCCATATAAGAAACAATAAAAAATCGCCATTGTTTGAAAATTGGAATTGTAAAATTTCAAAAAGGAACTTATCTAAATTTTTAAACCATTTTATATAATTTCTTATATGTAGTATTTTCTAATGAATAATCTGAAATTTCGATGGCGTTTTGGCTATTCGTATTTCAGCCAACCGTAAAAATTAGAGAAAATATTAACGGAAGAACAATGAAGAGGAATAAGGAGGAATAAGCAAGCATTAGTGCGAAAAGATCGATCATTTTAAGTATTTTAAAATCAATTCATTTGCTTGGCTTTTTGGATTCATTTGCTAACTAATGCCAATGCTTCTGTTTTTTCAAAATTTATATTTTCCTCTAAAAATTTTCCATTCAATTCTTATTTTACAATTGTATTAATTATTATTTACACTTATTAACATAATTGTTCGGCCGTGCTTAATTGATTAGTTTTTTATGAAATAATTTGATTTATAAATTTGCAGAACTGAATTAGGCTTATGGAAGTTGAATTAAACTTGGAAAGGTCAAATAGGGGTTACAGGCCTATAGGGTTTATAGAAGGGTCAAAGGGTTAAAAGCTTAGAAAGATTAATTTGTTCTTACGAATACGAACAATGTTTGTCTGAAGACAAAAATGTGCTTCACTAAACGTCTTAAATTACATCAATAAATTCAATTTTATCTATAGATTCATGATCGCTTATCATTTATCATTGGTTATTTATTGCGGTTTTATCAAAAGACTTATCATTTGTCTTTTTTTCTTATTATGATCGATGTTTTTTTTTTTAACAGAAAAATTTGCAGAAGAAATTTCAATTCTTACATAACATATGTTTCTTTTTAATTTCTTTTA